AGAACTGTAGAACAGGATTGGGAACCTTGGGCCTGTGGCCCCCCCCCCCCAGGCCTCACTATCTGGCCCTTGGGACTCTTCCTCGGACATCCTAGCCCTGCTCTGTGCCATCCTTGTGTACTGTTTCCAGCTGGAATGTGATGATGCTTCTTACTTGCCTAGATAGTAAGATACCTGTGTTAGATGGGGGGAGGGATGGTTGTGTAAAATCCTCTTGGTTGGTTGGAATGTAGCCCTTGCCATAAAAAGGGTCGTACTCACTGCTCCTCCCACTTTTGATAGGCAGGAAGCACGTTTTGAGATGGCAGCAACAAGAGTGGAAGGCACGAGGGATGGGGAAGAGCTTTGCCTACAATTCTGGGCTGCTGCTTCTAGCCAAAGAACGTAATACTAGACTAGCTTAGGGGTTGCAAACTTATCTCCCCCACGATCCCTGTGGGCATGTGGGTTGGCATGGTCAACCAAACTGAGCAGGATTTAATGCTTCCTCCCTCATCAGCTTAAACAAATAAAATAAATTAGTACTCCTATTAAGGCTTCATGCATTCGTGCTGCAGCTACTGAAAATTTGAGATAACCCAGTGGCTAATATTACCAAAACCTTTCTCCCTAGTTTGCTAATGTGACCATTTTTGAATTACACATATTATTTGGAATGATGTTTCAGATTGCCTCGATAGATAAGCAGCATTAAAAACAAGACAGTCAGTTTCACCTCTATTTGTAGGCTTCCTAGAAATTCTCTGGTATTTGAATGTTCAGCCCTATGGTTAACAATAAACTTTTGTCTTTTGGGGAGACAGAACATGATGTCCTATGTTTTAGTTTTGCGTTTTATGAAAAACAAGTTGTAAGAAACAGTCCCTTCAGAATACAAACAAACTTGTTCAACTTAATTTGTTAAATGTAGGTGGGGATTGTGTGTGTGTACCTGCACGCGTATATCAGGAAGGGGAACAAAAACCCTTTGTTCTTCCCTCCCAAGTCTCAAAGATGAGCTTTGTATATACGTAAATTGGGTGCCTCTTGCTAATCTTTCCATTGTTTTAGAGTTGGCTTTATCATTCTGATCAAGGTGTGTGCTGAGTGCACTGGGTGCTACAGTGACATGCCTCTTGTTTACACAGCCCTCTTTACCTTGTTGCTCCTTTTATCCTGTATGTAGACTCCTGGTCTCTGCTGAACCGATAAGAATGCAAGAAGAGCCCTGCTGAATTGGGCGGCATAAGGCTCATCTAGTCCAGCATTCTGTTCTCACAGTGGCCAACCAGGTGCCCCCAAAGGAAGCCCACCAGAAGGAGATTTGCTGTCCAGCACTTTCCCCACTTGCAGTTCGCAGCAACTGGCATTCACAGAGAATACTGCTCCCGACAGTGGAGGGAGAACATAGTAGCCATTGACAGCAGCCTCCATGACTTTTGGCTAAACCCCATTTGAAGCTACCCAGATTGGCGGCTGTTACTTGATCTTGTGGGAGTGAATCCCATAGTTTCACTATGCACTGTGCAAAGTAGTGCACCTTGGGGTGGCCCAGTAATATGGGTTGCCAGAAGATTCAGGACAGCCAAAATGAAATACGTCTCTTCCTACAGTAAGAACATAGGTAGAGCTCTGCTGGATCAGACTAAAGGCCAATCTAGCCCAGCATCCTGGACAACCAGAGCAGGACACCAGCACAGCAACATTTCCTTGTGATTCCCAGCAACTGGTATTCAGAAGCATACTGCCACCAGCAGCAGAGATAGAACATAGCCGCAGTGGTTAGTAGCCACAGTTTAGTAGCCTTACACTCCATGAATTTGCCCAATACTCTTTTAAAGCGGTCCAGGTTGGTGACCTTCACTACATCTTGTAAGAGCAAACCCCATCATTTAACTATGTGCTGTGAATTTTCATCTGTCCTGTCCTGGTTAGAAAGTCCATTTATTTAGTTAGGGGGCAAAGTTCCCCAGGCCGTGCCCAACTGCAAAAGTTGTACCTGAAACGTAGCTAAAGTCCCCAAACCAATTAAAAACCAATATGCACACAAACTTTATCATTAAAAGCCAAAGATAGAATCGGTAAAGCTTTGAGAACTTGCCTGTGTCTTGTGTTGGAGGCAGGAAACTACTTGATGGCATAAATGATGTCTGTATGTGGTATCTGGGGTTCGGGCGGAAAGTCAAACTGTGGGCCAGATTGAGCCTATTTCTCACCTTCCAATCTATCACTTTGAACAGCTGTTCCATTTTGCACACAGTTGTAAGGTTGTTTTTTTTCTTGGGGAGGGGAGGAGAACAGCAGCTGCCCCATGGCACTTCATCTGGGTAGCAAAACTGCAGGTGCCTTTCCCACCCAGTTTATCCTGCCACCTGCTCCTGCATCGCTGGGATGGCAGCACCCACAGATCATATTTGTTTTCCCCTCCAGGCATTTCAGGCCCGCAGAAAGTCCCAGGTTCACTCTCCAGAGTCTCTAGGAAAGACTTGGAAAAATTGGACCCTGGGCCTTTCTGTATGCAAAGCAGATACTCTGCCACTCAGCTGTGACTTTTGCCCAGACCATTCCTGCTGCCAGTGCGCTGCTTGGCGGTGGAGCATCACATTTCAGATCGACAAAACGTAAATATTGAAGTGCGGCAAAGAACCCACATTTAAAACGCCTGTGCAGCATTTAAAATGCATTTATTGTGCCGATTTGCTTATATGGAGTGCAGAAATGTAACTTGCTTGGGTGCAGGATTATTGTGACGTTCAAGCCTTTAAGCATATGTTACAGATATCCAAAATGTCACCATGGAAAGGGTGCAGGACACATTTAAGAAGATCAGTCCAATGGAGGAGCCAATGCTCAGCTGTAGGGCATCTGCCTTGCATGCAGAAGGCCCCAGGCTCCATCCCTGGTGTCTCCAGGTAGGGCTGGGAAAAGCCTTTCTGCCTGAAATCCTGGACAGCTGCTGCCTTTCAGTGTGGACAATACTGAGCTGGATGCACCGGGGGTTTGACTCGGCGTAAGAGCAACTTCCTGTGTTGTTCCTATATAAACAGTTAAAGGCATTAAATGAATAAAATATATCTTGGTGGAGGGGTGGGGACATAGTAAACCTGCTTGTTTTGAAGTAGAAGATTTGGCTTTGAAAGGGTTCTTAGAAGGCTCTTTGCTGTGTGAAATGGCATAGCCCACCCTCATCCTCTCTCTGGCTACGTGTGACTTTGACTCCACCTCGAAATGGCTCTTGCGTGTCCTCTTTTGTCTTAGAGCATGCCACTGGGTGGGAGAGATTAAAGGGTGGAGCACGGCATCTTTTGTGCTTACCTCTGCTCCCAGCCAGCGGAAGAGAGAGGGAGGGGGGTTGTTTACTACTTTCTACTCTGAATAACATGCCAATCATCTGGATCCGCCCTCCGTGCCATCCAATTGGTTCCTTCGGAAATTCCACCTTTATGGCTGGGCTCTGCAAAGCTGGCTGACTTGTCAGGATTTTTCTTTTTTCCTTTTTTTTGGCAAATGATCCAACTGGGCATCGCGCAGAGCAATGCTGCTGCAATAGAACCGAGGAGACTCTTGCTTCTAGCTGGGATGTAGTAAAATAATTGCTTCCTGTAAACAGGAGAGTTTCTGTGCATGCAAGGGGGGGGGGGTGATTCCAGGGAAGGAATATGCAATCTTGGCTTTAAATTGATAGAGGCAACCCCTGCCTTGCGTTTTTGTATTTTTAAAGAGGGAAATACCATGAAGCAATTTCCAGAGCGCAGTCCTCCTTTATATCTCTCCTAATTTTATCATGTTCATTTCTAAATGCAGGGTTTTCTTACTGATATGTGAGCTGCTACGGTAGGAGAAACGGCATGCTGAACTCAAAGGTGGTTTGTTTTGGCTGGGGGAGGAAAGGCTTTTGTCCCACTTCCTTTGCATCTTCCTATCTGTTCATCTCCCACTTTTATGCTCTTGAGAAAAGGCTTAGACGCCTCGTCTGTTTATTAATAATGGCACTGAAAGGAGCATGGCGGCGGAACACGCGCATGGAACCATTTTGGGATGCAGGCAGCCAGGGGGAAACAAAGCACTGGGTGACTCACATTCACTCCACCCCCACCCACCCCAATCTAGTATTAGGTTTCCCTGCCTTCTACAACAGTTTCGAATTAGCGGTTGGGTGTAGGAAAAGTAGGGTTGTATTGTGTGAAGATCAGTGTTGTTGTGTGAGTGGGGGGTGGGGGGCAGGAGGGGGGAAAGCTTTTTGCTATGACCTGAATTAGGTTTCCTATTTCCACACAGCACAATGTGCCTGTGTTCAGTATGACAGAGGAGTAGTGGACATGAATTATTTGTGACAGGGTTGCTTGGAACATGTGGAGTGGAGTCCTCCTGCAGAATGCAATTGCTTCATGGATAGCTTGGGTAGTGAATGCACGCACGCACGCACGCACACACACAAAAACACGTCCCCTTTTCCTGGCCAGAAGTGCGTTGGAAAGGTAGTGCTTCAGGTTAGGTTCTTGAAGCGTTTTGATTTTGCTTTATCTTGTCAGCCAGAATTGTTGCTTTTTCATCTCTCAGAGTATTAAATGTGGGAGTCATGCTAAGAGGAGCTCTAGAAACTCTTTGCACGGGAATTTGCCCTTTTTATTATTATAATAGAAGCCAGCAGATTTGATTCAGTCTGTTGTGAGAGATCAATGAAACATCAACAGAAAGGGCTCCATGAGGTTTTATTTTACAAATTCCCCTTATTATACAATGTTAGTCTTAAACAGCACAGTACTTGCATCACAAAGGGCACATGCAGCCCCATTGGTCCAATAGAACAGATCCATAGGTCACAGTTTGGCAATATCTTGGTTTGAACCAGCTCAAAATGTCACAAAATAATGAGAGAACTTCCGGATTGTTCAGAATTCTTCATCGGAGTGGCGGGAAGCAGGAGAGACTAAAGGTGGGGAGTGGAGTATCCAACATGATGACAGCAGGAGGTTATGGTTTTGAGGCAATGAGATAGGTTGTCGGGGGTAGGGGATAGAAAAGGGAAATTTTCCTATGCGAAATAGGGTAATTTGCATTGGGGGCTGTTCAGTTTGCTTCAGAAAATCTTAGGGTGCTCCCAAGAGTGATCTAATTGCAGCATGTTTGCTTTACTTACATTTAGTAAACACAGTAGAAAACATTGAAACTGCCAAGCTCACCTGATAGTGTATTTGCAATTGGTGCCACACCCCATAGTCACCATTGACTGGACTTAATTGTCCAGGCGTCCTTTACCTTTTTTACCTATTTGTAATTGGCACCCATTCCTTCTAACTAATGTATTTATAACTGGAAATCTGTTCATTTTGGAAGATTTTCTGCTTCGCTTCACTCGGTTTGGGACATCCCAAGTTCATGGTCCATCCTTGCCCTGAAACTTGTTTGGCTATATGCAAACCGCAAAATCTTAGCCTCAGTTCCTTGTCTCTTGCAAGGTGGTTGTGAACATTATTCAGTACCTGTGGTTTTGTCCTTCAATGTGTGTTTATCACATCAGTCAGTTCCCCACACCCCCTTGTGTACAGCATCAAAACACTGAACTTTTACAGTAGTCTACAAAGAATATGTTAAAGTGTCCTAAAGCATGTCTGAATGGTGTCTGATTTTTCCAAAGTGAAGTGCAGGACAGAACAGGCTGCATGTTAGTAGTTTGCACTGTTTCTCTGGAACACTATCATTCTGTCGGAATTGAACTGAGCAGGTTTGGTCCTGATTCATGTGGTCAAACTTCTGGATGCAAAGTAGTAAGTGGCACAACTGATGGTGTATTAAATAAGAAGAGAAATGGTTAATACTCTGGTTGATCCAGTGCACATAAAATAATGTTAATGGTTTAAAGAACGCCCGTCTCCTTTTTTAAGTTTAATGCCGAGATGTAGTAGAAGATTTGTGAGTATTACTAGGATGGAAATTTAGTATTTTGTCCACTACTTGGTAGATCTTGCTTTGAAAATCACTATAGCCTCCCCAGGAGTAGAGTGAGGCATTGCCACTGATTTCTTGTGTATGTTCGTAAAAACATGAGTTTGAGTGGAGGGGACAGATAAAAGGAGATACTTTGTTCCTAGACTTCAGCATGAAAAATCTTGGTTCGGTACCTAAGTCTCAGGTGTGAATGTTGCCCACCCAGTTTTGCAAAACATGATTTGGTTGAATAGATTTGGCAGTGGCAAACTTGGGTTTGCCCCGGTATAATATTTGAAATGACCAGACAGATTTGTGTGTGTGTGTGAGTGTGTCTGCTTTTGCGTGGATATATTTATAAGGGATTGTAAAAGACATGATCAGTCATTCGTACATTAATCATGCAGGAGTGGGGATCCTATATCTTCTCACCCAACCCGTTAGAGTTGGTGATTTGATAGCCTGGGCTGTGTGTGTTTTTCAGCAAGCCACTCTTCTTGGTCTTTTCCCCATACGAAATGTGGGGATGTTGCTGATCTGGCCTACCTTACAAGTCCATTAAAGGCGTTACTGAGAATCTGCAGCTCTCTGAGTGCAGCGATAATAATAAATAATAATGCTCTGTAATAATAAATAGGTTGAATTAATTTGCTTGAGTGAGCACATTGCCAAGATATAAAAATCACAAGACAATTAAAACAAAATGCAAGGCCACTTTACCCGACCCCCCCCCCAGCTTTTCAAAAGCCCTTGCTTATCTTCATTTAAGTTCTAGCTTCTCTTTCCTTTTTCCCTTCCCTCCCCACCCCACCCCACCCTACCCTCGCAGGGTTTGGCTTTGACCAGACGTAGGGATGTGCGTGGCAAAAGCAAGCTAATGGAACTTTTTGTTCCGTCTAGACATTTTAGGAGCAATGTTGACAATAAACGAGGCAAAGAAAATCCGGCAGATTAAGTAAGAAGGCAAGTCTGATAACCACATGCAGCAATAGGAGGTGTGGGAGAGAGACTGTAGTATTTCTCTGTGTTCCAGGCTGCTTTAATGGGCCTGCCTCTGTCTTCTGTTCCCTGTCATTGACGATTTTTATGAATATGAAACAAATGTTGGCTGGAAAGCAACCTTTCTGGAATTTGTAGTACAATATGTGTTGAATGGATTATGGAGGCATCTTTTAAAAAATCCAGAAGGATTTCCTTTCTATACACGATTTATCTCTGAGTGGCTGGGATTCTTTGGTGTTTGGTTTTTTAAATTAAAAAAAAAAGTGATGAAAGAACATAGAGACTGAAAACCCTGCATTTAACTTGGCATTTAATTACTTTTACTCATCCCAACAAGGCTTCCAGGGCACACAAATTGAAGAAAAGCAGACCATCACTTCAAATGAATAGTTAGAAATTGTTCATGTTTTCTCTATAGCATTGAAGAGATGGAAGGTACATCTCAAGAATAATTTTATATGATGACAAAATAATAATGCTGCTACCTTTGCCTGTAGCTTTCAGACGTTCAAGCGTTCCACATTCTTTATCTAGTTATTCAGGGGTAGACAGTGGCCACGTGCACACATGTTTTTCTAGAATCAATTGGCATGAAGTACTTGGTTATATATAAAATTTCTATGCTGCCCTTCACCCGAAGATTACATGGCAGTTTACAGTTTGTAGTGTACACACAATGTAGATCTACTGCGTATATTTTGCCCCTGAAAAACACATCTTGAGAAACTAGTTTGATTCCAAAAATGAAAGCACGTTGCAGATTAATTCTGCATTGACCTCCAGTGTGTCCAGTTGAAAACAAATGTAGCGGTTCCAGCAATAGTTTGTGTGTGTGTCTCCATACCTTCCCAATGGCATTGTGGGTGGGTGTATATCAGTATTGCAGTCGCCACATCCTTCTTCATTTATCTGGAGGAAAAGTTGTGGATCACCAAATCAAGGGGAGGATTTGCAAATGTATGTCAACTGGCCAAATCCACCCTTGTAGATGGCAGTGTGTTCATGCAGAGTAGAGATTTGAACTGGGTACTTATCATCTACTGTGCTATGCTAGTTCTCACATCTAAAATGGAAATCTATTTAGTATTAAAGCATATTCTTTCCCCCCTCCCCACATAACCCATCAGCCGTAGTAAACTTGGCTGGTGGTCAGGGATGATGGGAGTTGTAGTCCAACAACATTTGGATGCCATCATGTTGACTACCTCTTCCTCATGGCAGAAGTTGTTCTCTCCTACCTCATGAGTTCTCCTGTCATAATCAGCAATAGGCAAAATTACTTCCTTTCTCCTTTTGCTACCCTGCTATATGCAAACAGATTAAAGAACATTCCTTGACCCAGTTACTGTTGTATTTTTGAAAATAGGCACAGTGCATGTCAGTTGATGGATTTATGCAGTGGATTTGTATGTGAGTCTTGTGTGATAATGCACGGAAACAGCTATGATATATCCTACTAACACATTTTTTGAAAACGCTTTCCTAAAAAATAATGCAACCTTTAAATATAGTGCAAACGTATTTATGCATCTTATGCATCTTCTTTCTCTCTCTCTCTCTCTCTCTCTCTCTCTCTCTCTCTCTCCCCACACACACACTTTAGAAGTGTGACTGAATCTAAGATTCAAAGTTTTGTTTAAATGGATAGTCGATGCACATTTGTGGGAGAGTTGAGCTGTGCGTGAAAAGCTTCCAATTCTCTGAATTTCATTGTCCTTGGATTGCAGTGGAAGTTCCCTGCAATGCATCCTGGTTGATGTGTTGAGACAGCATCACTGCCCCGAGATTTCCTACCCGCCTCCTTATAAGCAGGTCATTGCTGTTTGTGTTGGCAAAGCTGTAAAGCCTTGTGTAAGGCAGGAGGAGGCAGGAGGAGGAGGTGTTGGCAGCGTATCATGTGACTCTGCTCCAGACTCATAAACAACCATGTCATGTGGCCTGTCCAGGGCTTCAGCGTAAAAGAATATGAAGGGACCTGCGTCTTTTATCTCTTCCCTTTCAGCCATTAGGATGATTCTTATATGTACATATTACGAGACTGATTGATTAGTAGATTAACCAGGTCTCTTCTCCCAACTTCTTCCAATTAGTTATATGGCTGTTTCTTTCCCTGGTGTGTTTTGTTGCGAAGACTCGCATGCTAGTGTTTTTTTGGTCTTTAAATGCAGGTTTTAAATCACCAGCCCCAGTTTGTGCCTCTCTCCCCCACCCCCCTTTTGGTAAGTTGTCTGTCTAGATTCTAGAATATTGGGGAAGAAGGCATTCTTCATATTTCAAGGGCTTCTGGTTTTCTTTTCAATAATGCAAGTCACAGTACCACTTGTAACACTACCTGTATGTTGTTATGTACAATCGGGGCAAACGTATTTGCATAAGCACAGTTAATGATGCAAATGAAGAAAATTCAGTTTGGCTTGAAACAGTTTGTTATAGTTGAGTTTCTAAACAAAAGCGGATGCCCCATCAGTGAGCTACAGCCTTCCACGAATATTGAGAGAGGGCAAAGAGATATGGATGGATTTCACCAACCAAGTGTGCCTACAAATCCCATGTCCACCGGCCCCCAGTCAGCATGGCCCAATGCCAAAGATAATGGTTCAGCAAAATCTGGAAAGCCAAAGGTTCACAACTCCTGCATTAGACTGTTTTGGATCAGTGGGCTGCCATTTAGAGCATTAAGTTTAAAGTTTCATTATTTTTGAACATTTACAGTTTGAAAAGCTTTTGGCAGGAGGGTTTTTTTTTAGTTCAACCCTCTTAATTCATCTATAAAAATGCTTTCCTTGAATTTGGTGGCTTGTGTCCAGCTAAATGGTTTTTTGGAGTGGACCTATTAAAATTAACCAACCCACATTAAGTCACATTTATACTGTACATTCAAAGTGCTATACTGTAACTACATTTTAAACAGTCAGGACTATCTCTCTCCCCCCCCCCCCGATAATTCTGGGAGTAGTAGTTTGTTAAAGGTGCTGAAAATTGTGGGGAGGCCCCTGTTCCTTTCAGAGGCTACAATTTCCAGAGTGGTTTAACAGGCAAACCTCCTTCCCAGGAAATTCTAGGAATTGTAGCTTGGGAAGGGAACAGGAGTTACCCAGCAACTATCAGCAACCTTATCAAACTACAGTTCCCATAATTCTGTGGGAGATGCCATGGTTCTTTAAAGTGGTATCATAGTGCTTTAAATGTATGGTGTGAATGTGGCCTTAGTCATCCATGAATTGCAGTAGGTCTCCTGTGGAGTATGACTAACATTTGATGCAACCCTATATCTCTGCCTACGTCCCCATCACTAATCATTACATTATACCCTGACATATGTTTTTTGTGGGGTTTTTTAAACCCAGCAAGGGAACTGTCCATGTTTTTACATCTAATGAATTACCTCTTTTGGAGCCTCCAGCATAGTCTCGCTTGCATAAGGGGTGCTGCTGCTGCTTGATTGCTACCCAGCCCTCACACATGGGTATCTGCAATACTCATCTCTACTTGGGAACAGTTGCCTTAATCCAGGGATGAAAGAGAGGGTGGGATGGCTGTTTTTCAGCTCTTTCTTTTATAATGGGAGCTGAATTTACAAGCAAAATAGGACTGGTATGACTCTATTGCTAATTATCCCCGTAATGACTTCAGCCTATGGCTCTTTTTGTTTTGTTTCAGGGGTTCCTAATTGTTTGCAAAACATGTTCTGAGGTTGGCATCGCTTGCCAGAACTTGCTCTGGAAGCTTTCCTTTCTTTTCAAAACTCGCAGATGAGTTCACTTCACTTGAACTTGGGGTTTTTTTGGGAGGGGGTTGCGACTTGGTACAGAGCTGCATGTATGTGGGGCCGTCTGTGTTTTGAAGAAGGAAGCATTCTAGGATTTGGGTAAGGGTTAGGGTTAGACCAAGTGTGGACTTGGACACCATGGCAGCTTAATTGCAAATGAGGTGGTAAAACTGTTTCAGGAATGCACTGCTTGAGACTTTGGTGGAGAAATTTCACATTATTATTTTTTAAAAAAAGAAAAACAACACTTCCTTGCGTGAGAAGGAGGTACCGTTTATTGGTGACTAGAGCAGTTGTTTTGCATGCAGAACGTTCCAACCTCTTCATTTCATAAAGCACATAATGGGAAAGGTCTGTCTCTCCTGCTCCCTCATTGCCTGAGACCCTGGAAAGCTGCTGCCAGTCAGTGTTGGCCTAGATCAGGAATAGGGAGGTGCCCTGGCCCATCCCCCTCACTGGCCCTGCTCCCTGCCCTACAGGAGTGCTTTTGCATTACTGGAAAATGCCCTTGAACCCTGATTCTGTCTTATCCCAACTTGCAGTCCTCCAGATGTTGCTGATCTACAGCTCCCATCAATGCCAGCAAACATGGCCAATGGCCTGTTAATGGTATTGTCATTTAGCAACATCTGGATGGCCAACAGGTTGCCCACACTTGCCCTTTGCTTGCCTAGGAGGGACGCCTGTGTGTGGAAACCTCTGCCTTTTCTGTGGTTGGAATATAGTCCTCTGTAGAAGTCATATGCATTGTTCCACACTCTGCTACCTGTGGCCCTAGTCTGTGAGGCTGAAATGGGCCAGAAAGACAAATAATTAGCCCCATGCAGCATGGAAGGCTGAGTTAGAAGCTGGGGGTGTTTGGAGTTGTATTCCAAAACACATCGAGGTTATCAGATTGGGGGAAGGCTGAATTAGAAGCTCCTGGTGGCCAAATGCATCTTCTTGGTTGCATTTCTCACCTATTCAATAATGTTGTATTGAATATAGTTGGGCAATATGTTTTAGTACTTCTATCAGTATTATATGTTGATAAGCAGTAGCAGGGATTGAAAACTTTTGGCCCTGCCAGAAGTTGATGAACTACAACTCCCACCAGCCCTGGTCAGCATGGCCAATGATTATGAGAGTTGTAGTTCACATCAAAAAAATTAAAGCGCTATGGTACCACTTTAAATGGTAATGGCTTTCCCCCAAAGAATTCTGGGAGCTGTAGTTTAAGAGTACTATAACTCGGTGAAGGGGAGTAAGGATCTCCCAATAGTTCTCAACAGCCTTAACAAACTACAGTTCCAGAATTCTTTGGGGGGAATCCATAACTATTTAAAGCGACTTTATAGTACTTCAGATGTATAGTGAATGTGGCCCTGGAGGGCTAGAGATTCCTTCATGACTTACAGCTTGACACAGTACAGAAGATTTAAAAACGTCTCCTACCCCAAATTGTACACTTTCAGCCCAAACCATTTTAAATTAACAGAACTATAGAGAGAAACAAAAAGTAGAAAAGGAATTATCTTTCAGACATTTTGATGTGGAGCTGTATATGAGGCATGTAATTTACACATAAATGGTCTCTGGTACCAGGTCTGAGATGTACTGCCAAAACCCACTTTGTGTGTTCGAGTTTGGAGACGCTGCCTCAGTTAAGGCTTCTCTTTTGCAAAAAAACAAAAACAGCCCCGGGTTTGTTTCTCCCTGGGACACAAACCTGCCTTGTTAGGAAATCAGCAAAGTTTGGGAGCCCACAATACCTCGCATAGCTCTGCACACAGCAACAAAGTGTAAAAATGGGGCCCTCGGCACAAACAAGCAGTGGAGCGATAAATATAGAATACCGTCTCAATTCCACTTTCATTAGTCATGGCCGGACAGTTGAGAGTTTAATAAACTTATAAGGAATATTGAAACAGCTTTGCATTTAAAGCAACTCATCAAGTTTTTATAGTTGGTGGGGTTTTTAAATTCATAGGAGGATCTCCTTCCTTTTTTTAGAACATCGCCACAAGAAACGTGGATTAACGGAGATTATAAAATATTGATAAAATATATGTTCTGTACAAGAGTGTGCTTTCTTTGCTTTCTCTCACACACATATACACACTGTCTTTTTCTCTTCCCAATCTCTTCTGGTAAACACCAAATGATATGTCAACCTTGTAGCAATATTAAATGTTCCACCTGGTGGAAAAAAATTTCTGTCACACATTTCAAGTTGTTAACCTCCACGGTCCTTAGAGGCCTTCAGTCTCCTTAGCTCAGTCCCATAAGGAAAGGGCCCAGTATCTTTTCCTTAGTCGGGGAGAAGTCTGCTCATAGCTAGGGGTCTGCTTTTGAGAATCATTTGCCACGTGGCCTGCTGCTTAAATGTTTTGGGTGGGCGACAGCATAGCTGTAGGCTCTAGCCGTGTGGCTGACTGAGAGTTAGCATGGCTTGGGTGTGGTGAACCTTTGGCCCTCTAGATTTGCTGGACTACAACTCCCATCAGTCCCAGCAAGTATGGCCAATGGCAAGGGATGATGGGAATTGCTATTTCATTTAAAGCTCACTTCCCACAAGACATCCGGAAGCAATTTACAATACAAAGGCCTATATAAAACAGCTGAAAATATAAAAAACAACTTTCAAATATTCAAGATACAGAAACATTTGGAATGTCACCTCCGACCCCATCCAAGGATCTGTCACTTGCCCCAACAAAAGTTGAATTTTTGTAACCTTTTTTAAAAAACACCCCAATAATACTGTATTTAGCAATATATGCAAGACTGTGACTTACTTGATCAGTATGAGATTTCTTAACTCTGTAAGGAATTTGTCAGTGCAAATATCTATAGTGACTTTATTATTCCCCCCCCCCCCAAAAAAAAATATTTGAAGTGTTGCTTTAGGTTAGGTTCTTAACTTGATTATTTTAAGCTTTATAAAATAAAGCCTTGTGGCATTCTGAAATACTTTGTCTCCAGGAACTTTGGGTTCCATTTAATGATAGTGTTATATTTTTGAATTACAGTAATGTTACTGATGCAATTCTCCTCCAGGCTTGTGAACTGCTTGCTGATGTCCAGTTCTAAGATGTTCGGTACTTCATTGTTCTTTTTTTCAGATTTCGTTTTAATATTAATATTTTTATTGTTCTTGTTAAATCCTCAGTAGGTTGGTATTTCAACCAGTCACCCCAGTCAACCAATTGAAAGCAAGGCAATTAATTGGCAAGTTTTGTAAAGCTTAATTCGATTAGGGTCTGTATGTATTAGTACAAGTCTCAAATGTAACTCCCCCAACCAGATGTTGTTAATTGTGGAAATGTAAGTGGTAACAGGAGGGAGGAACTGCTATGTGGGAAGATCCTCAGAATATCTTGGAAGCCTCCGTTGGATAAGAGTGGCTCTGGTAGGATGTAAACAGGGAACATATGGTGGTTCCTGAAATGAATTTGGGTCAAATGTAATTCTTGGATGGTAGACAGCATGCCCTGAGTTTGCTGTTGGGACTCTCTCAGGTTCAGCAGAATCTTTCTATGCTCTTTGCAAGTGCAAGCAGTTGTGTGCAAACTCTGGAGTTTAAAGCAAGAGCAGATAATTGCTTGCAGTTCTTAGCACCCATGACAGTGAGAATAAAAAGCTATAAATAAGGACCTAGCAGGCGATTACTCCTTCCCCACCCTGTTCTCCCCTGACCACCACCTTCTTCAAGAAATCTTCTAATTGTGGTTTAATTATCAGGAAGCAAAAGGAAGCCATTCAGTGTTCTCATGTTTGGTGTTATGACACTTTCTTCCTGTGAGTTCCTCCTCACAGAAATGTCGTCTTTTATCCCACCCACCCCCTCTCTTTCTTTATTAAGCTGCTCCGGTGAAGAAGAGGATTTACCCAGTGAGGCAGGAGGACGATGGGGAGTATGCAAAGTTAGGCCACATTCAGGGCATTCATTTAAAGCCCTATGGTAGCATTTCAAACTGTCATGGCATCCCCAAAAGAATTTTGGGAAATGTAGTCCGTTAAGAGTACTGAGTTTTAGTAGGAGACGCCATTTCCCTCACAGAACTACGCTTCCCACAATTCTCTGTGAAGAGGGATTGATTGTTAAACCACTCTGGGAAATGTAGTTCTCAGGGTGGTATGATAGTAACTTTGTATGTTTGATGTGTGACTCTTGTTTAGAACTAGAGGAGGATCTTGGAAAACTCCTCAAGAAAGCAATGGCTATTGCTTTGCTCCACGTTGGGACATGCTGCTACTTGCAACTGAATGAATATGTATAATTTCACAAGCTCGATTTGCATTTCAACTAGGTCCATGAATCATCAGAAATGGGTGTGGGCATGTGAGAGAGGGAAAGGAAGAGAGAGATGTCCCAGTTTTCTTCATACCCCTTCACTCTACACCCCCACCCTGCATTCCTCTTTTTCTTAGTGAGCCAATGTAGGACAAGAGTCATTGGGCTTGGTCCAGACAGACACTGGTTCAAAATCGGGCTAAGCCACAAATCAATAGCCTTAGGGCAGAATTGTTTTATGGCGTGAAGTCTAACCCTGTGTGCATTACCCCAAAATGCCTGCCATTTTATCACTTGCTGTTCTGTCTTGCAGGGTGGTTATACACATTCCTAAGGTCGTGTACATCAAGGAATTAAGACGGGTCGCCAACCTTTTTTTTTTTTTTTTAAATGATATTTATTGAAAAAAAAATTTTTTTAAAGTTACAAAAGAAAAATAAAGTAGAAAAAGAGAAAAACAAACCACTTCCAACCATACATATACAAATTCAAAATAAGAGAGAGAGAAAAAAACAAAAATACACCACAAACATTTAAAAACATTTAAAAACAAATCCATTATTCTCAACTCCTCAACTATCATTACCCTCTTTCCTTGACCTCCTCCTCCTCCCCTTCCTTGTATCCTGGTTGTTAATTGTCACAGCAAATCCTTTCCATATTTCATAATATTCTGTCATTACATTACCTTAAACTATTTTAATCTTATCTTACTATAAAAAACCTTGAAACTTAAAACTTAAATCTTATTTTTACCAACTTCTCATAACCGTAATATACTTGCATAATTCTTTAAACATTTTTACTAAAGCCAAGTAATTTCATTCCAACATTTTTCTAACATTCATCAATTTTGTAAAACAGTCCTAGTAGTGAAAAAGAGAAATAAAAACAAATCCAATCTTCATCCAGCGTCCCTTCCTCCTGGTCCCGGGTTTTGTCAGTCCTTGTTATCCCATCGATCTGGCACATTAACCTGGTATCCTAATATCCGAGGCCCTTAAGTCTCTTCCATGTCCCTTCCGCAGCTCTTCTTCATATTTATAACTGTATTTTCCCTTGTCTCCTGCTCGTTTCACTCGTGGGAACTCCAGCTTAGCAATATTTTTGACCCTTCTCGACAGATCAGCCCCTTTTCCATACTCGACACTAAATTCCATGTGGTATTTAAAAACATGTTTCAAAATCCCTCCAAAATTGAGAGCCCCCACAATCCCAAACATCTCACGGCCCATTGCCAGACTTGAAAAGTCCAAACATCCCTGCATAGGAGGGTCTATCCAACCCCCCATTTCCAAACCAAACCAAACTTTATCTTTCCAAATCTGGCTTTTTCCAAGTTCATTTGTCAAATCCGAAAGTTCATATTCCTGTTGGGCCTGTTCTGTCAGGGCATACTCCTGATTTAATTCCTGGGTGGGCTCCACATATTTTCCAACTGCCTGTTCAAAATTTCCCACTGCCTGTTCAAAATTTCTAATCGAATCAGCCATCAAATTCGTCTTCTCATGTAGCTGTTCCAGTAGGGCGTTTGTTTTATAGAAAGCACACAACAGAGCTTCTGAATACATTGTCCTGAAGGTCAGATGTCTATTCCCACGATTGTAATCTGTAACAGCTCCCAGCTCCCAGGAGTTGGTTACAGTTTCACAGTCTCCCTCTAGGGGGAAAACTTCTATTTGATCTTTCTTTTAAAGACAAGTCTAGCAACAGAGTTTCCTTTTTTCAGATATTTTGTCAATGTTTGTTCCTTTAAGGTGCGAAAGGAAACAATGGAATTACTATGTTTCTCTTCTTTTAGCTATCTGTCAAAAGCGTTTGCCTCTGGTCAATGAGCTTCAAACGTCAGTCCTGACACCCCACTCCAGGGTCAGGACGATGGAAAGTTACTTTACTTTAAACTCACTTCTGCAGGTTTAAACAGTCCAGAAAAGATCCCCCTTCTTCTCCTGCTGCCGAAGGGGGGTTCAACAATTTTAAATGATGAAAGCCAATCCTTTAAAAGCGATTTTCTGAGCTCTAGTTTACGTTGTCTTTGCTTTATTCTGTCTACAAAGAAATGGAAGGCTGACTTCCTGTTTAGACCTTCCCGTTTCAGTACCAAATTGAAATAAAATTTTTAAGTCCAATTCCTTTCTGGTCGCAAGTCCTTATTTAAAGTCCAATTGTTCAAAGTTTAAGTACTCACGGGTGCTTATTTTAGAAGCCAAATTGTCCCAGGAAAAAGGCAGCGCTCTCCGGCAACGGCTGTGCGGCTTCGCTCCACGGAAATAGCAGTTGACTCACAGCACCGCGCCACTTCCCCCTCTTCGCTTCGGAGCCCATTAGTGGGTTCCTTTGCGCGTTGGGGGGGGCGCTAAGGGTGCCCGCTGAGTCCCATGGTCACAGGCTTCATCCGCCTGTGATTTTTTAAAAGGGTCCCCGCTTCACCGTAGCGGAAAAGACCCATTTCGCGCGGAGCTAGTCCCTCCAATTCAGAGGGAGTCCGCCATTGCCGATGGCGCCACCCTGGAAGTCTCGCCAACCTTTTTGAGCTAATAGGAACACCTGGAATTTCCTCCTCCATCCCTACATTGGGAATTTTGAGACGGTGCCGTGGATGCCAGTCAAAATGGCTGTCCTGAGGGGGGAGGGCATGGCATAGCACAAAATGGCTGCCCTGAAGACGTAGCATAATCGATACCACATCTAAAAGAGCAGAAAAAGTAACAAGGCCACAAAGTGGTGTGGGAATTCCTGCCCCTCAGTCAGCTATCCCATGAATGGTGGGATGGGGAGGCTCTTTCCATCTGTCCTTTGTTCAGAAGAGGGTAGGTATCCAATCTTGGCATCCAGTTAAATGTGGGCATATTTAAGGGTTGTGTGTGTTCAGTGTAGGAGAGGCCCATTCAGTACAAACAGGAATTGTGTAGGAAGAGCAGATAGCCTCTCGTATATTGTGGATTTTTGAAGGGATATTTAACAGACCTTCGACTGGGCACTATAGGTGGTACTATTGGCCATCCTGGCACCCATAGGTGCCATGTTGATAACCTCTGACTTAAGATATTTAAAATGCGCTGAATGAATACAAAAATATGTTCTGAAGGGAAATTTCTGTAGGATGATGTCAAGCAGGTAGTTAGAAAACACATTTTAAAAGCCTCTTCCAGTATTTAATACGAGCTACTATTTCCAAATTCCACTTTTTGTGAGCGAAATCAGGCATGTTCATATACACAGCTCATATACAAATGCATAGTCATATACAAATGCTCGTCACCTTCTGAATTCCCTTCTTGAGACAAAAGTTTTGTTGAAGTTCTCAATTGGATGGGGATTTGTTTTAATTTTGGGGTTTGTGGGAAGGATAGGGCTTGGCGAGAGCAAAGGGAAGACTTGACTATCATTTTACAAGAAAGGGAAGAATATTTCTTTTAAAAACTAAAAAGAAAAAAGAAAAAAACCACCACACTTGGCAACTCTGTGTCTGCCCGCGTGCGACTGGCGCCCTGCCAATCTTGGCGGAGGCTGTGGCCTTCGCTTGCCAGGCGTCTTACGCTGCTGGCTACGTTTCTTCATTCCCTCCAACTGACTGTTTATTCACCTGATTGTTCCGTTTCAGCCTTGGTGAAGTCATGGCGACCTTTTGAGGCATTCCAGAAAACTTGGTGTATTTGCTCTGTTATGCTTCAACAAATAATTTACGGAGAGGTCTTCCCACGACACGGTCTTGTGTTCAAAAGGCAGTAGTATGGTCCCCCTAATACTGAAACTGCCCCCCTTTTTTCTTTTAAGTAATTTCCTTTTTTTAGGAATGTGAGAAATTGCTTCATTTGTATGTTTACCCTTCTGTTGTCTTCTCTCCTCAGAGTCTCAAGGCAGAGAGGACTCTCTTTATAAACAAAGCAAAACTATATACAACAATAAAAGAGGAAAAGCATCCCATTTATTTATTTATTTATTTATTGTTAATGCATTTATAGCCAAATATTCCTCAAGGCGCTGTACATGGACCTCTCCCCCCCCCTTTCCATTTAATCTCCACAACAATCCTCTGAGGTAGGTTAGATTGAGAGGCAATGAATAACCTTAAGTCACCCAGCGAGCTACATGGCCAGCTGAACCTTGGTCTCTTACATCCTAGTCCAAACACTAACCAATGCACATACATTTCAAAATAACTTTTTTTTTTCTTTTGCATTTTCCATTCCTAGCTATCCTTTCTCTGAACTATTTTTTTTATAACACGAGTAGCCCACTCCAACACCTGAAGTATTAAATTGTCTTTTTTACATAAGCTGTTAACTGACTCTGCTTGATAATTATCACCACTGGCAATTAATCAAGCTCAGTTCCCTGATTTTTCTGCTCTGTCGGTTTGCAGGTACTTTCCCATGCTTTACCATGCTAACTAGAGACAGTTAGAAGGCACACGTTAAAAAGCATATTTTCTAAGAGAGTGTGAAGACGAAGACTGGTGGTCTAAAGTTAACACAAATGGGCTTCAGTTCCGCTGAAGAGCTGTGTGCAGACGGTCCCAGGTTCATTCCCTGGGAGGTGCTGGAAATGTTCACTCTCTGAAATGCTGGGGAAAGTTGCAGGAGATTGCTCATGTCCTGCTTGTAGTCTTTCCACAAAAATCTGGTTCGCCATTGTGGAAAGCAGGATGCTGTGCTAGATGGGGCTTTTGGTCTGATCTAGTAAGGACTCTCTCATGTACTTAAAATGATAAAAGGACAAAAATCGAGGCCAGGAAACCAGAGGGGCTCGGTATAAACGCAGCTTGTGTTAGAAACAGCCTGTTCTGGTTGTATTGTAGCTTTTTATGCTTTCTGAAACAAGAGCGATGCAGGAGAACCTTGTGTAACTGTGCTGTTCAGCTCATTGATGCCAGATTAGTTTGGTGTAGATGGTGTGGATGACCCATGCAGTGTTGTAGCTTTTTGTTTTTATTTGCAAATCACCCTAAATAAGTGTGCATCAAGGTACATAATATTTTAGGTACCACAAGCTGAGCTCTAAAGGCATGGTATACATGCATGTGTCTGCGGCTTTGCTTGATATCCTTGTGTAAACGGGAAATCTTGTTACCATACTAAATCTTACGTTTTGGCACTCGTGGGGAGCAGCAATCCATCTGCTTGCAAGACGCGCTGTCTGGAGCTGCTAATGAAATCCCTTAATAGCCTTGGAGACTTCTAATATTTACGTACACTGAGCTGAGGCGCAGCCCACTGCAGGCTAGCAAATCTGGCATCCAAGCAGAGAGCCTTTATGATGTCAGGTTAACACCGGTTGACTTATTTAAACTACTCGTTCAAAGTAATACTTCGAATGGTCATTTACTATCTTTAGCTGAAGACAAAAATAAGAAAACTCGCAGCCGCCTGTGGCTAAGGCTGCTGTGATGTCATGCAGTGTTCGCTAACAACTCTGAACTGCTTGAGCGGGGAAATGTCAGCAAAGGAATGTTGATAGGCTGTGTAACTTCTGTGAGGCAAGTGAAAGGGTAGGAACTGTAGCGCAGCGTTCAGACTCCTGCTTTGCAAGCCGAAGGTTCCTAGGTTCTTTCCTCGACAAGTCTAGCCAAAAGGACATGGGGACACAGGGAGCTGCCTTAACACCACATCAGACTGTTGGTCCATCTACCTCAGCCCTGTCCATGTGGGCTGGTAGAGGGTCTCTAGGGTTTCAGAGAGAGGACTGGGGCCTTCTGCATGCAAAGCAGATGCTCTGTCATTGAACTATAAAACATTTGTGATTGTAACTTTGTTTTAAAACTCTTTTAAAGTATTTGCTGTTGTACGCATGTCTTGTAATACTTTTTTAAAAAAATTGTCTAGCCATTCTGTCTCTAGCAGTAGAAGAATGGACTATGAATCAATCAATAAATACGTCTGATAATGCAGAATTTAAACTGATAATTTGGGGGTTGTGCTTCGCCAGTGGTGGGGAACCCTTTGCCGCCTAAGGGCTGCATTTCCTTCTGGGCAGCCTTCCACGGGCCATGTACCAGTGGTGGGCAGGGCCAAAGGTTATAGTCATAGATGTAATTTCTTTTACCTTTGTACAGTAGACTAGCTTCTGCACTCACACACTGCTCTCTAGCCCTCATCCAGATAAGCAAGAGGCATTATCAGAATTCAAGCCAGGCAAAAATTACTCTAGGTGTGAAACTTGTCTCATGGGGGGGGGGTGGACTGGGGAAAGCTGGGGGGACAGTTAGAGAACCCCAGAGGACTGCATTCAGCTCCTGGGCCTGAGATTCCCCACCCTGTGCTGTGCCATTGTTTGGGTTGCGTTTATGCCTTATAATGTGCCCCTTATTTATGCTGCTTTGCTCTTTTTCCTCCTTACAGTGTGTCCCAGCTCATGTGGCAAACATGCTTGTACTGACCAAAATGAATGTTGCCACCCGGAATGCTTGGGAAGCTGTACGGCCCCAAACAACAACTCGGCATGTGTGGCTTGTCGCAACTACTACCACGATGGGACCTGCGTCGCCACCTGCCCGCTCAACACGTACAAGTTTGAGGGCTGGCGCTGCATCACGAAGGAGGCCTGCTCCAAAGTGGCCTTGGAACACTTCGAATATGATAGCTTTGTGATTCATGACGATGCGTGTGTGTCCGACTGTCCTCCTGGATTTGTGCGCAATGATACTCAAAGGTAACACACACAGACATTGCAAGTTGCTGTACTCTTTGGGAAACACAGTTGGAGAAAGGCTATTCCGATATGGAGGATATTGCAGTAGAGCATCTGTCCCATTTTCTAATATTTCATTAACAATGCAGTACCTCTTTTATTATGGAAGTGTGGCTTTTTGACCAATGTACCAACTATGGGACGTGGGTGGCGCTGTGGGTTAAACCTCAGAGCCTAGGACTAGAAGTGCCATTTGCTAAGGGTGCTGAGAATTGTTAGGATCAGAAGGTCAGCGGTTCGAATCCCTGCGACGGGGTGCGCTCCTGTTGCTCGGTCCCTGCTCCTGCCAACCTAGCAGTTCGAAAGCATGTCAAAGTGCAAGTAGATAAATAGGTACCTCTCCGGCGGGAAGGTAAATGGCGTTTCCGTGCGTTGCTCTGGTTCGCCAGAAGCGGTTTAGTCATGCTGGCCACATGACCCGGAAGCTGTACACCGGCTCCCTCGGCCAGTAAAGTGAGATGAGCGCCGCAACCCCAGATTCGTTCGTGACTGGACCTAATGGTCAGGAGTCCCTTGACCTTTACCAACTATTTATGTGCGGACCAGGGGTGGCCCATCCCGTTTAGCTGCCTGAGGCGAAACAGAAAGGTGCCACCCTGTGCTTGCACTGCACACCCACACCCCTTGCCACCCCTCTCGAAGCCTCGCTTACTGGGGTTGCGTGGCTACTGCTTCTGGGTTCTGATGAGGTCACATGACAGATTTTTGTCACAGACCTCTGGAGGTCTGTGTGATTTTGCAGGATTCTTGCGAGATCTCTCTGGGAGCCACTGCAGCCACTTGGGCAGTGGAGGTGGGCCTGGAGACACCACTTGAATTCTGCCACCTGAGATGGCTGTGTCAGCCCTCGTTGATGGGCAGGTGTGTGCACAGAAACCAAAGTTTTTATTGCAGGAACATAACAGGGTTGGAGTAAGATGAGGGTCTTTTGTTATTTCCCTGGGAAAGAGGGTTTGACTGTTAAACCACCTTAACGAACTTCAGCTCTCTGAGAAGGAGAAGGGGAGGGGACTCCTAACAACTATCAGCACCCTTAAAAACACTACAACTCCCAGGATTCTTTGGAGGAATCTATGACTGTTAAAAGCAATATAGTAGTGCTTTAAGTGTGTTGTGCCCATGAGGCAAGTTGAACAATCCAGGTATTCTTCCACTGCAGATCAACTTATTATGTGCAGACTACTTCCTCTGCATTGCAGTCAATGAGTAATGAAAATCTGTGTGAACTTGCCCCTAAATCCCTTTAGCATTGTAGCATGTGTTTCGTTTTTAAACCTTTGGCCAAAGAGCTTGGGTGACAAATTTCGGAGGGATGACCATGTTAGTCTGTTGCAGCAAAAAGAGACAGACTAACTTAATGGGTCAGAAGTGGGCCCAGAATCTTACTTTGTTGGGTGCAAGACAAATAAAACTTTGGCATTCTCCTGAGAGGATGGTTATATAAATAAAGACCACCCTTCCTCTTGAACTTTTTTTTTTAAAGAAGTTCTGCGGAGTGTTTGCCTTTATTTGTTCAGCAATTTCATTTCCTGTTGACATCTGACTTCTCATTTTTTTTAATGTTAATTTATCCAAACAAACCTTCCTCTGGCCCCCCAAAGAGTTCCTAGTTTATATACAGGTGCAAAGTACTGATCTTTGCCCCTAATTTAGAAACCCAGTGTTTACTGGGAAAAGTTTTTTCCTTGCTGCCTCTGACTACTTGAGTTTTCAGGTGATTAAAAACACTCATAAAAAACATAAGCCTCTTTATCTGAGCCTCTGTGTGGTAATGGAGAAGATGGGAAGTGGTGAATTGAAAGCCAATGAAATTTGTAGTTTCCCCTCCTGCCTTCACCACTTGCCTTCCCATGATTAGCACTAATAGCTGCAAGGGAAGGGGTGGTAATTATTGGTGTGTTTACTTTTAATGGTTTCTGGCATGTACCAACAGGGCCATGTACTGAGAGTGCTTGAAATAAGTGTGAGGATCAATCAATCATTGGGTTGTTTATGTTTTTGATTATGTATTCTGTGTTTCTATGTTATAACCTGCAGGTATAGGGCGGTATACAAATTTAATAAATAAATAAATTGGTATGCTGCTTTTCCAAAGTTCAAACCATGCTCAAGGTGGCTTACAACATATAAAACATTACATAATTCCAAATGTAGCAATAGTAGTCAGAAACAATAAACAAAACTTCAAGTACACAACCAGATTGGACACTTTCCACATAAACCATAAGATCTGAAATAAAAGTTACAAAAAATTAACAGCAACAACACACCCACCACCCTGCAGTGCTGCCTCCTAAACAATGCCTCAGCCCAAGATTCTGTTCAGCAGTCTCAGCTTTTGTAGCTGGAGTCAGTCAGGGCCCCACCCTTCCAGGCCAGGTGGGGAAAGGCCTGCAAGGCAGGGAGCAGTTCTTCCAGGACTTACAGGCAGTGACTGGAAAAGTGCATCTTATGGCCATGATAGCTATATTACCTTCATGACTAAAAACTGGCGGCTTACGAGAAGGTGACCCTCTATAAAGAGGAGAAAGATTGAAAGTTTTCAAATATACGGACTTCTTGCCATATATTTGAATGTTCCACCACTTCCTCCTCCCCTTCCTCTTTCCTCCCTCATTAAATGTGCACACAGAACATAATTGTTTTGATTTATTATGGTTTATCTTGTGTTGTTTGACTATTGTTTTGTTTTTCCTTCTTGGGGAAGTTCAATTAAAAAAACCTATTGATTGAAAAATGGCAGGTTTTTGCTGATTATTTGTTGCCCTTCTCTCCTGACAGCATGTTCTGCAGCCCTTGCGAAGGACCCTGCCCCAAGGTGTGCTCCTTTGAAAAGACGATAACCATTGACTCTGTCACGTCAGCAGAGTTGTTACAAGGATGCACAGAAATCAAAGGGAGCCTCGTTATCAACATCCGCCGTGGAAGTAAGAAACAGTTTCTGTTCACTTGCTTGTTTGCACATGTTTATTTGTGTGTGCGTGTTTAATCACCATCACTCCTATTTTTCTAGAAAATGTAGGTGCAGGAACTCACCACGAGCTTCTCCCTTGCTCCCTTAGAATGGCAGTGGCACCTACCTGAGAGGTGCCAGAACTGAGCTCCTGTGAGCTCTGGCTGAAAAAACACTACAATTGTTTGAGAAACGTCTCCATTTTGGATACCTTACAAATAATGCAAGCTTTTTTAAAAAAAAAAAAAGTTTTCCCTTTTTAATGGTTTGTTTTTATTTTGTCTTGTTTATAAAAAGCAACAAGCTATGCAGAAGGATGGTAAAGTAGTCCTTTAAAAGAAATGGAATAATGCTTGCTTGGTAGAATGCAGGCCATTTGGGAGAGCTACTTGCTAAAGCAGGTATAGGGAGGGAGGGAGGAGAGGAAGCATCCTCTGCCTTCAAACAGTCGGCAGACCGCAGGCAAGTTGAGTCTCCTGCCCTCTCCATTGGCATGGACTTCCCCCTTTCATCTCTGCGTTACAACACCTCCTGCCTCACCAGCAGAGTTTCTCTAATACAGTGGTGCCCCGCAAGACGAATGCCTCGCAAAACGAAAAACGCGCAAGACGAAAGGGTTTTTCGGTTTTTGCGTCGCTTCGCAAGACGATTTTCCCTATGGGCTTGCTTCGCAAGACGAAACTTCTTGCGAGTTTTTTTTCCTTTTTCTCAAAGTGACCGCAAAGGCGAGCTCCGGTCGCGCGGCCGAGGGAAGCCCCGCTGTGGGTCGTCCAAAGTCAGCCCGAGCACGCCACTCACCTAAAAGGCATGGAGAGACGGAGGGAGCGCGCGAGGATCCCGGTGCAGAGGAGGCTCCTGCAGCAAAATAAAGGCAGTCGGCAGCCGGAGGGCTCCAGGACCCGGAGCTGTGGCGGGGCCGTTGATGGCGTTGCCGGAGACTCCTCCCTCTGGGCCTCGCTCTGTCCGCCTTTGCCGCCGCTTGCCCTGCCTGCGACTGGCCGGGCTCATCGCTCCGCTCTGCAGAGCGCTGCGCAAAGGTGCGGCGGGACAGGTGTCCAGGGACACTTTGGCTGAGCGCGTCCAGGGATCGGAGGTGCGGGGTGCTTGCTGCAGATCTTATCTTCCGGGGTCGCTGGGATGGCGGCGGTCGGGGCTTGTGTTATGTAAGCGTGTCAGGAGGGACTGCTTAAGAGGCCGGACGAGGCTTATGCAATGGCCAGATGCTCCCTAGGGGTCGAGGCTTGCAGTTGCGGGAACGAGTTTATACCTGTAGCCGCTAAGCCGCTAATAGCCGTGCTTTGCAAGACGAAGAGACTCGCGGAACGGATTAATTTCGTCTTGCGAGGCACCACTGTAATTACAGGGACTTCCCGCCTTCCTCCATTGCATCAGTAAGGAAAATGAGAAGATTCCACTTGCCTGGAGCGCCTTAGCCAAATGGCCTGGGAGAATATTTAGCATTTCCATTTGGATTGTTATTGGGAGCCCGAAATCTGCAAGATTGCTTATGGGCAACTTTTCAGCTTGTAACAAAGTTTCTAGCTCTCATGAGTGGTAGAATGGTTTGGTAATCTCATGAATCGTATTGTATTTTAACTTTTAATGTATTGCTTATATATTCAAAGCTTGCTTACTTTCGTTTATTTTTAAAATTGTCTAGGCCAGTGCAGTAAATTTGATGATGATGATGAAAAACTACATTGTGCTTATCTTTCCTGGTCCACCTCTCAGTTTATTTGGCTTCCCACCATGAATATAAGTATTTGGAAGTTTGATTGCTGGAACAGAATAAAATGTGTATGGGAAGCTTACACACACACACACACACGTATGTCAATAGGCTAAATCCACATACTTCTTACAGTTGAATTTTGTATTAGTTTGATCAGGGTAGAATGGCCTTCACCAAACTACTCTATAGGTGCCTACAAATCCCATACATCCCAGCCACCATTAGAACTCAGTGGTTTCTGACAATGGAAATTTTAGTCCAAAACATCCAGAGGGCACCAGATTGGGGAAGGCTGGAATAGAATATACAGAGTGTGGAGAGGAGCTCTTTTGTTCCACAATTGTTCAGACAATTACTGCCTCTTCTTAGATAAGGGAAATGAATTCACAGTATGACCTTGAAGGAGGGGATACTGAGAAAGGGCCACATTCACAACCATATATTTAAATGATACCACTTTAAACAGCTGTAGCTTCCTCCAAAGGATTCTGGGAGCTGTAGTTTGTTAAGGGTTTTATAATAGTTTAGGCTGGCCATATTTCAAAAAGTAAAATTCCTGACACCCCCTTTCTTTTGAAAGAAAGAAAGGACACATTTTCCAACTTCAACTCTTTCTTTCTTTCTTTCTTCCTTCCTTCCTTCCTTTTCCCCACAGGGGAAAGGGGGCAGTGGCACAGCCTCCTCCCAAAAAAACCCCCCACCCCCACCCCCAGTGTCTTCAAGTGCTGCTTCTTCCTCCTCCTCTTCTTCTTCCACCAGGGAGAAAAGAAATGGAGATTCCCTTTTGAGGTCCCGCCCCCCGCTTTGGGAGGGTGGGACTGAGCAAGTAGCTCCCGAGCAAGTAGCCACAGGCGCCCTGTTCCCTTTTAGCCGGGCTCCTCGCCTCCTGCTCTGCATCCTGGAAAGGGGAGTGATTGTACCCCTCGAGGCAGCAGCTGCTGCAGCTTTGAGAAGGTAATGCAGCGGCTCTTGAGAGAGGAGGAAGGCAGGGACAGGATAACTGAGTTGTCTTTATTTTCCTCTCTGGACGGCTGGTGGGTGCTCAGGGCTGCTCTTGCCCTCTTTCCACCATCTTCCATGCTCCTCTCCCCCTCAGTTAGGGCTGTTGCACGTGGGAAGGCATGGGGCGCAAGCGTGCTTTGGGTCTCCCACGTAATGGGAGATATTCTTTCCATTGCTCAGTGGGGGGAAGAAAAACCCAGAAATAAACCCCACGTTGCCATATGTACGGGAAATTCCGGACATCTCTTAAAATTCAATCCCCCCCCCTCCAGGACATCATTTTAGGCATCAAATTTCATGGCATGTCTGGAATTTTCTGGACGTATGGCAAGCCTAGAACCGATTCTCATCCCAGAGCTGCAATTCCCAGAGCTCTCTGTGAAAATTGGATAGATTGCTAAACCACACTGGGAATTGCATAACTGGGAGGGGAATAAGAATCTCCTACCAACTCTCAGCACCCTTAACAAACAATAGCTCCCAGAATTCTTTTTTGGGGGGGAGCCATGACTGTTTAAAAGCGGTATCATAGTACTTTGAATGTCGGGTTTAAATGTGGCCTATGTCTTCAAATCAAATATGGGAACAAAGAGCTGCTGCTGTTTACAAGCTTGTGGTGTTTCTCTCCCCCCCCCCTTGTTTCTTTTTTAATTTTTTTTTTAAAGTAAGGGTGCATTTTAATGTTGGCACCTCCTTTCGTAGAGACGTTGGGTGGCACGTCTGTGGATTAAGGTATTTGCCCACTGGCAAAGTTTTTCCTGCAGTGTACATGATGCCCTCTTTAAATACTGGCGCCGAAGCTTCCATTCCTGCCCTCCCTGGTGCCATGAGCTGGCCTCACCAAGTACATGTCTTAACAGAATACAAGTGCTTAGTTAACGATTCGTCGGGGTAGTGAATCATACTCTGGGAAGATTCCAACCAATGCTAAACTTTAAAAAGTGTTACTCTTCTTCTCTTTCTTGAAATGTGTGCTTTGTCTTTATTATAAACAAGCAAGGAAGAATCCAGAGAGGAACACTATAATTTTGTCTGTTGCATTGAGCCACATTTCTGCTAGATATTTAAAGGCACCACGATACCACTATAAAGTGGTGGATTCTCTCAAAGAATGATGGGAGCTGCAGTTTGTTAAAGCTGCTGAGAATTGTTAGAAGACTGCAGCTTTCCTCACAGAACTACACTTCCCAGAGTTCCCTGAGAAGAACGATTGGTTGTTAAACCACTCTGGGAACTGTAGTTCTGGGAGGGGAATAAAGGTAAAGGGGCCCCTGACCATTAGGTCCAGTCGTGACCAACTCTCGGGTTGCGGCGCTCATCTTGCTTTATTGGCCGAGGGAGCCGGCGTACAGCTTCCAGGTCATGTGGCCAGCATGACTAAGCCACTTTTGGTGAACCAGAGCAGCGCACGGAAACGCCGTTTACCTTCCCGCCGGAGCGATACCTATTGATCTACTTGCACTTTGACGTGCTTTCGAACTGCTAGGTTGGCAGGAGCAGGGACCGAGGAACGGGAGCTCACCCTGTCGTGGTTCTGATCCTAACAGTTCTCAGCACCCTTAGCAAATGGCACTTCCCATAATTCTTTGGGGGAGCCATGACTGATTTTAAATATATGGTTTGGATGTAGCCTGAGTTCAGCAAGGAACTGTTTTGTGGCTAGTGGAGACAGTTCACTGAGGGTGACTAGGGTATTGTCCCACTAAACGCATTGTGCTCTCAGTCCAACTCTACAATTCTATGATACTGTGGCCTGCCTGTCTTTTTAATTGCCACTACCAGTTCAAGGGTTGACCTTAGTCTCAGGGTTGCCCTTGTAGAACTCAGTAGGGAGGGGTGTGGGGAGAAAACAAGAATTGGTTGGTGCTGACCATCATTGGCTCTGGCTCCACCTACTGCTTGGCTCTCTGCCTCCTGCCCTACCAGCCCTAATGGGATCCAGCCTCCATTGATTACAACTTTGCTTCCCTCTGATAGCATTTTCACACCTTTCGAAACAGAACTTTAATTCTGCCTCATGTTGACTGTTAAGTTAGCTCATCGTTTGTCTTAACTGGATCTGCAAGAACAAAATGTCCAAGATAAGAGAGGCAGTTAAAAGCTATAATTTTGGGGGGGAGGGGGGTGACATTCCTTTTGGCCTGAGTCATGATACAGCCCCAGAAATACCATAATTCTTTCCCTCTATTTATTTCCCTAAAGCAAAACTTGTGGGAAACCTAAACCTTGCGCTCAAGGAAGTGATAAGCAGCTTTCTTAAAATGTGCTGTAGAGAATCTGTACTCCATTCAGTCTCCTGTTATAAACATGGACCTACTATGCTCCTTATCCTAATGGTACAGGAATAAGGAGGGCTAGTCTGGATGTCAACTTTGAGTCCAGGCCTATGGTTTTATGCCTGTATGATGGAATTCTGTAGAAAGAGAGGCTACTAAAGCGGTCCAACCAGTCTCTTCGTTAAATTAATACCTGTAGGATATCTCTTTGCATGACTGAAGAGTACAGGCAACTAGTTGCCATAGAAACTACTGTGCTGGAGATGTATCCAGAAGGCAGGCCTTGCCCTGCCTCTTGCCCTGGCTGGAGGTGGTATCCCTGGTATGTGTAGGAGAACAATAAACCTGGGCTAGTCTGATGTGGGCCTGGAGGTGGGCAGACACAGCATCCACAGCTATGGCTTTCAGGGGCCTAAAAACCTAATGAGGAAACAAATGCTACAGTCATACCTTGGGTTGAAGTAGCTTCAAGTTGAGTATTTTCGGGTTGCGCTCCGCAGTGACCCGGAAGTAACAGAACACATTACTTCCGGGTTTCGCCGCATGCATAGACGCACATGACATCACGCACATGTGCGGAAGTGGCGAATCGCAACCCGCAAATGCGGGTTGCGTTCGCTTCAGGATGCGAATGGGGCTCCGGAACGGATCCCGTTTGCATCCAGAGGTACCACTGTATTGGCACATTAATGACCTGAATTGTCTTTCATTCTGCTTGTATGTACTGTATGTGTAAATAAAACCATATCTCACAAAGAGAGCACAGTCTCCAGTGAACTTTATTCCAAGGAAACAAAACCTGGAGTATGCTCTGGCACCCCTGAAATCTCTCGTTTCTCAGAGATTTTTGGGGGGTGTGTGTGAGGGTGACACTAATTTATTTGGAAATCCAAACACTCCTTTGGAGAGTTATCTAGTTGAAGCTTTCTTAGCACAAGGAGTCTGTTGTGAGTCTGTTGGGACTTTATCAGAAGGGTTGAGACAGTGGAAATCCTACTATTCCAAATTACCCAATGAAGCTAAGTTGTTCTGGCAGTCCTGGACCTACTTCCAAAGGAAGTTTTACTTCTCACCATGCGTAACTAACTTAAAAGAGTCCACCACTACAGAATGGGATGATGGTCATAAGCTTAGAGGCCATTAAACACAGATTAGACAAATTAATGAAGACCATGAGAGCCAACCTCCAAGAGTAATAAACCTCTGGATAACGAAAGTTTCTGAACAAATCGGTGATGGGCATTGACCACTATGTCCTGTGTTTGAGAAGAGCCTTACTGGATCAGGCCAGTGGTCCATCTTGTCCAGCATCCTGTTCTCACAGTGGCCAACCAGATGCCTATGAGAAGCCTACAAGCAGGACCTGAGTGCAACAGCAATTCTCCACACTTGCTGTTCCCAACAACTGGTATTCAGAGGCATGCAGCGTCTGACAGCGGAAGTAGAACAATAGCCATTGTGGCTATTGGCTGTTGAGAGTTGTATCCTCCCTTAATTTGTCTAATCCTAAATTGAGTTTACGGACCTTGCATTTTAGAGAAGACCCTGCATAACTTGAGGTTCCGGGGCCAGAGCTTCTCAGCGGGATGTTTTCTGTTAGCATTAGTATGGTAAAATTTACGTCTGTCCTGGAGCCTAACAGGAGCTGTGGCTTCCTGTATGTTTAAATTTACAACTGCATCAGAAACTCTTGCCAAAGCATTGGCTGTTGAAAGCTCAGAATCTGATGCTGGCACTAGCAGGGTGCATTCATAATGAAGGGAAGGCCATCCGTACTGGCCAGAAACTGACGGTGTAAAATTGTAGCGGTATCTTGTTTTGCGTTCCATTTGCCTTGTGTTCGTAGGTAAATCATAAAGGTTGGACTGCTGAACAAGGAGTCTGTATTTAATCGGAGAAGGCAGTCAGTAGTATTCTGATTGGGACAATGAGCAAAAGGAAGCTTCTGAAACTAGCAGTTTTTCTTCAATTCTTTCAGACAACATTGCCTCGGAACTGGAGAACTTGATGGGCTTGATAGAAACAGTGACTGGCTATGTGAAGATCCGGCATTCCCATGCACTGGTTTCCCTCTCATTTTTGAAGAATCTGCGCTATATCAACGGAGAGGATCAGCTGGAAGGGTGAGCATTTAATTGTCATGTAATGATGTTCTTGTTTCTACTATTTCTTCCGAAAACAGTGCTATTGGAGATACATTCTTTGGCATATATATGTGGTGGTCTCGGTCATGTGCTTGTGGAGGAGGCAAATTTTTCTGTTGGAATGGAAAGAGTACCAGCCACGCAGCAACTAGTTAGTGGTGGCACCATCAATATTATTAAGCCCCCCACTCCAGCTTCTCACCTGGCTTTCCCAAATACATCTATTCAGCCACAAGGCCTAGAAACTTGCTTTAAAAGACCTACACTGAGGTTTCTGTACCACTGCAGCATCCTGTATTATTTACACTGTCTTAAATAATGGCCATGCATGTGAGGCAGAGGTCTTTTGAGATATTTTACTCACTAATTCATGTCTTCTGACACCACTCCTTGTGGTCTCAAACCACAGGGCGATTTCCACCTTTGCACCATATGCGTGCAACAAAATTTATCAGTAGTGGAGGAGAGACAGCATGTCAGAATCTTGCAGGTTGTGGTTGTTTTTGTGGCAGTGGAGTTTGTCTGGGAAATTGCTGTGTATGTTCTCTTTCTCTCTGCTCTCTCTCCCCCCCCCCATTCCTTTTGGATTTAAGCTGTGACAGCAGTTAATAAACACAGATTTGGGAAAAACAGTTTGTGAACAAGGTGGTAGCAAGGTCATGGGAAAGGCACCGTATGTGTCTGATTTCTGATTTATCAGGTCTGAAAGGATTATGTTACAGCATGAGGGTTTCTTCACAAGCCTCCCTTTTTTCTCAGGCTGTGCTTTGGTGAGCTTTAAATTCTTAAAATTCCACTATGTGATAGAATAAGCTCGATTCTAAACTCAAAAAATCCCACTGTCTCCCTTCCCCGTGAAGATTGCCCTGACGGTGCACTTTGAAAGCAGCAACCAAGTGTTTTTCCTTCTTTCTGCTCCTGGCAAATCCTGGGTTCTGCTCTTCTGCCTTGAATAAGGAAAGTGCCTCGTACCAAGGGAGACCATTAGCCCATTTAGCATAGTACTGTCTGCACTGGCTGGCAGCAGCTCTTCAGGGTTTCAGACAGGGGACATTCCCACCCCTACCTGGAGATGTCGGAGGACATTTTTCATGTCAGGCTGATTCTCTGCCACTGAGCTAAGGCCATTCTCTTAAGACATGGGAGCATTAAAAAAATGCTTTATACTGAGTCAGACCAGTGGTCCATCCAGCCCAGTGTCTTCTACACTGACTGGCAGCAGCTCTCCAGGGTTTCCAGCTGGGGACATTCCCAGCTCTCTCTGAAGATGTCTATGGCTGAATGCAGCCATACATAAGAAGAACCTGCTTGATGGCCCATCTGTTCCAGTATCCTGTTCTCACAGAGGCCAACCAGATGCCTGTGGGAAATCTTCAAGCAGGATCCAAACACAAGAATTCACAACTCCTGCAGTTTTCGGCAACTTGTATTCAGAAGCATTTCTGCCCCTGACTGTAGAGGCAAAGCACAGCCATCAGGGCCGATGGCCATTGATAGCCTTCTCCTCCATTAATTTGTCATATCCTCTTTAAAAGCCACTATGGGAGTTCCCTAGGCCCTCCAGGTTTCTCTGCCTGACCCTCAGGACCAGCATTCAAAATTCACCAGGCGCCTTTTGCACCTGGCTTTTGGCCACTTGCGACCAAGTGAAGAAAGATGCCAGGATGGCGTCTGACAACTCCACCATCTGGAGATGCATGCCTGGAGATCCTGGGATCTTGACTGTTTTCATACACGTAACAACACCTCCTGTAAAATTCTATCTATGATATTTCATCTGCACAATCCTAACCCAGTTCCAGGAACCAAAAAGTCATTGAAAAATATGACTTCGGAGCCACCTGGCCCCCGAATGGCAACTAGGCATTCTGTTTTGGCATTCTGTAACCCTGGTTTAAGGAGCCATTTGGTACGTAGCTTATGTATCTGAGTTTCGGTTCACGTCTCCGCTCCTCCACATGCAGCTGCTGGGTGACCTTGGGCCAGTCACACTTCTCTGAAGTCTCTCAGCCCCACTCACCTCAGAGTGTTTGTTGTGGGGGAGGAAGGGAAAGGAGAATGTTAGCCGTTTTGAGATTCCTTAGGGTAGTGATAAAGCGGGATATCAAACCCAAACTACTACTACTCTTCTTCATTCACACTCTCCTTGAATGCTGGAATGTGACTGGAATGTGCCCTTGAAGTCTCATAATGCCTCACACTTCCATGGATGGAGGATAGAAACTGGCCTACTGGTGGAAAGTAGCATTTATATTCATTGCTATGTCCTCTTTAGCCTCTGGCCCTACCTAACCCTGACATGTGGTCCCCAGGAGGTTGCCCAGAAGATAATATAGTCCTCAAATTGGAAAAGGTTTGTTGACCCTTGATTTAACAGTGCAGCCCTCTGCCACCCATTCTTACCAGTGTGGAAACAAGTAACCTGCAAGCAGTACTGTCTACCAACGAAACACATATCCATGCCTGCATGTTTCTCTGGGTACTCTACTGCATATAGTTTCTGAAGACGTGTTTGTTTCTATTCCCTGCAATAAAGGTGTTGTTGCAGAAGTGTCTGGGCATGGTACTATGGCCATGTTTTTCAGAAACATGAAAGATAAATCTTCTAAACAAATCCTTCAAAGTTTCCAGTCCACAAGGGGGTTATTCATTCACATACCTGTATTCCTAAATCAGTCATTTGCAGGCAAAAAGAAAGGAAGGGGAAACCAGCTTTTATCCCTTTATTTCCTGAAGGCAATGCTTCACTTTCCAGGGACGATTAAACAAGTGCCTCTGTTTACAAGGCTACAGCAAGAATCCTAGTTTGACTTTTGGGCCATTACTGCGCCTTTAGATTCTGGATGCTTCAGGAGAAGCAAGCAAAAGCACATCCTTTGGGTGCAGAAGGTTCCAGTTCAGTCCCTGGCAACTCCGAGTAGGACTGGGAAAACCTCAGTGTCTGACACCCGAGAAAGCTGCTGCAAGCTGACATTGACAATGCTAAGCTATATGAACCAGTGGTCTGATTCTGTGTAAAGAAGTTTCCTATGTTTCTGGAGCCCCAATGGTAATTAGTGCACTATTCCTTAGTGGCATTGGATGCCTACAATGCACAGCACTCTCCAAAGTGCCTCTTAATCTGCTGTTGCAGCTTTTCTAGGGTGGGGGAAGTCACTCTCTCCGAGCATCAGTGATTCTTGTGGGGGTTCTCCCTAGCAGAGCAAAGAGTGCCCCCCACACTTGTGTGGATTGTCAGCCTTGTAAGCTCCCTACTGTAATGTTCATTTGTTTTATTTGCAGGGAGGCAACAAGCAGAACAGAAAATGTGTACAGTTGTTGGCAAAGACTGGTTTTGCTTTCAAAACATTCCTGTCCTCTCCCTCCCTTATTTTTTTTAATAGGAATTACTCATTTTATGTTCTGGACAACCAAAACCTGCAACAGCTATGGGACTGGAGCCATCACAACCTGACCATAAAGGAAGGCAAGATGTACTTTGCTTTTAATCCCAGACTCTGTGTTTCGGAGATCCAGGATATGGAGAGGGTTACTGGAACCAAAGACCGGCAGAGTAAAGGCGACATAAATCCAAGGAACAACGGAGAGAGAGCGTCCTGTACGTAAAGGAAGTATAAGATAATGATGATTCTCTTACTTTTGTTACAGTTGCAATTAATGAAAGTTGTTCGTTCTTGTGCAAATACTCTCCAAGTGCCTTGCAATATATTTAAAAACAGAAGTAAAAAAATTACATTATACTAGAAACACATTTACACAAAAACACATGCAATTCATTAAAAGTACACAAAGTAATCCCATAGTAGCAGAAAGCTTCAATAGCACACTAGCACCAGACAACATCATTGTACTACATCAAAAACCTGGGAAGGGAAAAAAAAAGTTAAGTTTTTCCCTGGTGCCAGAAAACCAGGCATCTCACTGAGGAGTGTGTTCTACAAAAAGGCAACCACATCTAGCTCAGGACTGTCTACATTAAATGGCAGTGTCTCTTTCAGACAGGAGAATTGTACAGCCCTAACTAGTGGTGTTGGGTCCTTCTGCATTCACTGCCATTGAATTGCTGGCCCTTTCCTGGTTTCTGGTCCTCATTTAAAGACAGGCCTGCTTTTTTGTTGAGTGGGCAGTGGGCTCATGAGCCCCAGACGAATAACAGGTGCCTGGAATGCTGCTGCTACCACTGCCACCAAATCTCATGCCAGCCTTTGTTTGTTTCTTAAAACACACACAAACACACAAAAGAGCTTTCTGACTTGCTCGCCTTCCATGCAGAGAGAGAGAGAGAGAGAGACTCCTCAAACAAGCTAAATGGGTTTTGAAATGCTGGCAGTTTTTTGAGCCAGAATACAAAAGGGATGAAGCACTGGTAGTTCTCTTGAGATTTGCAAGCTTCTTTTTAGAAACAACAGAAGCAAAGCAAGCAAGAACCTGCTTCCCTGTTTGACATTCTGCATGCTGGATTCTCTATGCAAGAATTAAGGGTCTTTAAAAAAACAACAACATACACAAGCACACACATCCCTTTTTGTTTTGAATTGGATGGCTTTGGAAGATGAGGAAAAAAGTCGCCTGTTCACTTGAACAGTGAGCTTGGCGCTCTAGACAAACCCAGACGTCCCCAGTGCCAGGTAGGACTGGTCTGGAGGGTGGGGTGTCCCCTCCCCTGCCTGAGGAGTCTGAAGACTCGAGAATCCAGCCTGTCTCAGTTGGAGGGAGGTGCTATCCTGCGAGTTCAGAACTTCCTTCCATGAACAGAAGTTCATGGTAAACAAGCTTCCGATTTAACTTGGCAGGGACTGGCTGAATCTCTTCTGTATGAAACATATTAAGAATAGGTCTGGGTGATAAATTGATATATTGTCCAAAACTGGTTTGAAGACCATATCGTGATAACGGTTTTATCATTTTTGACCTGGAAGTATTGCAAATCATAGTGTATGTGCGCACACGCACTATGCAAAAATCGTGATGCAGGAAAAATGTGAAGCCAGCCAATGCTCCTACATAGCTCCATCCTCATTTCAGACATTGTGGTATATCAGTATATTGTGATATTTAGCTGGTGGCGTGGGTGGCGCTGTGGTCTAAACCACAGAGCCTAGGGCTTGCCGATCAGAAGGTCAGCGGTTCGAATCCCTGTGACGGGGTGAGCTCCTGTTGCTCGGTCCCTGCTCCTACCCACCTAGCAGTTTGAAAGCACGTCAAAGTGCAAGTAGATCAATAGGTACCGCTCCGGTGGGAAGGTAAACGGCGTTTCCGAGCGCTGCTCTGGTTCGCCAGAAGAGGCTTAGTCATGCTGGCCACATGACCCGGAAGCTGCCTCGGCCAATAAAGCGAGATAAGCGCCGCAACCCCAGAGTCGTCCACGACTGGACCTAACTGTCAGGGGTCCCTTTACCTTTGCTATATCATGATGTTGAAAACTAGATATCGTCTATCCCTGGTTGGGAAGCTCTTGGTGTTGAAGGACTTTGAAGCAGGGATGGAGAACCCCTTTCAACTCAAGGGCCGTATTACCTTCTTGGCCACCTTCTGGGGGGCACATGTCAGCGGTGGGTGAGGCTGGAAGCAACAATAGGCAGGTTAGAAAATGTGAAATTTTCCCTTGTACAGACAGCTAGTTTTGTCACACACCCCACACTATCCTGCATCTAGGCAAGCAAGAAGCATCAAGGACACATTCCAGCCAGGCAAAAACGCTCAACGCAAAGCAGGGCTGGTGTGGGGTGTGGCCTGAATAGAATCTTGAGGTCCTGACAAAGAAGCATACAGGCCTGCATTCAGTTACCAAGCCTGAGGTTCCTCATCCCTACCTGTATAAGGCTGATTTACACATTCACATTCCTATTAAGGGGGGGGAGTGCATTTGTGCTTACAGGAATGTTTCACCTGTCACACCTTAAGTGCCAGACAGCCCCCACCCCAGGCCTCTCACTGTAGGAGACGACAAAGGCCATAACCCCCCTAATCTCCAGTCAGTTTTATCAGTGGAAAACTCTTCGGAAACTAAGGTGATCCATGATATTCCTTAGTGTAAGTAGACCGTAAGTGCCGCTCTGCCAATTTGTAGCCTGTGCTACTAAAATGTAAAAGCAGAACAATGATAGAATTAGAAATGAAGCTGGAACCTAACAAAAATCCTTGTGTGTATTAACACTTACATATTTGTGTCACTTCAGCTCACTTGCTGTCCTGCATTTTTCAGGTGAAAGCCACATTCTGAAATTCATTTCCAACACAACCAGGAAGAATCGGATCATGCTAACCTGGGAACAGTATCGCCCCAAAGACTACAGAGATCTGATTAGCTTCACTGTTTATTACAAAGAGGCGTGAGTATGCACATCTCCGGATGATACCACTAATGTGTGTGTTTTGCGTATGTGGGGTGGAGGGAGGAAAGGGTATCAAATTGTATGAAGGATGCTACTGATTGAATAAAAAGAGGGCCTGGATCTCCATGTAGCTCCTACTAAAGACCGCCAAGTTGAGGACAAAGAGCAAATGCTGTTAAACTATAGCAAGAGTTAGATAGCATTTTAATTGGGTCCTTTGGCCAAAGAGCTTTATCCCAGGTAGGCTGAGTGAGGTGTGCATGTGTATGAGAGACTGGTCTAAGGTAATCCACTGAGCACTATGGCTCAATGGAGACTTGAAATGAAGTCTTACCAGTTGAGGTTTTCCAAGGGTATATATACAACTGTTTAAAGTTGTGTGGTGATTGTTCATATCATGTGCCTACAGCAAAAAATGTTTGCAACATGAAAGGGAAGAGCACCTCTTGAATACAGTGGCCACATAACGTTAAACTATGGTTTGTTGCAATATGGTTGAGCCTGAAGATTCCTGATCAAAGTGTTTGGCTTGTTTGCTCCACTTTCTTTCTCCTCCTACACTGGAGAAGGACAAACTGCTAAAGAATCCCATTATGTTTAAGTCAGGCATCCTGGTTTAAATCACTCTGCTTAGTTTATCAAGTCAGCTTCATAACCCATGGTTTGATGTTGGCTTTCTATGACGACAACAACAACAATTTATTTATACCCCGCCCATCTGGTTGGGTTTCCCCAGCCACTCTTTTGTGAAATTTTTATTTCTTGGTGTTTTTCAGACTCTCATGTCTGCTTTGTTAACCTTGCTGCCTGTTACTTTGCAACCTGCACGCCTATATTTTCTTCTATTACCCATCTTTTCCCTTGCCTCTTTTTAATTTTTTCTTCTTATTTCTGACATTGTAAGTGGCCCTGGCACTTTCAGTACGTAAAAAGCTATGGAATATCTTGCCATCTACAATATGTTTCCATCTTGGCTAGGATTTTCCCCATCCCCTTTCTCATATTCCTTTCCTTTGGCTGCATTCAGCCATAATAATAAACTCAATAAGGCTTTTGATAGGAGCAATAGTAGATGAGCTCACATGCTCCTTCCTCCTCCAGCACAGCTTTGAGGAGGCAATCTGAAGTCTGCTTTTGATTAACCACAGCTCAGCATTGCATCTGGACTGTGAAATCTGGTTAGTTATTGTTTATTGAAGTGAGCCACTTCCATAAACCATGGTTTGAAGTTGGCTTCCTTAAGTAAACCATATTCGAGGCTAACCACAGTTTGTCCAGGTTCAGTCATAATGCTAAACTGTGGTTAGTCAAAAATAAAAATGGAATCTTCTGATTTCATCATAGTTGTAATGGAGGAGTGGGGAGTGTGAGAACCCAAGGCTTGGGTAGGGTTGTTCTCTTAATGATAAATCATAGTTTTACTCTTGAATGCAGTCAGCGTCTCTTGTGCACCTAGATTGTGACTCTGTGGGCAAGGCCTCTTAATTCTTCTGTGTACAGTGCTTTGGTGTAACCTAATATTTTTACCATTGTTACTTCCAAAACTTTTCAAAGTTGTGTGTAAAATAGTAGTTTGTGTTTCAGCCAGGAGTGGGTGATGAGCGAGCCGTTTGAATAATGCCACTCAGTTGACTAAACAAGTTTCATTGACAGTAAAAATCTGTCAAAACAGTGGTTTTCTTTTAAATATTGATCTGTTCCCCTTTGTTAAGCACTCGTTAAATATAATTAGGGATTGTGTATATATTTTGACTAATAATAGAAGGAGACTGAATCCATGGGGTCCTGGTGAGATGGACGAGGGCAGCCTTTCTCAACTGGGTGCCATCCAGATGTTTTAGATAGTGCCAGTGGGAGCCGATGGGAGTTGTAGTTCAAAGCCTCCAGAGGACACCTGGTTGTGAAAGGCTGGATTGAAGGGCCTCCTTTTTTTCCTCGTGGCAAGATTGCTTATGACATTGCTGTTTTCAAAGAGTGCCTCTTGCAAAGCTTGCAGGATGATGATGACAAAGAAGTTGTCCCCCATCTTACAGAGCGCAGACTGGCCTTAACCAGAAGTCAGGCATTAAGGCTATATTCACACCATACATTTAAAGCACTGTGATATCACTTTAAATGATCATGGCTACCCCTGGAGAATCCTGGGAAGTGTAGTTTAGGGTGCTGAGAGTTGCTAGCTGGCCCCTATTCCCCCCACTGAACTACAGTTCTCAGTGTTCCATGTGAAGAAGGATTGATTGTTACTCTGGGAATTGTAATTCTGGGGGTGGGGTGGAGATTGGTTCTCCTAACAACTATCAGCACCCTTAAGAAACGACAGCTCCCAGAATTCTTTGGGAGAAGTCATGGCTGTTTAAAGTGGTATAAAAGTGATATAAATATATGGTTCAGATGGGACCTATATGAGTGATGTGAAGGCAAGAAATTGAAGAGCAGAATGAGATGGGTGAATCCTCACAAGGGCTATATAATTTTTGTTAAGAAGGAAGTAATGGAGTTTTCAGACCATTGTCTAGGGAGCTAAAAGAGTGCAAGGTTGATAGATTTAAAGCAGGAGAGGGTGGAAGGTAGACTGGTACCCGCTGGGAAATCTTGGGGCAATCTTCAGTAGATCATCAAGGATTTTAAACATAGCAACATCAAACTGACTTTTCAGCTGCCTAATTTAGGTTGGAAATAAAGAACGTGATCCCTTCTGTGAGAGGACTGTGGGCTCAGCTGTGTTCTAATGCTGAAAACAAATCTTTAGGCTTAGAATGTGCTCAGAGGCACCCTTGTGTGCCCTTTCCATCTGGTCTGTTTGGTAGATCTTGGGTTCTGGGCAGGGGGAGTAGATCTGACAAGTTCTGCCTACCCCTGTAGTCTGCCCACCTCATGAGTAGTCTGTCTATTGTAGGAAATAAATTCTGCCAGTGGTGGCTGTTAATATCACTTCAGCGTTGTGATGATCGCACAATCATAAGGGAGAAGTGCATTCCCCACCTCCCTATATAAAAAAAGTAGTGTTGGGACTAACCATCCAAGTCCTTTAGTGGAGGCTGCAAGCATGCATCTTGTCCAAGAGGAGTGGGAGGTTCTCTTTATTTATTTATTTTCTTCTTTTGCTTTAAGTCTGCTTTAGCCAGGGAGTGGCTGATTAAAAAGCTGCTTGCTTTTGTCTTTAACAAAAAGCTTCATTTTGTGGGAAGCAAAAACAACAATGGTGGCCTGCCCCTTTTGGAGATCCCTTGTCATTTCAGTAACTTGCAAAGGCTTGGTTTCCTAAATATGAATAGAACTTGAGAAATAAAAACCTGGGATTCTCCAGGTTTTGTTTTTTTTATACTCCTCCTATAAAATGCAGAAGTTTTATTATTATGAATTTCATTGGGGGAAAGTTGGCATGAAGCTTCCATCCTTAAAAGTTTTTAAAGCGATTTCTGTTAGAAGTAAAAAATTCACAGCCCTCTTTGGTTGCCTGTTTCCAGACCTTTCAAGAACGTGACAGAATATGATGGGCAAGATGCATGCCGCTCTAACAGCTGGAACCTGGTTGATGTGGACCTTCCTCAAAATAAAGAAGACAATCCGGGGATTTTGCTACAGGCGCTTAAACCATGGACTCAGTATGCCATTTACGTCAAGGCTGTCATGCTCACTATGATGGAGAATTACCATGCTCATGGAGCAAAGAGTGAGATCGTCTACATCCGAACGAAAGCTGCAGGTAAAACAAAAACCCAAAATATTATGTCCAGTATTAGTCATATTCAGACATTTTCAAAATTCATGGAGGTGTCTTAACTCCATTAACTTTCAGAGGGTTTATTGTGAGTAAAACTCTGTTGAATACAACTGCGTGACAGCACTTGGTCCCGATAAATTACTTTGCGCTTTCGAAAGATGGTATTGCTTTGACAGAGAGGGCTGTGTGCTTGGAAAACCAATCCACAGTGCCATCAGTGGATAATATAAACTAACAATAAATCTCAAGTGTTTCGGCTTAATTAGGCTTTGGCTGCAAAACATAGATACTAGGATGCAACTCAGATTTTGTCCTGCTGTGTCCCAGTGGGATTTGCTTATGAGTAAATGTGCATAGTAGCATCAGGCTATTAGTCAGTACTCTGCGATTTATATTGGAAGGGGAGGTGTTGCACAGGTTTTCCAGCAGATGGCCAGAAGATACGGTTTGTTGGTTTTTGCAACATCTCATCCAAGCTTTGTTTAATTCAAAGATCCAGGGATTTTTGATATGAAAATGCAAAAACAAGGAGCAAAAATAGTCACTGTTGAATTTTAGAATTAGCTGCTTTAATGTGGCTTACCAGTACGAAGGCTGAATGCTACCAGGGCTACAGTTTTTTCAGAAGTAAATACATTGCAGAATCAAAGGCTCTGGCCAGTTCATTCACACATATGCATAATTTGGTGACCTTCTGTTGAACCTACATTGAAGTTCTGTAGAAGTTTGACCTGTGATGGCCAAGTCAGGACTTGGTGCTACAGTCAATGGGTGATGAATGAGCCTTCTCCTTAGATTGTTATTTTTTATTTTATTAATTAATTTTTTTCAGTACTTGGTATAGATATGGCATGCAACATCACAAACTCTCACAACTGAGACTGAATACACAACATAAGGTAAAATAAATGAGGCATAGGTTATATTATTATAAAACCAGTGACTAGAAATGCTTAGGAATTACATCTGAGCATGAGGGCCTTTTCAAAATTGTAGTAAGTGCAGTGGTACCTTGGGTTGCATATGCTTCAGGTTACATACACTTCAGGTTACAGACTCTGCTAACCCAGAAATATTACCTCGGATTAAGAACTTTGCTTCAGGATGAGAACAGAAATTGTGCTCCGGCAGCAGCAGGAGGCCCCATTAGCTAAAGTAGTGCTTCAGGTTAAGAACAGTTTCAGGTTAAGAACGGCCCTCCGGAATGAATTAAGTACTTAACCTGAGGTACCACTGTAATTTACCCTCTTGTTTATTAACATAAACAATGAAAGGTGTTGCAGGTAATGGAGAAAGATTTCTGCATTTTGGCTTCTCTGGCCTGTCTGTTGCGCTCTCTCAATTTCTCTGTCACAGCCAATCTGCAGATTCTGCTCCAGCAACCTCTTAGACTAAAATGTCTGTGGTACGTCCAGTGCTGAGCAGCTTCCGTAAGTGCAATTACAAGTAAGAAAACAATTCACTCTTTATATTGCACGTTTCACATTGTATCAGGCAATATTGACAATAAAGCTAGTCCAGGGTGCATTGAAAAAAGTTGTTGCACTATAGCTGAGACTTGCTGAAGAACTCCTCACAACACTTGTATGACTGGACAGTCCCACCACATGTGGAAATAACCCACCAACCTTTGCAACCCTCAATATTGTTCAACTTGGCCAATGTAAAATACCATTAGGTTAATTCAGCATAGCTTCCCTAGTTTGGAATGATACATTTTTTAAGGAGATATATGCCATATATCATTCCATACATTCTATGCTATCAGGCCCAAGCTTCCCTAAGACTTGTTGGTGTGGTCCTTAGATTTCTGATGCCTCTGTGATTCCTGAATTCTGGTTGAGATGAGGATGCAGTAGCAGTGCTTGTCCCATTCAAATAATAAGAGGTTGTGTTGGCTAGGTGATGGGAAAGTGCTACACAGCTGTACCTTGGAAGTCAAATGGAATCCGTGCTGGAAGTCCGTTCGACTTCCAAAACGTTCGAAAACCAAAGTGCAACTTTGGAAGCGGCGGAAGCCCCGTCGGATGTTCAGCTTCCAAAAATAGTTCGCAAAACGTAACAGGGTTTGCGGTGTTTGGGAGCCAAAACGTTCGAGAACTAAGCTGTTTGAAAACCAAGGTACGACTGTATTTGTGGGACCAGCTATGGTGAGGTTGGGGAAAGTTTAGTGCTGAAAGAGGGAAGCAAGGAGTCATACTAGCTGCCCCATGCAGCTAGGTCTCCAGTGACAACAGATTTTGCTGTTTCGTGCGCAGGGGCTGTTTTGCTTGTTAGCACATCAGGCAGCTCCTGCAGACCAGTGATGGCTTTAACTATACAACGCCTCTCCACCTTGGCCTTGCCAGAACTTAATTGTATCCAATACAGGGCTGTGTGTGGAGAGGTGATAATTGTCCGATTAATCAAACACAGATAAATGCCCAACAGCATTTAATCATCTTGAACGAAGTCTCTCTTAATTGAAAATGGAAATTGTATCTGATTCAGTGCGGAAACGGGATTGATTCTGGTTCTGCTGCAGACAGGGATCTTTGGGGGGGCGGTATGCATGCCATTCTCTGCAACATACACTTTTTGTGATAAAAATAAGTCTCATTTCTCCTGAAACAGGGTGTCTGATGCTTTGAAGTTCTGTGCGGTTCCTCTTTAAACTCCCCATTCCCTCCCAGGCCAGCCGGAATTAAATATGTTACGGTTATTTGCATTACTAGAGTCCTGAATGTGTTTATTTTTAGCTCAGAATCTCATGTATTAAGAACGAGAGTATGCACATCCCTGACCATATTTAAGGTAGCACAAATTATTATATTTGTTGTAAATTCTCTAATTTCCATTCTTCCTTGGAAAGCTAAGAGTGTGCACAAGGATTTCCCAGTGGTCTCTAATCCAGGTACAGAGCTTCACCAATTCTATAGCGCTGGGTACACCTAGACCATTTACTGGGCTAATCTGCTTAGTTGGCTATGCCTTGATGTCATTGGTTTTTTTAAACTTCCCTCCTTCAAAGAACCCTTTGCACGTCAGGAATTCCTGTGCGTTGCAGAGGGAATGGCGTAGCATTCTCCGGAGCCTCCTAAGGTGCATGCTGTGTTCATATGGGGCACTGATTAGACCTCTCAGGCCCTCCCCATTGTCCCATGTGAACCGAGAGTGCATCCCAGTGCATAGTCAAGCCCCTTTTGTGGGCTGCGTGTTGCTGGAGGGGGCAGTTGTGACAGGGAGAGAAGCCAGAGGCTGCCTTTCAGAGAAGCTTCTCTGACATAACTGATCTTCTAATTAAGGAACATTGATTATGCTCCCGAGGAACCACAGGTTCCTTTAACGAGTGTCAGGTTCATTTGGGGGCATATGAACCTGTGTTGCTTTGGAACAGCCTTTGCTGACCTTTTTAAGCATAGGAACACAACTGCCACAATATCCATTTCACCGGGGGGTGGGGGGAATTGGTTATGCTCAGAACTACCTCCACCCCACAAAAAAGAGGCAACCCTCCCCATAAAATAGATATAATCAGGATTACCCCCCCCTCAAGCAAGCAACCCCCACCTAGTAAAAAAAAAAAGCCAAACTCCTCAATTTTAAACAGAATCTTAAAATTACGGGGCAGGAGGTGTTGGCAGGCATTTCCATTCCATTGTTTTGCATTCATTGTACAGTGGTGCCCCACAAGACGAATGCCTCGCAAGACGAAAAACTCGCTAGACGAAAGGGTTTTGCGTTTTTTGAGTCGTTCCGCAAGACGAATTTCCCTATGGGCTTGCTTCGAGTTCTTGCGAGTTTGTTTCCTTTTTCTTAAAGCCGCTAAGCCGTTAATAGCCGCTAAGCCGTTAATAGCCGCTAATAGCCGTGCTTCGCAAGACGAAAAAACCGCAAGACGAAGAGACTCGCGGAACGGATTAATTTCGTCTTGCGAGGCACCACTGTACACCACTTAGAGACAATTGTAATGGACCAGTACATTAATAGTCTAAACCCATAATTAATAAATAAGGATGTGCATTTTGGGTGCCAGGATGTTCTGTATTTGTACTTTAGCTCTGGTGAATGAGCCAAGGATATTATTTTATTATTATTTATTAAATTTGTATATCGCCCTATACCTGTAGATCTGAAAGCGGTTCACAACATATCCTGCATGGAGAACGTTAACAATGGTTTTCTTTTCTGTAAATATAATCTCGTTCTGTTTCAGACTTTAGGAGGTGATAATCACCTTGCAGGAATTCTAATTTTCTTCATTTCTTATGCCCCCCCCCAGTACCATCTGTTCCTCTGGACGTCATTTCAGCTTCCAATTCTTCCTCTCAGCTGATTGTGAAATGGAACCCACCCACTTTCCCCAATGGCAACCTCTCCTACTACATTGTGCGGTGGCAACAGCAACCTCAGGATAGTTACCTTTATAGGCACAACTACTGCTCCAAAGGTGAGACCAAGGTTGAAATGCCTTTACACAATTTCAGGGTTCCTCCTCATCTTAGCACTTTGAAAATTCCTAAGATTGCAAAGAGCAAGGCGGGGAAATCTTTTGCCATCGCCACCCCAAGTTGTGGGGTTACAACTCCCAACAGTCTTGAATGTTGGCTTTGCTACCTGCAGTCAATGTGCTATACAGTTCAGCAACACCTTGTTTGCTGAATTATATCTCCCTTGGTTCATTGTGGGGTCAATAGCAGATGTAGTTCAACAACATACGGTCTTTTAGGGAAGGACCATAGCTCAGTGGTAGAGCATCTGCTTTGCATACAGAAGGTCCTAGGTTCAGCCTCCATCATCTCTGGGTAGGACTGGGAGAGACTTCTGTCTGGGGCTGATGCGAATTGGAGTTCACCAACTTAGGGAGAGTACCAGGCTGGGGAAAGGCTGGTTTAGCTTTTCACAAAATCGGCTGCAGGTCATCAAGGTGTTGTCTACACATGCAGTAGAGTGAAGTAGCAGAATGGGCTGTACCGCTCCTTCGTCCTACAGCTGGTAGGTACTGTTTTTTGAGTATTCCTCCATATTACAAACAAAAGGAATCTCCTTGCAAGTTTAAAAAATGGAACGAAAATTCTAGCACCCTAGAGAAATTCTAGTTCTCATTTCAGGGATGCCTCCATACTGCCAGTATTTCATTTTTTTAAAAAAAGATATTTATTAAAATTTTCAAAATATTACAAAATGAAAAAAGAAAAAAGAAAAATACAAAATAAAAGTAGTTAAAAACAACTCAATCTTTCCGTTACTTATCTTTCATTTGCTTGTTTCCCGGACCTCCTCGCGCCTCCCTTTTTTGTATTCCAATTCAGTTTGTTAGTTCAGCAAATCCTTCCCCCATACTGCCAGTATTTCATGGGAGTGATTGAGTAGCATACCAGAATTTTAGGTTTGTGCATTTAAAGTGGATTAAAGTTCTCTGACATCTTAGTACAACAAATCCCCTTAAAAAAGAGAACATGGAATTTTTGCAGTTTGGAAAGTGGCAGAGAAATGTATTGAAAAGTGTAAATATCCCACAAGCAAATCAAGATGAATGTGGGATGAATGCTTTCTCTGGGTCTCTCTGTAGAAGCTGCTGCCAAATTGGGTTATTATCAAACATTTCTTCCTATTTGTTTACAGGGCAGTTAAATGTCAAAAAAAAAAAAAAAAAGAGAGAGACTTCTACTCACCATGAATGGGAATTCTGAATCTCATAGAAGCTGCTGCCAAACTGTGTTATACTGCCATCCGGCAGTCAACAGGCAAAATAAATTTTAAAATACAAATAATTCCTATGTAGCTCCTCCCTGTAACTTCTGGAGCCAGTTTCTCTTTTGCGTGCATCAAAAGCAGTCGTGTAAGACTCCTGGCTCCATCATCAAATTTCAAACATTATCCCTGATTGCTTCTCCCTTTCACCTTTGTTTGCCTTCCTTAGAGCCCCTTCTGGCTGCCCCCCCTTCTCTTTTTTACTCATAACTTTGTTAGTTAGCTCCAGTGTGGCTTTCCTCCAAAGCAATTTTCCTGCTCTGCTTTTAAGCGTCCAGACCCATTTTTACTTTCATTTTCCACTGGACCTAGATGAGTCTTCCCTCTCCTCTGCTTGTCACTGCCTCCCACCTTGCCTTAAGCCTATTGATCTGTGCTCTCGGCCCGTCTTGTCCCTGCTCATAGCAGCCTCTCAGCTCTGCTTAAGCCTTAGCCCACGGGCAAGTGGGGGGCGGGGGCGGCGGCAGAGAATTCAGTCTCTCAGCTATGCTTAAGCCTTAGCCTACAGGCAAGGGAAAAATAAAAAAGAATTCACTTTAAATATGTGCAAGGCCTTAAAGAAATCATCCACCTCATGCAGGGAGCTAATGACTGCTACACTGCAATTTTCTTCCTTACAGGCTAAGGACCCAGCCTCTGTGAGCACAACTTAATGATGACACCCCCCCTACTCTGTTGACTGCATCAGTCTTCAACCATCCTTTCTGCTTCTCAGCCTTGATGCCAGCTTTTCCCCTCCCTAAGGGTGCTCTACAATGAATGCCTTAGATCCAGAGAGGGTATGCAAGTAGTTTCCCCCTGGCTGCTTTCAATCTTGCCACCCAAGGAGGCACTGTAAGTCGAAGACCAGCAGCTGGCATGACCCCCTGCTCCTATGGACATGCACTCAATCAGAAGGGCAAGGAGGCAGAAGAGTTTTCTTGGGGCAAGAGGAAACCCCAACTCAGCCTACTTGCTGCTCCCCTCTGCAAGTGTTTGGAGAGCTCCCCCTCTCTCCTGGGCGGTCCTCTAGAAATCCCACAGAAGCTCCTACAGTTTTGGTTTAGCAGCGCATAGCTCCCTCGCAAAAACTATTCCCTCTGGCAGCAGAATCTTCTGCCCTTGGCACACAGCTCCAGACTCCAGCTATGCCTGATCTGCAGCCAGAGTTATTGCACTGGCTTTGCTGGTAGATCTGGCCAGAAATGCAGTTATGCCTTCCTCCTCTCTTCAACCTTAGGTCACTTTCAATCCTTCTAGTTCTGCTCCTCCTCCTACACACCAGGCCAAAAGATGGTCTAGAGTGTGACCTTCCCGTAGGGTTCCTCAGTCCCTCCCATGGGGCTCTTCTTCTCCCAAAGATCAGGAATCAGAGCATCTCTCCTTGAGTGAAGAGGGTGTCAATTGGAGTGGTGAATTAGAAGTGGAGGAGTCAGAATCTGATAGATGATTTCAGGACCCCCATTACTTCATGCTTCTAGGCAAGGCTTCCTCATTGATCTTCCTGCAGCCACTTCTACTTCTGCTGACAAGGTGATCACAGCGGCCCCTGATCCTAAGCCTAAGTCCAGGATGAAAAAGCTTTCTGCAGTGGCTCCAAAAATTATCCAGTTAGATTTTGACATGCTCTGGCAGGGGATCTCAGTCCCTCCCAAGGGGCTGTGCTTCCCCTGAAGACCAACATTTAGATCCTCAGATGATGGATCCAGATGGTGATGAATGGAGTGGACAATATGAAGTAGTAGAATCAGACTCCTACCATCTGCTTCAAGACTTAGCAGTGTGCCCTGACCCCACACCAAAGTCCAGGAATGTCTTGTGACCACTAACACTCCCTGCCAGGGAAGATGAGGGGTTACATCAGGTTCTGGGGGATTCTGCTAGAATTTCTCCAGGAGTAAGTTTCAACTCCGATCTCCTGCAATACATTGAAGAATCTTTCCTGGGAACTTCAGCAAAGGATGCAGTCCTGCCACAGGGCACTTCCTAGCCGGCTGCTTCATGATCTCCAAACCAACCTAATGTTACTCCAACAGTCCCCCGTTGATGCGGGATAGGGGCTCTTAAGTCCCAGCTTCCCTTGGAGATCAAGACACAGTGTGCTGGCAGTTGATGACAAATGGAGTTACAAGTCTGATATTGAGGAATCAGAATCCTATAAGCTTTTGTCTATATGCCTAATACCTTCCACTGTTGTGTAAATCCATGGTAGCTAAGTAGGAATTCTTTGTGTTTATAAACGTAACTTGCTATTTTACCTGTTGACCTCTGGATAGCAGTATAACAGAGTTTGGCAGCAGCTTCCACGAGACGCAGAAATCCCATTCATGGTGAGTAGAATGGTCTTTTTTGCCATGTAACAGCCCTGCAAACAAATTGGAGCAAACATTGGATAAAAACTAAATATAATTTAACCTCGCTCTAAGCCCTGAGCTTCTCCATCCATGATGCAGACAACACTGAGCTAAGTTATAAGTCTAACTGTATAAGGCTGTTTTCCCAAGTGTCGCCATCCATGCCTTTTTTGGGGGGGGGGATTTTCTTGCCTGTTTGCAACTGTTCTACTGCCCCCTCTTCACTCAAAACCCTTCCATTGGGACTTGTACCACTTTAAGGGGAATAGAGAGGCAGTAGACCTTTGCATTTCCTACATTTGGAGCTGCTTTAAGCAGGCTGTCATGGGCCATTCTTTCTCATCTTCAGCTTCTGATTTCTTCGCACGTCTCTCTTTTTTTAAAGATAAAGTCCCAATTCGGAGATACGCCGACGGCACCATCGATACCGAGGAAGCAACTGAACCTACCAAACCTGAGGGTTCTGGGGGAGAAAGGGGACCTTGTTGCTCCTGCCCAAAGACAGAGGCAGAGAAGCAGGCAGAGAAGGAGGAGGCAGAATACCGAAAAGTCTTTGAGAATTTTCTACATAATGCCATCTTTTTGCCCAGGTGAGGGGGTCCATTTCCAACACTCGACGGGGTTCATTTCTTTTTAAAAACTTTTAAACGAGCAGCCTTACACCCAGCATTGCTTAGGAAATCTGTGAAATGGGTAAATTGTGCACTATTGAAATTGGTGGTTAAAATCAGCGAATGCAGTGTCGGACAGTTATGTCTGACATCCTGATTCAATATGGCATCTGTTTGTAACCACAAAATACACAAAAACTTTCCTTGATCTCAAGAACCTTCACGCAGAAAATGTTGCAGAATCTTTAAGAGGTTTCCAAATGCATAGTGAATGAACAACTTTCCAGAATATATAACCGATAACTTTTTGTTTTGTATTTTCGATTGATTTCTCTCCCTGCCGCCAGCTAGTAATATCGAAAACCCCTTTCCTACATGCTAGTAACAAAAATAAGTGCAGTTACCTTGAGCCTTGTAGGGTATGTGCCCCATGTTCAAAAGCCATTTTGTTTCATCAAAATTTATACTTTGGGGCAGTTTACACAGGATTTAAATGGCAAGATTGCATTTTTAAAAATGACCATCAGAAAACATCATTAAGTCAATCAAATAATGAAGATTTTTAAGTGCCTGAGTGAATAATAATAATAATGAAGTTTTAGCCTGGTACATCAAAGATGACTCTCTTGGTGCCAGGAGGGCCTTCTTGGGGTGTGTATTCCATAGTTGGGGCATAGAGTACAGGCAGCTTGGTTTAAGAGTAGGTGCTCAATTGTATAACTGGGTCCCAAGCCATTCAAGGTGAACACCAATCTCTTTGCATTGGGGTTTGGAAGCAGATAACTGCTCAGTATTGTTATCTATTATTTTGTTGTTTTTACATTTGTTACTCGCTTTATGGGGGGGAGCCTCAAAGCAACTTAACAAGACAAATAACAAAGAGAAACAAAAATAAATAAAACCATGTACAATACAAAAATTCCTAAGATGCTCATTCCAGTAACACAACGAAAATGAGAATTCCTACCCCGCCTCACTGCAAGATCACATTGTTTCCTTTGGGATACTATGCAACCCAAGTCTGTCTTCAATTATTCCCCCCCCCCCGCCCCCATGCAAGAGAGGGTGGTAAACTTTCCCTACCATATTCACCTTTTTACACACTAAAGAGCCACTGCTGGTTATTTCCTTTGGCCATCACATTGGACGGCTTTTTGCAGGGGTTACTGAACCTTTGTAGAGAGTTCCACAGCTTTGGATTTCCATATGGTTGCCTTCAGAATAGTCTTAACATGGCGCATTTCCAACATGGTGCCTTGCAGATACTGTTGGACTCCACTCCAGCTCCCATTAGCCCCATCCAGCAAGGCCAGTGGGTCAGGGATTATGGAATTTGTAGTCTAGTGCCAGCCAGAGGGCACCATGCTAGCTACTCCTGGCCTTACAGATGCCTAGGTGACCTGGCAAATGGCTTGCCTTTCTTTTACCTAGATTTGAAAAGCAGCATTTCCCAGTAGCATTGCTGGAGATAGCATTTGCTTCTAGACTTGGGTAGCAAAACTTGATACTAAAATCTGGTTTCTGGAAAAGCCTGTTTCTCCTGCATATCAAAAGGCTCAGATGGAACTGATAGTGGCATATGGTTGCTGATAAGTGCATGTTTTCCTGGTTGTGTGAAGTTTATACTTTCTATATGCCCCATTTTTTCTTCTCTCTCCGGCTTTTTCCTCTCATTCCTCTGGGCCATTCACTGCTGTCATTCCTTGCCCTTCTGAGTTATCTAAGGAACAGACTAACTAATTTAGCCAATGGCAACCAGGGAAACTTCTGCCTGGCTCTGCCTTTCACAGCCATCAGCTTAGTTCCGATAGTCACTGCTCAAAGCTTTCTCCTGCCATGGCATCCTTGTGCTAATCAAATATAGATTTCTTATTTCAGCTGGTAGTTAATTTTGAAATTGTACGAGTAATGCATTGGTGGGGGCAGGGGAAGCAACAGAATGCCGTGAGCATCTTGACCCTAGAAGAAATGGTAGCAAATGATCAAGTATTGTGACAGTCTCTAGATTGCAGTTTTGGGTTGTGGGAGGAAGCAAGTGGGAACGATTTGCTAGCATGAGCCTTGACTGTTTCTGCATATTTTCCTCCTCTTTGCTCAGCTTGTGTTCATAATTGGTGCATTTTTCTTTTCAATGCTAGAAGAACTTTAGCAGTTGAGATGCAACTGCTAAGTCACTTGTACTTGTAAGTCACTGAGCAGTTAAAGTGACTTAAGAGCCCAGGATGTCAGGGAACTGTGAGATTAGGAACTGGGTGAGATTGCTCCCTCTAAGCGACTTGTTACTTGCACATGTCTGTCTGTCTGTCTCCCACCTCCTCTGTTTGCCTTTTCTTCATTGCTGTCTCCCGTGGGAGAGAGCAATTTGTTTGTCAGCACAGTCCCTATTAGACTGGTGCAGTACGTTTCCAGCCTCCTGCTGGTGCAAAAGCACCAAAGATGCCAAATAAAAGGGTTGTGTTCTTTTAAACACATCACCAGTTAGGTCTAGTCCCAGCTATTTTATTTACTACTTTTTAAATTCATATCCTGCCCTTCCTCTCAAAGGAGACTCTGGTGGCAATCTAAGCTATCCAAGGCAGGTTATCCTAAGACCTTAAAGAAGGCTGGTCATGCAGTTACGGAGCATCTGCTTTGAACACAGAAGTTCCCAGGTTCAATCCTTAAGTACCACTTGATCCCTTACAATTGCCTTGATCACCGAGAACCTCTAATGGGGCATTTCTTATGGTTTCTCATGCCTCTGAGGGTCGGTTGGCCTTTAATAGAGACCGAGTCTTTAGCGTGGGCAAGCCCTGACCTAGCAGAGGTTTGGCTGGAATCATTCCTGCCTTTTAAAAAGCATCTTCTAAAAACTGTGTTATTCAAACAGGCCTTTGTTATTTGAATTTCTGTTTACAAGCCACTGTGTTTTTATTTATGTTTTTATTCTTACTGTAGTTTTGTGTGGTGTATACCACCTTGTATGTTTTTTAAAAGTGTGATTTCTAAATATTTATATAAAATCTCAGGCATCTCCAGGTAGGGCTGGGGGAAAACTCTCTGGCTGAAGCCCTGGAGGGCCCTTATGGTTGCTTAGAGACTTACACTTTGAGCCAGGAAGGATGAACACCCACCACCTATTGCATAGTGGTCTGAAGATCTCACTTCCCTGGCTACATTTGAGCATATTTCTTATAGATGAAATGTCAGTCTGGGGATACCTCTTTGGACAGCTGGAGGTCTTACATTAACTTAATACATTTCTTGTAGGTTGGATGTACTGATGTAATTGTATCGATGTGAGCTGCTGGTGTTTTATTAGTATTAGTATTATTAATGTATTGGTTATTTTTCTTCCTTTTCTTATTCTTTTGTTGTTGTTCTTTCTACTTTGTTTAATTTGCAAATAAAAAAATTAACCAAAAAGGAAGAGCAGCTGCCAGCCAGTGCAGGCAATAATTGAGCTAGATATGGAGCAAAGGTCTGGCCAGTGCTTTCTTGCAAGCATGCAGTGATGGGATCTGCCTCTTTCCTTGATGGTTGCTTGTCCTATTGCTGAACTTTCCATGGAGTTTGAAACGATTCTGTTTTCCCACAGTGTTTTCTATATCATTTCTGCCCTCAGCTGCCTCCTTTCTGTTTCTCTTCCCTGTGAAATGTGTTTTATTGGGCTTGGATGAATCACCAATGTGAAATTTAACTCGGGAGAGACAACACCTATAAACAGAGAGTTCTGTTGAATGGGACGTCATGCAAGCTTTGGACATCTGTCATTCTTTAACCATCCTAATGGTTCTCATTATTTTCTCTCAAAACATTGTGACTTCTGGCTGCAAACGGGGTCTCTTAAATTTGCTTTCCTCCTTATAAAAGAGGGATGCTAATCTCACTTTCACTGACTTCTCTTGTTGCTCTGTCCAGGCCTGACCGGAAGCGCAGGGATCTGTCGCCTGTTGCAAACACGACCTTTGCTCACAAGAACAGGACTGCCACAGCCCCAGAGCACTTTGCCAATGAATCGGATGCTGAGGAGGCCGAGATGGAGTTTCCCTTCTTTGAAAGCAAAGTGGAAGGCCGGGAGCGGACACTTATCTCCCACCTCTTGCCTTTCACGCTCTACCGTATTGACATCCACAGCTGCAATCATGAAGCTGCAAATCTCGGCTGTAGTGCCTCAAACTTTGTTTTTGCAAGAACCATGCCTGCAGGTACATTTTTGAAACCTGGCTTAAATTCTCTCCTTCCTTCCTTAATCATAATAAAAAGAACAATTCCATCTTTATCTCTGCATTCAAAGCATCTTACAAAAAACCCACAAAAACTTGGCACAAAGTTTTAATCTCAGACTCGCTTTCAAAAGGCAGTTTTAACTCCCTGTGTTGAAATCAACCTGGAAGGAGCATAGCTCAGTGTAGAACAACTGTTTTGCATGCAGATGGCCCCCAAGTTCAATCCCTGGCATCTCCAGGTAGGGCTGGTTGAAGACCAATGGTCTACACTGACTGGCAGACACTCTACAGGGTTTCAGGCAGGGGTCTCTCCTAGCCTGGGATAGACCCCTGCCTGACACGCTGTAGAGCAATGGTTCCCAATTAGCTATCCTGGGACTCCTGGGGGTCCGCAGAACACACCCAGGGGGTCCATGGCCCCATCTCTTGTGTCCCCTCCAACTAAATATTTGGCATTTTTGCATGGTAATACCAAAAATTTTATGGTCTGTTTTAGTGCTGTGCAATTTTTCAATATACTGGCCCAAAATCACACCGTGATAACAATTTTGACCCAGCAATACATCGCTTCTCGTGTCAGGGAGAGCAAGGCTGCTGATTTCATGGCACTGCCAATATCGCACAGTGATCTCTGCTGGTAACGCTGCTAATCCAAGTTGCCTTCCCTGAGGGAGTCGATAACGCTGCAGCCTTCCCTCATGTTGAGGGAAAACTGGGCAGCTGATTGTGAGGTGCCACCTCCCCCTCACACTGATGGAGAACAGGGCAGCTGATTGCCCTTCAAGGCACCGTGGCACTACCTTCCCCTGGCACTGAGACAGAGCAGCTTTTCTCAGTCAACGGTAAAACAGCAGTAGCCACAGTGGACGTGCATCTTCGCTGGCTGCCCTACTGACGGCAGCTTAATGCCCGCCCCCCATACCCAACTGATATATCACAATGTCAAAAACCAGATATCACTCAGCCCTAGTCTGTTCTTTAGTATATCTAAAATCCTTTGCTTATTAGGGACTACCCCACATTTTGTTCAAAAAATTGCTTTGTAGAGGTAACTACCATAGAAATATCAAAATTTTCAAAAGTAGGGGGTCTGTGGCTTGGCTTTTGAAAAATAGGCGCTCTTTGATAATTAGCTGGCTGGGAACCACTGCTGTAGAGTGTCCAAACTTTTTCCAAAGAGGGCCAGATTTGATGAAGTGAACAGGCGTGAGGGCCGACCAAAGTTGTTTCGGATTAGGCCCCCAAAACAGGCTTTGGACATGCCTGGTGTAGACCATTGGTCTTCAACTGGTGGGTTGGGAACCACTAGTGGGCCGTGGCCTAATTCAGTGTGGGTCATAGCAGGAGCACTACCAGCAGGCAAATATATAGTAAAAAATTAAGAAATGGGTCCCCAAATGCATGTTGTGGGTCTGATAAGGGTATAGATACCAGTTGCTGGAAGCCATGCGGGAAAAGAGTGATATTGTGCTCATGTCCTGCTTGCCAGTTTCCCTTAGGCATCTGGCTGGCATGACGCAACAGGCTCTCTTTATGTTCTTATGACTTTAGTGACACCACGGTATGTTGTTTGCCTCAAATCTTGACATTGACTCTTACCCGCATCTTTTCGCAGAAGGAGCTGATAACATTCCAGGGCCAGTAACGTGGGAAGGGAAGGAAGAAAACGTTATATACCTCAAGTGGCCAGAACCGGTTAGCCCCAATGGGTTGATCTTGATGTACGAAATCAAATATGGGCAAAATGGAGAGGTAAGCGGGATTATAGGTCTTTTTCATCCAACCCAATTTACAAGGTTCTTGTGTTTATAGACAAAGCCCTGAAAAACCAAGATACCTTAAGGATTGCCTAAGCACTTCTATCCCAGCCCAGTCGCCAAGTTCATCTGAAGAAGCTCTGCTAGTTGTCCTCCGGGTTACAGAGCCTCAAGTCTCAGTGTCCTGCATGCACAAGCTGCATTAATAAAAACCATTTTAACTGCTTTTCTCTCCCCCGCAAAAAAACTTCTGTAGGAGAAGCGGGAATGTGTTTCAAGACAAGAATACAAGAAACTTCGAGGAGCCAAACTGACACATCTGAACCCTGGAAATTATTCTGTCCGAGTTCAAGCTACGTCACTGGCTGGGAACGGATCCTGGACTGAGGCAATCTCATTCTATGTGCAGCCCAAAAGTAAGGATGTTTTCATTGGTGGGGAGGGAAATAACGGACACACTGGTTGTGTAACTGCTTTCCCCCCAATATTTCATGTGTTCTTTAGAATTAAGATTCTGAATTTTTTGCAGAAAATGGGTGGTTGGATATTTATCCCAGATTGATTTGATTAGAATGTCAGTGTTTCAAGGCAGATACTGTAGATGAAACAGCAGATGAGCTGTGTCTTCTTTTTCTTTTTCTTTCCTCCGTGTGAGTTTCCTTGGGAGCAACAGCCAGCCACCCTTGGGGTTCCTCCAGATGATCTGCTTGTTGAACCTTAATCCCGATTTGAGCATTCGTTCTGATAACATTTGCAAGGAAGTTAAATTGAGCATTTTCAAGGAGATTAAATGACATTGTGCCAAAACAAGTGTTATCCCACACTTTCCAGTGCCATTTCCCAATCACCTTCCTTTATCATAAAACCTCTGCTCTTTTTCAGGAAGCACAGGACCTCCAAATCAGCTCTAACAGTGCAGCTTGAATTTTTCTGATATGTAGTTGAGTCGTACCCCAAAATACCAATCATCTGGAAGTGCTTTTGTAAAAAGAACGCTCTGTTAGGTGGCCCTGTGTTCTGTGTCTGTGTGTGATTTTTATATTTCTATATATATATTTAGAGAGAGAGAGAGATAGTTTGCCCAGCAGGAGAGGTCTAACTAGCTAGTGCATCAGTAGAGATGCACACATGAATAATCACCACCCTTTTATTTACTTTCTTGTTTTGATTGCTGCAGCACCGAATTACGGGGGTTTCTTGCACCTGATTATTGTTCTACCCATTGCTGTCATTTTGATCATTGGAGGGCTGCTCATCATGCTGTATGTCTGTAATAAAAAGAGGTGAGGGTTGATATTTATTTGTATTATTGCATTTATATCACACTTTTTCCTCCAAGGAGCTCAAGGGGGCATATATGATTCTCCCTCTCCTCATTTTATCCTCACAACAACATCCTCACAACAACACGACAGCCAGCATGTAGTAAGTCAGAAAGTAACATTGCCCCTTTCCTGATAGATTTTGTAGTCAGGCACATTGGGTTGAACCTTGTCATACTAGCCTAGACAAGGACAAATATATTGTGTGTTCTTCACCTTGCTATAATTGATTGACTCAAGCTGCTGCTGTTACTGTTGTTGTTATTTTGTTCAGCTAACCCAGGTTCAATAAGTCAGTCATTGAGCATAGGCATATTTGGGAAGTAACACAATTGATTCCCAACCTGCCAAATGCTGCTGTTGGGGTGGGTGTGGGTGTGAAAAGCAAGTCACAAACCAGAACTCAAAGGTGAGAGGACCAGAATAGAGTGAAATGTTGATCTCTCTCTCTTTAAAAAAAATATGTGTGTTGAAATAAGGAACTTTCCTCTTGCATTTTAACAGGAACAGCGACAGGCTTGGAAATGGAGTGCTCTATGCCTCTGTGAACCCAGAATATTTCAGCGCCTCAGATGGTAAGTCAGGCCTTCCACTTCTGACTCCTTTTAAGACAGCAACATCTTGGAATAAAAGTGAATGCTGAGTCTGAGGTGGAGTCACAAGAAGCTCTATGTGAACCAGTTGTAAAGACATTTACTGTCATTCAGGCAAAGAAGAAGTTTGGGGGGCTGGGGAGAGGGGGTCTCAAGCTTTTTTTTTTTTAAAAGGTCAAGGTAGGTCAGAAAGTTCTTAAAGAAAACCTAATAGTATTTCTGTATTGCAATAGCATGAAGTATCATATCAGTGTACAGCAATAAAACATTAAACACTAATAAAAACTATACAAATAATCATTTGAAGTGAACTTTAACAATTCTTTAAATTCTTGGTGATGTTTCTTAAAACCACAGTGCAGGCCTCTTGTATATATTGATTTATATTTATTTTTAAATTTCTGTCCCACACTTCCTCCTAAAAGAGCCCAGGGAGGCAAACAACCCCCAAATTGAAGGATATTTAAAATACTTAAAAAACAGTAACATAAATACATAGTTAAAAGATTGCTGGGAACCGTATCTTTCAGCTATCATAGTAACATAGGAAGGTACCTTATCCCAAATCAGACCATTGCTCCATCTAGCTCAGTATTGTTTATGCTGCCTGGCAGAAGCCCTGCAAGATTTTAAACAAAGCGCCTTCCCAGTCCTACCTAGAGATTGAACCTGAGACCTTCTGCATGAAAGGCAGATCCTCTGCTGCTGAGCTATGGTCCTTTCCTTCTCAATTCTTTCTCATCATCTTTCTCAGCTACACTTAGCACTAGTTTTTATTTGTAGTGAAACCTTTAACCTTTTGTTTTTTTCTTAAATGCTAGGCTGTAGCTTTTTGAAGACTTGTCAGAGGTTGCACCTTCCAATTGTAAGCTAGGATTTATAGCTCTTAAGTTGCATCCTGGAGCAATCCAGTCCAGCTTTCTGGCATCCAAGAAAACAGGGAAATGTTAATGTTTTGGAGTTGAAATCGTGACCTTGTTCTTGGAAGTTAGACCTGGAGTTTCATGTGGCTTGTGTATTTTTTTTTAAATAAAAAATAATCTTCCTATTCAGCCAAAAGAAGTTCCCCAAGTGACTTTCAAATCACAAAAATACGCAACAGTAACAGTCCCTCCCCTCAGGCTTACACTTTTAAAAAATGATACAAAAGGAAAATGGATTGGTAGGGAAGAGGAAATAAGAAAACACAGGTGCGAATTATTAGTTACAAAGTTAGCTAATCTCCAGCTAAGTGGAAAATGTCCCTTCTCTTAAACCCCCCCCCCTTCTAGAGTGTGTTGTAACGGTGGCTGCCACGACATCCCCACCCTTTGTTGAGAAATACACGTTACAGCTTTTTAATCACATTATTCTGCTCCCTTCTGTTGAAATGCATAGCGGATGCTAAGCAAAGTGTCCTTACCCTCTTAAAATATGCTTTTGGATTACACCTCTGCTGCAGAATGCTCCCTTGCCAGGTACACCACATGCTAAAGCTTGGGTCTGTGTCTTACTTCAGCAGTAGGCTCATTTGTGCATCCTTGGGCCTGATGTTTTGGCTCAGGGTCAGTTTCCAAACTGTGAAATGGGGGCAACGTTATAGCATGGCTAAACAACATAATGATTACAAAGGACTGAAGCAGTAAGATGACTGTTGAAATAAAAGCATGAAGTGCAGAACATCCTAGTATGCTTTAATGGAAAAGGACGTTGCTTGCACTCTGTTTTTTGTTCTGTTTTGTTTTTTTAATTATGATTGTCGTTTCAGTTCAAAGCTGCTTGTGAAACGGGTTCTCCTTGTGATTTTTACAGTGTACGTTCCAGATGAATGGGAAGTACCCCGGGAAAAGATTACCATGTGCCGAGAATTGGGGCAGGGCTCCTTTGGAATGGTGTACGAAGGGATAGCGAAAGGCGTAGTTAAAGACGAGCCAGAAACCAGGGTGGCCATCAAAACAGTTAATGAGTCAGCAAGCATGCGAGAGCGGATCGAGTTTCTGAACGAGGCTTCGGTGATGAAGGAGTTCAACTGCCACCATGTCGTAAGTTGCTGAAACACATTAAAGCTTCTTCCACTCCACGCTATCCCCCGTTCTCTTACTTAAATCCTGGGAAATGCTGCTTCAAACAGGAAAACAGCTATTTGCTTGCCTGTGTGATGCTTTTGTACAGAACCGGTATAAATGGAGTTCTGAATCAGAAAAAAAGCTTCCTTCATAGCTTTTGGGATTAGTTTTCTCAATGCTCTTCCCAGGTTCTTTTTGGGGCAGGGCGGCACTGCTTTAAATTTATGTTGAGTACGCAGCTAGGAGGAGGATGCTGACATCTGGTGCCACCCTCTGGACTGGCTGTAAGAAAGAAGGTGGGCAGGTGGAGGCTGCCTGGGGACAAGCTGAAGTTGGTGGGGCAGAGCCCCATTCACTCTAGTGGCCTGGCCTCCACTGCTTATGTTATGTTATTTCTATCTGTCTCTCCTCCTCTTCCCCTTTTCCCAAGTGGATGCATCGTGTTTGGTTTGTGTGTGTGTGTGTAGTGAAAAGTCACACACTCACAAGTGCAGTACAGTACATGAAAGTGCACACCTTTTAATAAAACGCTGCCTCTGCAGGTGAATAACCCAAGGCTTTCTTCTCTCAGGTGCGGCTGCTTGGAGTTGTTTCTCAAGGCCAGCCCACGCTGGTTATCATGGAACTTATGACCCGTGGAGACTTGAAGAGTTACCTGCGGTCACTCCGACCAGGCACAGAGGTCAGTCCTGTGTTGAAAGGTTTGACTGCTTTTTTGCAGTCCAAGCAGTTGCCCCGGGGGCAGGGGCGAGGAGGCTGACCTGGGGAGGGGAAGAGAGATAATGAGGGACACTCGTCCCACATGGACCTTAAAATAGTTGGTGACTCCTCATCTAACTGTTAGCAGTCTTAATTATGTTTAGAAATGTGGTAGTTATTTAGTTATGAGCTAGTGGCGCTGTGGGTTAAACCACAGATCCTAGGACTTGCCGATCAGAAGGTCGGCGGTTCAAATCCCCGTGACGGGGTGAACTCCCATTGCTCGGTCCCTGCTCCTGCCAACCTAGCAGTTCAAAAGCACGTCAAAATATGCAAGTAGATAAATAGGTACCACTCTGGTGGGAAGGTAAACGGCGTTTCTGTGTGCTGCTCTGGTTCGCCAGAAGTGGCTTAGTCATGTTGGCCACATGGCCTGGAAGCTGTACACCGGCTCCCTCGGCCAATAAAGCGAGATGAGCGCCGCAACCCCAGAGTCGGTCACGACTGGACCTAATGGTCAGGGGTCCCTTTACCTTTACCTAAGTAGAGTTATAGCATTGTTACATTGTTGTATTTAAAAATATGAACTTTCCATCATATGGGGGGGGGAGAGCATTCCATCATTTGAAAATACAGAATCACCAAAGGTTTGTTGTAAGAAACCCCACCAACCCCAGGTGTAGGTATTCTTGCCTCTTCCACCTGAAGTGCCCTAACCAAAAAGGGTGTGTAACCCATGTCCTTGTGCGTTTTTGGGGTGCTTCCATATTGCTGTAGCAGGTGAAGAGTCTGGCCTGTGAGCTGGGACATCTCCCAGTTCAGATACTGCCTTGACTATGGCCTCCCTAGCAGCGATGTGGGTGGTTTATTTTCCTGTTTGATAAGTTCCTTAGTAACAATGAAATGCCTACTGCAAATGCAATAGTAGCCAAGCTTGGCAGTTTTGATGTTTTTAGCTGTGTTTATTAAATACAAGTAAAATAAACATGGTATAAACTAGATCACTCTCTGGGGCACTTTTCCTGACACAAACAGAAAATGTTCTGATTTAGATTAACCATGTGCAAATTCCCCACTGGAAATAGTTCCAAGTCTTAAATTTTGTGGAAAACCCACATCACTGCTCCCTAGCTAGGCAAACGGCAGTTATCTTCTACAGATGATACGGGGAAGGAGGTTACAATACTCTGTAGTAGACGGATGTGCTCAGTTCCTAGAAAAAGGAAGTAATTTGTAGAAGAATAGATGCAGTTGAGCTTCTTTGTTCATTACTTTATTTAGTTTCTTGCCCCGCTTTGCCGTAAGGTCCCAAAGCAGTTTATGAGAATAAAACATACTGTGATAAAACAATTACAAAATACCGGGACACACTCACACAAACAATAAAAGTAAAAACAATTAAAGAGAGTATATAAAAATAATAATTCTGTTTATAAAACAGTACAAACATTTAAAAGCAATTCCACATTTTAAAAGAGTTAAAATAGTTCTATTATAAGATTAAAAGAACTATTATAGAATAGTTCTATACATATAAGACCCATTCAGTCTTATATGTCTATGCTCAATATGTGAGCAGTGTATAGAGTACTTGTATTTTTCTAGAAATTTTCTGCTTTCCTCCTCAAACCTGTAAACTGCTGTCATTTTGACCTTTTTGCCCAGATTTGGACCCCATGAGCCACCATCCCTCTCAGAGATTATAGGTGGCAGTTGCTTGTTTCTTTATGCCTGTCATGTGCACCGCTAGACTGGCTGCTTTTCAGGCCTGAATTAAACTTTCTGTGCCTACGCGTAACCCAGCGTGGGTCTTTGGTAGGCGCACAGATAAGCTAATTGCTCATGTATTAAATGCTACATGCTGTTACCCTTTTTGTTTTTGATCTGAATTATGAATGAGTGTTGCAACAAACACTAATATTTAGTCATGCACCCAGCATTTAGCATTCATGCTGGCAATTAGAAGGCTTGCAGCCGCCCACATGCTGTTTGCATGGTCCAAATAGGGTAGGCGAAAGCGGGAGCCCCTGAAAATCATATTCTACTAAAATGAGGGCTAGTGGTATATGCTCGGGTCTCCCTGTAGGCCCTTGCCTCATTGCGGTCAGCCTCTGGAGTAGATAATTTACAGTTAAAGCAGTGGGAGCACCTCACATTTGTGGAAGAGGACAATTAAAATGTGATTGGAAAGCAAACTACATTCCTTCCTTGAAAGGGAAAACGGGATTACACAAATTAATGGAGGAAAGGCTCTCAGTGGCTGTGAGCCATGGTGGCAATGTTTTCCCTCCACTGTCAGAGGTGTTGAGAACAGAGATCATTCCACGTGCAACTTAAGGGTTAATTCTGTTCGTGTTAAAAGGTAGGCAGGTGGAAATATTGCTTAGCAACCAGGGTCAGTTGGATGATAGTTGCTGCGGAAGTTTTTTCTCTGTATGTTTGTTTGATTGTCCCACTGCTATGTACAGGAATTGTCTAGTCTATCCAAACTTGAGTAGGATTGAACTCCTTGTACAGTATTCCCTCCCACTCTAGAGGGCCAAATTTGGTGCATGGAACTGGCTGGAATTCCTGAACAGGACTGAACTCCCTGTGCATCAATCCTGCTTTCTGCAGCCATGTCTCTACTTGCCAGACACCTGACGTCACATGTGACATCAGCTCTAGAGCAGTTGGCCATGGTTTCAAAGAAATGGCTTGACGGGCCAAGTAGAGAGGCCTGGGTTTGCCACCTGTGTTTAACCTTTCTTTTGGAGTGGACGGATGGCTAGATGCAAATAAATGAATCTGAACAGATCCTAGCCAAACCATTGAAAATTTAGCAAGGAAGAAAGCAACAGCTTCTTAAACTCATGTTAACAGTTGTCTTTCTTTCCCTTTTTGTTCAGAATAACCCGGCTCATATTCCTCCAGCCCTAAAGAAGATGATTCAGATGGCAGGCGAGATTGCGGATGGCATGGCTTATCTCAACGCCAACAAGTTTGTCCACAGAGATCTCGCTGCAAGGAACTGTATGGTGGCTGAGGACTTTACTGTGAAAATTGGAGGTACCCCCCCCTTTTTTTTCAGTCCAAAGGTGAAATACAAAAGAAAGAAGGATCTTAGTTCTAGGTAGGGAATTTGGAAGCCACAGGTCTGCAATAGGTTTTTCCTGCTGCTTGTTATCATTAAATTTATTCCCCATCCTTCACCAGCAGGTTCCAAGGCGGATTACAACAATTTAAAATTCAGAATTAAAATCAGTTAAAGCATACTACGTTTGCAAGAATAGGATGGGTCCTGAAAATGCATCTTCAGCAGCTACTTCTGTTTAGAGCTGTGCCTGTCACATGTCTCGAGAACAACACTGGGCAAGTCTATGTCTAGTGGAGAGCCAAGCACCCTGAGTGTCTTGGCTTTTAAGTTTTTAAGAAGAAAATAAGCAAAAGCAAGTTTCTGGCCATTTTGGGGGGCTGTGGAGTAGGCAGAGCTTGAAAATGCTGTGGGCAGGGCTTTGTGAGATCACTAGAGGCTGCTGGAGTAAAATGTCCAGTTTTCACCAAGGTAGAATTTTGGCTCCTCCTCCTCCCTCCTTATGACTGCAGGTGAAAAAGGTGTTGTGGTGCATCCTGTGAATGCAAGGAAGCACAAATAGAAACCTCCAGGGGAGCCACAACAGTGACCAATCTGTTTGATTCACTGGAGAAATAATACTTGTACACACTGCCTTTCCTCTAAGCAGGTCGAGGCAGTGTGCCACATGGATTTCTCCACTCTCATTTTATTCTTCCAATAACTCTGTGACTTACATTGCATGTATCGCCAAGTAGGGCTGGGAACCCCTGCTTCCTGAAACCCTGGAGAGCTGCTGCCAGTCAGTGTAGCCCGTATTAAGCTAGAAGGACCCAATGTTCTGACACCCCCCCCCCCCAGGTTTCAGTTGTTGGCAGCTTGAATTGTTTAGAGGTAGTTCATAAGGTTCTTCAGCTTTCATGGCAATGTGGTACTTTTGTTTTATTTTTACTACTACTACTACTACTACTACTATTATTATTATTTTAACAACGTGTCCTGTTGTGTACCATGTAGATTTTGGCATGACGAGAGATATCTACGAGACCGATTACTATCGCAAAGGTGGGAAGGGACTGCTGCCCGTCCGCTGGATGTCCCCAGAATCACTGAAGGATGGCGTGTTCACGACAAACTCGGACGTCTGGTAATAATGAATGTGTCTGGTGTTGTTTTTGCAACATTCCCAGAACCCCTGCAACTTGATTATGGCTTGGAGAAAACACCACATCAAGCTTTTGGACAACTCTGCTTTTTCCTGTTATCTATCCTATTTGTAGACTCCTTGCTGCGGCCCCTGTGTAATATAGTCTCAAGGGTGCTACTTCCTCTGTTTTGGAACTTCTGTCATGCCAAACCCCCAGTTTTAAACATGTTTAAACAAATACCTATATGGCTTTAAGGCTGGCTCGGTCCTGTAATATCCATGCAGGGCTACTTAGCAGCTGCTGCAAAAGAATTAGAGAGGAGAACTAGAGACATTGCAAGAAAACACCAGGATATATATATATATATATATATATATATATATATATATCGGCTTTGGATTAAATTCTTTGACATAATAGACTTAAAGCTGTAAAATTAGAAGTTGTGTCATTTTGTGTCTATGCTGTTTTTCCCACAGCCCCAGAGAAGCATTTTGAAACTCCACGCTTTGGCAGTCATGCTTCTTACATAGACGAGTGTATTTTGGAAACCACTTGGCTTCCCATTGCAGAATTCTTGGGAAGGGAGAACCCGTTGCTCCCTTTGTAGCCCTGTCTTCTGGAAAAGCTAATTTCAGAGCTAGGCTTACATAGCTTTTATTTCAGATTCCACTGACGGAGTAAAATAAGCACACTATCATCCAAGCCAGAAATAGTGTTGCAGGGAGGGGTGTGCGTGATTTGAATCCAGATCCCAGGGTATTGAGATTTTAGTTAGAACCCGGTGAGTTTCTGTTAGGATGGATTCCAGCATCTGCATTCATGTGGAAGAGCCTCTTGTGCAGACACAAAATTCCCATGTAGTATTTGGAGCATAAAGTGTTACTTGCAATACAAAATCCATGTGACTTTGGCATAAACCTAGCCTCCTGTTTTGCAGATATTTTCTGCAGATCAACACTGGGTTTGTACTTTTAAATCATGACATAATTTACACTTCAGGGAGGTGCATGTGTAAAACCGGCAAAACACTCAAAGCAACTGACCCAAACATCCACTGTTTGCACTTGTTTCTTCTTCCAATACGAGAGATTTATTACCAGATCAGAAAAGGTGTGTGCCCCATAACTTGTGAATGGTTTCCTGAGTGGTGGCTTTGGTATAGGCGCAGTCTTCCAGAAGCCATGACATATACTGGTTTATCACATGTATATTCCAAGCCATAAAAGGTAGCCTTGTACCTCCAGTAGTCCACAGAAAGAATGCCATTGTGATGTTGGGCCATCAGTGAACACATGGCTTGCTGTTTGCCCCCATAATAAAGCTGGAATCCTTTGATCTTTCCATTTCCATACCTCAGAGCAGCCTTTCATTATGTATGTGGCTTTTTCAAGCCCTGCTCCATTTCCTCCTCAGTTAGGCCCAATTCCCATACCTCTGGAATTTCTCTGCTCTTGACTCCCTTTGTTGAGGTGAGATATTGTCCTTCGTTTGCAAGTCTGGGGTAGAGAAGGAGGTTACTTACTTAGTTGATGATGATGTGAGCAAAATACCCGATCCCCTCTCCGATGCTCACATAAGCTCAGTGCACAAAAGTAGCCAATTCAGTTTAAACTTCCATTTGCTAGAATGCCACCTAACTTTTAGGCTTTTCTTGTAGGTCTTTTGGTGTCGTCTTGTGGGAAATAGCCACGTTAGCAGAGCAGCCTTACCAAGGCATGTCCAACGAGCAAGTTCTTCGCTTCGTGATGGAGGGCGGCCTTCTGGAGAAGCCAGACAACTGTCCTGATATGCTGTATGTATCGACCCATCTTTATCTGCCTTTCTCGTCTCACCTGACTGCCTTGACTCTGATGCTAGCAAGCTGTCTGTGTCATCAAGGCAGGCTGAAGGGGTAGTGGGGGATATGGAACTGAGCTACCGCAGATTTGAGCAGATTGTTTTTGCTGAGACCCAGTTGCCCATGAAGATCACTTTCCCATTTACGCTGTTTCCCATTAAGAATTGCTGTCAATGAAGCCAGAGCTGGGAATTCTTAAGCGGCTAATGCCAAACCTCTGTCCTACACAATGTATTGCATGTATTTCATTGACTGTAACTCCAGTTGGGAAGGGCCATAGCTCAGCAGTAGAGCTTAGCATGCAGAAGGTCGCGGGTTTAATCTCCAGCTAGAGTTGGGAGACATACTGGCCTAAAACCCCATAGAGCTGTTGCCAGTCAGTGCATACAGTACTGAGCTAGGTGGACAAGTGGTCTGACTCCATTTCAGCTTCCTATGAGCCCATGATTCTTTCAAGTCAGGAATCTTCACAACACTAATGTTTCTTTTGGAAGATTTTCCTCCCACCGGAAGCAGCTACAATGGTTAGCCAGCTTTAGGCTGTTTCGTCTCAACCCCCAGCTTTTACACAAGCTGGTTTCAAGCCTGGTTCGCTTCTCTGTGAACTGGCTTTCTGGAAAAGAAATGCTGCGCCTTGCTGTTTGCGATTTTGTCGGAGGCCCACACAAGGGATGCAATAGCTTAGGGGGCCCCAGCTGCTTCAGATTCTTGGGGAAAGAGCTTATTTGGCCAGCGAACTCGGGATGGTGTCCGGTGACAATCCAGTGTTGTTTTGCTGCTTGCTCGCTCACTCGGGTTGGGCAAGAGGAAGAGCCTGTTGGAGGTTGCCATGGAAGTGGATTTCCCCCACCTTGCATTCTTTCCCTTCCAGGATGGGAATCTCCAGCAGGCTCAAACGGCTTTGAAATTATGCTTGACATTGTGGGAATAGCTCAGCAAGGCGGGCGAGAGGAAGGGTGTGTGTGATTGTGTGTGTTTTGGAGTTCTGCAGAGGAAAAGAAATGTTTTCCCATTTTCATTTCCTTTGACGGGGACGACAACGGACAAATAGATGAGAATAATAGGGTGTTTTGTTTTGTTTTAAAAGCTCTGAAGTGTGTCGTCCCCCCCCCCGGCATTAAGACTGAAATAATGTTGAGAGAATTATTTCACATATTTTTGTTTCCTTTGGGCATTTCCAAGCTATATTAGTCCCTGATTAAAGTTGAGGGTTTGGAATGAAGTTTCGTATAGAGTTAAATGTTGAGTTGCTAATAGGTACCAATTGACATGATTTATGGAATCAATAACTCTTCCTTCCCCCATTGAATTGGCTTCAACTGATGGTCAGACTTTACATAATTCATTTTTCTGATCCTTCATGGGGTAAATGACTCAGTTTTGGAAAGCAGCAGACAACTGCAGAGCTTTGAATTCCAGCCCTCAATATGGTTACTAAGGTTTAATCCAGGGGCTGCCACTGAAGTACCAAGTCAAGTTCAAGGTCTTGCCCTGGGCAGGCTTGGGGAACGAGGACCACATTACCTTCTTAACATCCTTTTGAGGGCCACACATCAGTGAAAGATGGAGCAATGAATGGGAACTTTGCTTTTGTACTGTAGGTTGGTTTTTGCACGTGCACACACACACACGCACGTGTGTGTGTGTGTGTGTGTGTCTATGTCTATGTACCATCCAGACAAGCAAGAGACAATACCAGAGTTCAAGGAGTATTTTGAACTATTTTAAAATATATTGTGAATAAGAACATACTGTTTGAGATTTCTGTATGTAGTGTGTGCTGTTGTATTGTGCTTTTGCTATTTTTTGTTGGGAGCTGCCCATAGTGGCTGGGGCAATCCAGTCAGATGGGTGGCATAATAAATAAATAAATGATGATGGTGGTGCTTTATGGCAGAGTTAGGATTTGAACTCTGGTCTCTCAGGTCCTACTCTGGCACTCTAACCACTACTCCACATTTGGCTTGTATATCATGTTGCTCTGCCCCCATCTTTTGGAGTGTTGTTCCAACCAGCATCATACACACCTGCTGTTGGTCCAAAGGGGGCAGGAAACCATCCATCACCAGGATCTGTCCTCTTTGCTCTACTGAAGGACCAGCTCCATTTGGCTCTTCCTCTCCCTGAACTGTTTTCATTCCAGCTGCTCAGTGTAAAAACTATTAACTTAAGGGTTCCTGAATTTTCTTCTTGCCCTCTTCTCTCCCCATCAACTGTTCCTTTTGTATGGTGCCTTTTAGACTGCAAGCCTCCAGGCAGAGATTTCCTTCCTTCCTTCCTTCCTTCCTTCCTTCCTTCCTTCCTTCCTTCCTTCCTTCCTTTTTTCTCTCTCTCCCCCATTGCTCATATCTAAGCTGCTCTGGGAGCCTTCTTCAAGTGTAAAAATACTGTACCTATAATGAATCATTGCCAGCTTAAACAGGGGGACTCTGACGGACCAAGACGGGTGGTTGTTGCTTTTCATTTCCAGCCACACAACTGCAACTACATATTAATCCAGCCTCAGACATGGACTTCCATTCGGAATCCAGCAAAGAAGATGCTGTTATTAGCATATTGGTTTTCTCTTCTCCCTCCCGGTTCCATCCACTTACAGATTCTTCCTCCATCTTGGGAAGTGCATCTTGTTTCCAAGACAGTATAAACAAGGCCTCCTTAACCACTCGGTGCGAGTAGCAAAAAACTTCCTATTATGGGAAGCACTGGCACTGGCTTAAAGGAAGTGTGATGTGTGCTTGCTGGCGCTGCTAGTCACGTGTCTCCCGTTCCACTGGTTGTGGTATCTCCTCAGCAATGCCCAAAGGCCACAGGGCAGGAAGCCAGCCCAGTGTCCCATGCTCTTGGCTCCAGCTGGTGTGCCAGTCCGTCCGCCCCCCCCCCCCCCAGACAGAGCCTCGTCAGCTGGGGAGGAACAGCGATGAAGTAACAGAAATGGATCTCGGATATTTTTGTCACACTCTTTCTCCTTGGTTGTGAGGGGGTGGGGGAAGGTGAGGAGGGGGTGGCAGCTGTTCCTGCAGGCTGCCTGCTTTTCAAGAGGAGGGAAGCTAGGCAAACATAGGGCTTACTTAAAGGGGGATGGGGAGAGAACATTTCACCCCCTTGTCCTGGGCGTCTGCTGGGGGAAGGTAAGGGGGCAGTCCCCCCTCCTCAAATAAACCGTTATCCCAGATTTTCAGCTTTCATATTTTTTTTAAAAGTAAGTTTGTGGCATTTGTAGAATGTGGCCAAATGTACAGGCAGTATTCTTACTTTTTTGTGAGAAATTAGCCTGCTTCCCCTGTCATATTGCGCGCGCGCGCGCACACACACACACACACACACACACACACATACCCCGTCCAAAAAAATTATTTGGAACACCCATGATCTATTACCAGGCTAGAATTCCATTTTGTTTTTCTGTTGAAGACATTTTTATGTAGACAGACCTTTGCAGCTGTTTAGTTTTTTTATTAACCAGTCACCTTACTGGTAATCTGTATTTTTGTTTGTACAGACGTACCTTGGTTCTCGAACAGAATCCGCTCTGGAAGTCTGTTTGACTTCCGAAAACGTTCGAAAAGCAGGGTGCAGCTTCCGATTGGCTTCAGGAGTTTCCTGTGCTCAATCAGAAGCTGCATCGGACGTTCAGCTTCCAAAGAACGTTCGCAAACCGGAACACTCACTTCCGGGTTTGCGGCGTTCGGGAGCCAAAACGTACGAGTACCAAGGCATTCAACAACCAAGGTACGACTGTATTCTTTTAAATGGTGTTTTCTAGTTTCACCTTGCAAACTGCCCCGATACTTTGCAATGTGGCGGCATAGAGACACATTTATAAATGAATAGATACTCAGCGCTGCAAAACTAGATTGGTGGTTTCACGCCCGTGTGTTTTCCTCTCTCCTCTTTCCAGTTTCGAGCTGATGCGCATGTGCTGGCAGTACAATCCCAAGATGAGACCCTCCTTCCTGGAGATCATCGGGAGCATAAAGGACGAACTGGACCCAGCCTTCAAAGAGGTCTCCTTCTTCTACAGCGACGAGAACAAGCCGCCCGACACGGAGGAGCTTGACTTAGAGACAGAGAACATGGAGAGCATTCCTTTGGATCCTTCCTCAACCCTCCAACCTTCTGACAAACACTCAGGACATAAAGCTGAGAACGGCCCCGGCGTGGTGGTCCTGCGGGCCAGCTTTGAGGAGAGGCAGCCGTACGCGCACATGAACGGGGGGCGCAAGAATGAGCGAGCCTTGCCTTTGCCTCAGTCTTCGGCCTGCTGACCTTTCAGAACCAGGTGTTGTTGTTTTTGTCGTTGTTGCGAAATCGTGCATCTGCACAAGCATCGGGAGAGGGGCGGGGGAGAGAGAGAGCAAGCAAAGCAAGCAAGAAAAATAACAATATATTCAAAAGCCTACTGTACCTCAGTGGATCTTCAGAACTGTCATAGCTGCACACAGGAGAATCCTCTCTTCGGTTTAAAAGTCGAAATAGCATTTTTCTCTCTCTTTTTTTCTTTTTTTTTTCAATATGCAAGCAGAAGATTGTTTCAAAGCAAAAAACAAAACTCTGAATGTGGGGCACACACTCAGCCTTCTAAAACTCTTTGACAGTCACAATAGCAAATGAAAACTTGAGAATCTGATGTGTGCATCCCCCTTTCTTTCCTTCCTTTCTGCTTCATAATGGGAAACATATCTGCGTGAAGTTCAACTGTACGGCACTTTTCTTTTTTTTTTAAAGAATCACATCAAAAGAAAAATGGCAGGCCAGCAGAGGCGCGCACACACACACTCTCTCTTCCTCTCTCTCTCTCTCTCTCTCCCTCTCCCTCCTTCTCTCTCTCTGTCTCTCTCTGTTCCCCCTCGCAAGCACCTGCTGAACACTTTAGGTTGTTACAAAAGCAAAGCAGGATTTAAAGAGGGGCAGGGGGAAGGACTGGATTTTTAATATTATTCCTTAGTCTTTTTAGGATCACCTTAGAGATAAAAAGAAAGGCCATTATTTGTCCAAGCTTGTAAACTGTTTTCAACGCTGCCAAATTTTGCCAAAAAAACCACAAAACGAACTTTCTTTTAGGGGTGTTTGTTTTTGGGTAGGCATCAAGGGGGCAAAATAATCACATGGTCCCTTAAAATGAAACTCAGACCAATACACTCCAATCATACACTGGCATTATTTTTTTTAAAAAAATCAGACTGTCTAGATTTTTTGTTTTTTTGACTGGACAAAAAGCCTGATTTTTTTAAAAATGCAGTTGAGAACCTAAAGGAGAGGGTAGAGGTGAAATAAATTACCTCCCCTTATATGAATTCTGGACAAAACTGGCACTGGTTAGCCAAATCGGGGGGTGGGGTGGGGGTGGGGCAGAGATGAATTTTGTGCAAAAATTCAACAGCACTACGAAAAGGAAATAGACAGAAAAAAAGAAGGAATTTCCATGAGTTGTTCCTGCTGTTCCGTGGCAGGCTTGCGGGGAAATACTTAAGAGAAACACACACACAAAATGGAGAAGAATAGCCAATTAAACGGATTCAAGCATCCAACACTTTGTTGACCTTTTTTCTCTCTGTTATTAAGACTTCAAAGGGTCTTGCAGTTCTATGTTAGACCATGGATCATTTGCATACACATTGTCTTTTTGTGTCACTTTTATAACTTTTTTACAGTTCAGATGCTCATCTATATGTCTGTACAGAAAAAAAAAAGCTGCTATTTTTTTTGTTCTTTATCTTTGTGGATTTAATCTATGAGAAATCTTCAGGTCTACCCCCTTTTTTCCCTCTTGCCACCCCTTCCCCCCCCCATTCCCAAAAAAGTTTCTAAATGCTTTGTACTATAATGTGTAACTTCTCTTTTTCGCCTACCCCCCGCTTTCCCAAGACGTGATACCTGAAACATGATTTGCCATCAACTGTTAATGCCTTTTATAAATACGTTTCTGTTTCCTCCCCCCTGTCTTCCTCTCTCTCAAATTTCTCTATTCCTCCACCCCGTTTCTGTTAGTTATTTTAACAGTATCTATAGGCTGCTTGGGCGGGCCTGGGTGGGGGGAGATATATTTCTGGTAGCGTGACTTCTGCATCCTGCCTGAATATGTATCCTCCTCCCCCTTTTTTAACCGTCTCCTCCTTTTCCTCGCCCTTTGCCCGTAATACAGCACCCATGTCTGTTACAGTGCAAGGTATGATGCAAGCTCAGGTCAGGAAAACAAGTTAACTATTTAGTACATTCTTATTCAGTGTTCATATTCATATTGGTGTATTGATAGCCTCACCCCCATTTTCCTTTTGCCTTTGTTTTGTTTTTGGTTGTCTCTCTCAAACAACCACACGCATAAAAAAAAAAAAGTACATGCATATGTATTTTAAATGTTGGGTGCAACAGCTGTTGAGCTGCCAATACCAGATTTGGGGGTCATTTAAGAAAACAACAGATTGATTGGTTTTTAACCCTTTCATCCTACGAACAGCACGTCTCTTTTAGTTCTCAGCGCTGGCAACTTTGTACAAGGTCACAAAACCTCTGTGTTTGTTTTTCTTTCTTTTCTTTTTGAAAAAGTAGGCTCTGGTGGCAAAAAACGAGGGTTGCTGATAGTTCCAGCTTGCAGGAAATGGTGGGTGGTTAAAAATGGAGGCAAGCCGCAAGAGGTCTTGAGCATTTGGGGCCACTGTTTGTATGTGAGCCAGTGGTTCCCTTGCGGCAGCTATGAATATCCGCATAAGTTCAGACCAAACTCCCCAAACAAAGCGAGGAGTAATTTGTTAGCTGAGTTGCATATGTTCTGTAGAGGAACAGGGAGCCTGCAGTTTGCAAAATCAAGGTGCCTTAACACTCGTTAATTCACCTGTACTTAACTGCATGGAAGTTCTGTATTAGCACTGATCCAACCAAAGTCTGACAGCAAAAAAAGAAGGGTTGTTCTGGGATGGAAATGTTGAAATATTTCATTTTGGGCGGGAGGGGGTGTTTGACTGAGAACAAAGAATTAAAATATAATTGCTAGATGTGACTGGAGATAATGATATGTTTGTAGTGCTTCCCCTCCCCTCATTTGTGTAGCTTCAGTCCCATTATTTTCTTTTTCACCTATCCCATAGTTAGCTATATCCCCCCCCTTTATAAAAAAAGAAAAAAAAGGTATTCTATGTAGGATTTTTTTATTTATTTTTGTGCTATCAGTTTAAATCACTGTAGAGACGCCCCATAATAAATTTTAAATACTGAGATAAGGGTTTTTGAGTTATGACAAGGGGACAGTTTTTTATTTTTTCTTATTTTTTCAAACATTTATCTACCTCACTCTTATTTTTGTGTGTGTATATATATATATAAATATATAAATATACATCTCTCAGCAGCCAACAGTATACTGTTGATATACCGGTAACCTCATTCATTGTACAAACCACATCCTCCAGGTTTTGGAGAGGAGAGGTCACTACCAAATCAAAAAGGTCACCTAAAAACATTTGTAGCTGCTGTTTTCAAAACACCGTTTATGCTTTCACTTGATGCTGTGTTGAGAGTTGAAAATCATTGTCAGAAGTCATTTGAGCTGAAATCAATAGCTGCTCTTAAAACCTGTTGAAATGAATGGGCGGGGGGGGGGGGGAAACCTCAGTGGAATATGCCCATGTCCTCGAAAAGAATGGCATAGTGAAGCACAACAGACCCAGGTCATCCTGGCTGAGAACTAGTGGCTCTCTGGGGTTTAAGAAAATGACAACTGTTAATACATTTATCATGCACCAGTTGTGTACTGAATTTGGATGGTTGCTCTGCTGTGTATGGATAAAGAGTCCAAGCAGATGCATGTCTTTCAGATGCCCCAAGCACCCACAAAAAAAGACTGCTGGAGCAAAGTGGTACCTACATAATAATGATGACATGTGGTAGGTTCCGTTCTTTGGCTAAAACAAATAGTGAAATGTGCTGTCCTCAAACCAAGAACCCACTCAATGTACACATTAGGAACTTTGGTGGAGAGGAGTGGGAGCTGCTTCTGTTTAGCAGGAGCACTGAGGCATGTTTCATTGAATGTGCTGATCATCTTGAAATCCTTTCCCCACACCTCCAAAACTCTGCTTTAGGTGTGGGTTCTGACCATCCTGTCGTCAGATTTGTCACAGCTTAATCTTATCAGTAAGATTTTTTTATTCTGTGTACCTGATTCTGGAAGTTGTTCCTGCAGGTATGGCTTGTGGCACGGCACCTGATTGTGTTAGTTGACTATTTTTGGACTTATACAGCCTCTTAGATACATGGCCCGTGGTTACACACTTAAGTTGTCGCCTTGAGAGAGCATGACTATCTAGTTCCTGCGCTTGACCTTGGGATGAGTGGGAGGTGGGAAGGAATCTGGAATGCCTGATGTGCCGGGCTTCCCCTGGCTTAGTCTCTTGGTTTTGTCCTTTTCTTCTTGGTGATCCTTTGTGGTGGTGGTGGTGGCCTCTGTTCTCTTGCACATATTAAATCTCCACAACCGTGGGGATCTTCACTCAGTCCTTTCAGCTGGCTAAGAGGGTTTTGTTTAAAACTGTCCAAGTTATTATTATTTTTTATTGTATGTAGGTGGTTTTGAAATATTAGGAGAGAACACTAACAATGTAGTGCCCATCTAAAAAACACATTTCAGAAGCATTCAAGTGTAAGGCAGTCATGTGACTAAGCAAGTGGGCCCATGTGATAAGTCAGCCCATCTGGACCAAACCACCTCGACTCTACCATTGCATTCTGCACTCACAACATTTTTAATAATTCCATTTTGGTTTCCACAGTTCTTTGTATTGGGATTTGCGTGCGTGTGTACATGTATGTGTCCCAGATCATATATAATATACCTGGCTTTTCCCATACGGTTGTTTATGCATGTCAAACAGAATTAATGTTGGCTTCATATTGGGCATGAGGCTGGGGTTTTCAGCAAGACTCTTGTCTTGCACGGGATGGAGAACTGATTTTAGATCTTGATGGGCTTGAATTAAAGATGTTTGAATTAACATTGTAAAAAAAAAAAAAATCTATTCGTGTTCTTAATAGTAAACACAGAAGATCTTGGCTCCTTCAGTCACCAGATGTGACTTACCAACACAGATTGTCTTCATTGAAGGAAAAAAAGAAAGCTGGACTACCAGGTCCGTTATGTATTTTGATCAGAACATAAGAATAACCTTGATGGATCAGACCAAGGATCCAACCAGTCTTAGCATCCATTTTTCCACAGTGGCCAGCTAGATGTTTCTAAGCAGTCAACAAGCCAGGTACGAAGGCTGCAGCCCTTCTAGTTTATATCCTCCTGCAAGAGGGTTGTTGCATCTGGATCCAGATGTTCCATTTAACTTACATGGCCATCAGCCATTGTTATGGCCTCTCGTCCTCCATGGAGCCTCCTTTTTAAATCCATATAAACCAGTGGCTATCCTTGTATCTTGTAGCAGCAAGTTCTGTGTTTTCTTTCATGTGTCCTGAACCTTCTACCATTGGGTGACCCAGAGATCCAGTGTCAATGAGAAGAACTTTCTGTAACCCATTTTCTCTCCCTTGTGCATTTTTTTTAAAAAAAAACCCCTCTATCATCCACCCCCCCTTAATGTTTTATATTCTAAATTTTAAAGGCGCTGAACTTCTTAGTTTTTCGTTTCTGGGAAAATGTTCCAACCCCATGGTCACACCTTTTCCAGCTTGTTGAGATGTAGTGAGCAGAATCATACCCAACATTTCAAGTGACTTTGCACCAATTGATTAGGTTATTTGTAATGTTATTTTCAATAAATTTCCAAACAATCCCTAATTGGTTTATTTCATTGCCGCTGCACATTAATAGCCACCACAACCACCAGTATGTATTCTTGGAAACAACTTGATGGTTCAGATCCCATCAAACATGTATGTGTAAAGTTAGGGTTATTTTTTGGTCCAGTGTGCATCACACAATTTCATTCCCCATGTTCTTCTTTGGAGCTTTTCATGGTCAGCATGAGTGTTCACTATCCTTAATAAATTTAAAAGCATCAGTCCCAATACAGATCCTGTTGGGACTTCGTTGTTTATATTCCCCCATTGAGAGGTTTCCCCATTATTCTTCGTTTCTGCCTCCTGTTCTTTAATCTTAGTAATCCATAGGAGGAGTTGCCCTTTTATTCCATAACTGCTAAATTGATCCAGGAGTCTCTGGTGAAGGATTTTGGCAAAAAATTTTTTAGAAGTCAGAGCAATATAATATCTATTGGATTATCCTGATCTACCTGTTTTTTGAATCTCTCAAAGAATTCTAAAATGTGGATGAGGCAGGATTTCATTTTGCAGAAGCCAGTTTGCTGCTTCTGTTTAATTATTCTGTCTTCTGTACACTCTGCCCATTTTACTGGGATGGATGTTCGGTGAATGGACCTGTCTTTTTCCAGGTCCTCCTGGCTCACTTAAAAAAATATAATTGTTGGGATTTGACTACTTTCTAATCCTCCAGTATAGAGGCCAGTTTGTATTGAAGCAACATGCAGATTTTAAGAGCAACAATTTCTCATTTGGAGTTTTCAAAGAACAGCATGTATGCCGTCCAGAAATGGTGACTTGTTAACTTCTGATCTTATAATTAGCCCCAGATTTGCATTTCATGACACCTCCATTTGATGTAGTACCCACCCCCACCCACCCCCCAAAATGTGATTCATATGTGTCTGTCACTGAGTTCTTTTAGTGACGTGCAGGAGGTGGTTTGGTTTCAGAGGAAGGAATTTTGTATCAACACAGAAGTGTTGCATGCTTGGTTGCTATTAAATCAGATGTTAACCTTGTTATGAAAAGAACTAGACACCAAAAGCAGAGCATGAGGTGGGGCTAATTTCCAATTAATTTCTCCTCCTTGAGAGAAGAGATGTTAAAGATTCTTTCACAGTTCAACGCTGATGCTACTGTTGATACAGAAAATAAAAGAAATGCTCAGCCTCAAGACTAGTCACGAGATGGAACTGCTTTTTAGATCTCTGGGAACCTGCTGTGGGTTGTTTACTACAATCCATGGCTGTATGAATGACACTCCTGTTGTTGATATAATGTTCTATGTAGTTCTATTTTAAAAAAAAATTCCATTCCAGTAGTCAGTAACGCATTCTTGTTATGCTCTTTTAATTTTGTTTTTTCAATGGTGTACTCCATCACTGGATAACAATGAGTGGATCTATTGGGGCTCCTGCCATAGTTGCATAGCCCAGCAATGAACTCTACATACTGCAACCCCACTCTTTTAAGCATAATTAAAAGGAAAAAAAATGTTGGCACAAACAGAAATAACAAGAGAGCATGTCCATATATATGTGCCGACTCAATGGTTACGTATAGGTTGAACCCTTTCCCCCCCCTGCGGGTGCTGAAGATACAGAACCAATGGGGTTGTATTCTAGAAGTTGCTGGCTATCATCTCAGTTTGGAAGACCAACTGGTTCTGAGTCAAGGCACTTAACATTTCTTTTTAATAGGTTTTTTAAAAGAACTATAAGGAGGTCTATCCAAACTGAAGGCAGAAAATATGCAAGACACTGTGAAATACAGGTATGGGGCAAAGATACTGATATACAAAGACACAGTTTGCCCGAAGTTCAGCATAGTTTACAAAGCATGACAACATCCAACTAATTAATTTGACCTTGTATAATTGAATTCCTGTCTCAGTGTCTTTGCTGTGGAGTCAAGTACACTATGTAGAACTTTATTAAAGGCTATTACTCATGATAACAAGTTTACCCTGATCCAGTTCTCCGTGTGCACATGGAGTTCTGCACACCTGGCTTCCCTGTTCACCTTAATGGAAGGCAGTTCCGCTGAAGTAAATGGGGAAGTCCTTGCTGGAGTGGCGCATGTGCTCTACGCACGTACTAGAGCAATTGGAAGGGATTGCTGGACTGGGCCACCTGACCATAAATAAGTGTTGCACAAGTTCCAGATGGCTTTCATTAGATGTGCATGTGGAATGGGTGTGTACTTGTGTGTGGCTGTCATCTTTTACTTTTGTATCCTTTCTGTTGACTAGCAATCCATTAGCATTTTCAATAGGGCTCTTAAGTCCAGTAGATTACGGGTAGTCAGTTGACAAAGCTCTGGTTTACAAAACAAAACCCTTATTACATATTTCATTGCATTTTATAAGTACATAGAATGATTTTTATAGAAATGTTTGTAGTTTATAAATGCCTAAAATAATTTAAGGGCACTTTTCAGTGTGTGTGGATGTATGTCTAAGGTTTTCTTTTCCTTTCCTTTCCTTTTTAGGATACTGGTTTTACTAGTTAGCTTTACAATATGCCAAAAAAGGATCCTGTACCAACTCTTAAATCATGGTTCATTTGTTGCCCCAAATACACAGTAAACCCAGAATATGTTCTGTATCTTCAGTCACCTGGTCTTCCAGAGCCCTCTGGATGGGTGGGATCATTTTCAACTGGTCATTTCACTTATACTGTATGGGTGCAGGTTGGGATAAAACCTCATTGGTTAAGGAAACAGAACCATTGTTGCTGCTACGCAGTCTTTAGCTACAATCCTCAGTACGCTTCTTTGGAAGTAAGTTACACTGAAATCCAGGGTAAATGCATCTCCAAGTAAACGTGTTTGGGATTGGAATTATTGTTTGCATTATTTAAGTACCTGCTTTATTGTTGCCTAGGTTGATTGAAGGATTTGACTGCATAGTATGATATCGTGGTGAAAAGCCACTTTCAATACTTATCACTGAAAGAAAGACAACTTACGTTTACAGATTCCTTATCACTTCTATTCAAAGAAAAGGTGGCTTCGTATGCAGCCTGTACAATTTATGTAGATATTTAGCAACGTTAAATCTTTGTTTTAAATGACCATCAAAGGTCCCTATTTATTATTCTAATTATTTAAACAAGAATACCGAAGATCCAATTTCTGTACCCAAATTAAAACAGCTCCTTCTCCTCTTTACCCGAACAGTTCTGGGTAGTTCTGTTGCCTTTTTTAATATTTTTTTTCTGTTTTCTAAACCAGTGAGGTTTGAGAAGAAAGGACTGGCCAGAGTTGTTCTACCTCTGGAACAAAAAAGTTGGGGAAAAAACACAGAAACTAGAAAGTGCTATGGAACTGAATGCATTTGCAAACAACATTTTCCAAGTTACCTTGTTTAAAATATAAAGTTTTTTTAAAAAATAATAAAAAATAAAATAAAACAGTAATAACATGGCCAATTTATTACATAAAGACTTGCTATGTATAAATTATTCCTAAAGAAATTCCTGTGTTTATATTAAAATGAATCAGTAGATGATGAAAAAAATTCAAAATGTTTTTGTATATTCTGTTGTAAGAATTTATTCCTGTTGCGATATATTCTGGATTCTTTACATTATGAAAAAAAGAACCTTTTGTCTATTTTGAATGGCTGAAGCTAAGGCTCCTTTAGTTTCTCTTACTCTGCTTTTTTTCTAGTAGTTACAGTACTACATAATTAAGTTAAATAAAAAGAATTCTGTATGCATTTTTGCGTACTGTGTATTGCCTTTTATTCAGAATACAAGATACTTTTAAAAAAGTGCAGCCTCTTCTAACAAGATGTGCTCTAAATGATGATGATGACTTTCTATTAAAGCTACTTTGTTTCTTCGGGAGGGGAGCGTTGTCCACCCTTTGGATAATTTTTCTTAACAAAAGTATCTGCAGTAACGCATCTTTTAAAATTCAAGATTTTCCTCATCAGAACCAGAATTACAGAAAGATTTATTTATTTGCAAGGTTTTACAGCTTTACTTTAAGTTTCTATGGTTTTCCATAGACACTTAACATGTGCACGGTGTATTGTTCCATACAGTTACGGGTGGAATGGAAAGCCAGGTCCTATCAGCCCAAGCCAGCTTGGCCAATGGTGAGGGATGATGGGAGTTGTAGTCCCAACAACATCTGGAGGGCCATAGGTTCCACATCCCTCCAATGTACACATGCAGCTCCTTTGTCCCAAAGTATTTTTACATTTCATCCCTGAGTGTAAGCAGTGTGTGCACTGAATCATGAAGGCATAAGTTTGCACACACAGAGAACATTGGATTGCATTGGTTATTTTTTAATAGGTATGACTGATTGTATTACATTTTTCATAAAGTCAGATGAAAATGAACATACCTTGTAACTTGTGTGTGTAGGTTTTTTGGTTTTACATTATCCCTTGTTTACATTGCTTTAAGATCTCTAAGATAACAGTCTGCAGGGCTCTTCCAAGAAGTTCTGCTGTCACCCATTGGGATAGAGGAGGTACATGGATAAACGCTGCTCTTCCATTACCATAGTAAAGAGAGGTATAATAGATGTAATCACAAACGTACCTGCAGCATGGAGGAAAGGTATACTTAAAACTACACAATATGTATGCTTAATTATATACTTTTAACAGTTAACTCCATCTTGGTTTTGAGGACTAGCTTTCAGACAACGCTTCAGAAGAGGTAAGGTTGCTAACTGCTTAAAAGCATCTCAGTACAGCAAACAATTTCAAGAATATCTGCACAGCTGTGCTTTATCTAGCACCAGAAAATTTGCATTATAAAAATAGTATTATAATTACAGTAACCCAAATTCAGTGATGTGTTACGGCACAGAAATGCCAAATCGCATTCAGTAAAAGATTCCCTACATCATGGGTGGAGAACCTTTGGCCCTCCAGATGTTGCTGGACTGAGATTCTAGTCAATCCTGGCCATTGGCCATTCTGGCTGGGGATAATGGGAAGTCCAGTAACATCTGGAGGGCCACACATTACCCCCCCCCCCCGTGCATTAAGGTTTGCTCCCAACTTTGAGACTCATGGAGAAGCTTCAAGAAACAGGTTCTCTGCATGCATGGACCAAGGGGCTAACTTGAGAAAAAGCTGCATCAGATCCACCTTGTGGTTAACTTGGGGTCCTAAGAGTTTAGATCATGTTCCATTAAGTATTGGCCAGTATACACAGAAGATACTGTTCATGTCTCCCACAACTGACATGGTTTCTCAATACAGCAAGTAATTTACCTTCCTGCATCTCTGGAAAAAATTACATCCATCCCTTCCACCTGAACGTTTTTCCAGACACACTTCAGATTAATTGTGGAGTCTATTCTTTCTGGGCCTTCTAAGACACAACAACCTTTTTCTGGACAAAATCCACAAGCATCCTTTTCTTTATAGCCTTTGTTCTTCCCACACTGCTCCAGAATGATGATTGCTTTAGAAGTAGAAACCAGGCCAATATGAATCATAACCTGTAGGTTGCCCCACAAGAGAGAAGATAGGAAATAAGTTCTGATATACAGTATATAATGAATCTGTGCCCTGGCCTTGTGTGAAATACAGACTTGCTATAGAGAACCTTGTCCCTGGAAATCTATGTTTCCACTGTGTTGGGGAGAAAGTCGTGGTTTTTGGGGGTCTATTTATTTATTCATTCAAACTATTTGTATGTTACTTTTTAGGGCCAGGACCTCGCAAAGTAGCATGCATGATATCAGATGCATTAAGGATATCCGATAGATATACAGTTACTATGAGAAAAACAAGTAATTAACACTGCTGAAGGGCAGCAGTGAAGAAAAAGTTTTTCTGAGCCCTGTTGCTGAAAAGTTGAGATGTAAATTAATCAGAAGGAAGTTGAGTAAGGGGGGGTGGCTACTGGCAAGAAGGCAGAACACTGCATGTCTGCTAAAGGGGGTGCAGGTATATGGGTGAAAATGGTCCTGAAGGCAGGAATGGAGAGCCTGTGGCCCTCCAGTTGTTGAACTATAACTCCCATCACTTCTTCCTGTTGGCCATGCTGGCTGGGACTGATGTGAGTTAAGAGTCCAATACCATCTGAAGAGTCCCTGCTGTAAGATAACCTGGTCCCAATATGTTTAGGGCTTTAAAGATTAATCCCAGCAGTTTGTCTAAAAATAATAATGAATCTCCTGAAGATTACACAAAATATTTTGAGAATCTAAAGCTTAATTTTAAATTGAGTCCTCTAGTAATATTTTCACTTACTTGGGGCTGAAGGGTTGCCCATGCTTGACAGACAATCTCTCTTGCTTTTTTGTAAGCCACTGGCAGTTCCATGATGTGTAGGTCTACATCACTTCCAAGACCAATTCTGGCCAGTTCCTGTGTTGGAGTGAAAAACTTGTGTTAAAATATTTGATGTTTCAGAGGAAGCTGTACAGCTAAACTTTGTGGCCCAACTTCTCCTAAACCCCATTTCTTAGATATGGCTGATCAGCATGCAGAAGAAGGAGATGGCCTAAGCAACCATGAATTCATCATCCTTCCTTTTTAAACGTATAAGAGCCTTGTCTGATAGAGCAGAGGTGTTCTCAACTTTTGAAGGTAGACATAACCATGTTTGTATAAGTTACCAATGCAATGTTTAGGAATTCCAAATGCGTAACAGAGAAAATAACCGCTCACCTGAGACTGTGGGTGAGCAGCCATTGTCGCATGGCATGGCTGCAGTGGGTCCAGGGAGGCCCCCATCTTCTGGCACAGCCAGGGGAGGAAACAGCTGGCACTGCCAACCTCCGGCCGTATCGGGCCCTCGGATAAGGACGTACAGTGTACAGGCGGCCAATCAGAGCCAGGGGCTTGGGGGCTGTGAGCAGCCCACCCCCAGCCTATTTAAGGGAGTGGCTAGGTGTTGGCCAGACATATGGTCCTCCAGGTAGTCTTGGAGGGTCATCGCTGGCTGGGACTGATGGGAGTTGGATTCCAAAAACTTATGGAGGGCCACAAGCTCCCCGACCTTGCCCTATGGGGAAGCTGCTGCCATGTCATCTTCCATGTTTCCACGATCTGCCTTTCCTGTGTACTAGCTACCAAAACTCTTGTCCAAGCTCTGTTGGCCCTGGCCCCCCAACTACTTGCTGTTTTGATGATTAAATGTGTGTCTCATAACGCACTCCCCAGGGACCTGTCCTTGTTTGGAAGAATCTCTATCTTCCTTTTCAAGTTGGAAGGTCCCAGTGTTTCATTTATTGCACCGAATCCAAGGTGGCACAGAAGGAGCTGCAGACTTAAGATTGCCCTGGTACTGGTGTGTGAATGGAGCAAGCTTGTTCTTGAAGGTTGGCTTCCTGAGTAAACTGTTACAATTTCCTTGTCAGCGGAAACATTGATTAGCTGTGCTCAATAAACTGTTTGACATAAACAAGCAAACAATTCTTGCAGGCGAAGTAAACACATTAGGAGAACACAGCCAGCTGTGTTTTTCCTGTGGCACGAATGGTCTTGGAGAGGCTCTTGCATCATCTTGCATAAGAATGCAGCATTGTTTGCCTGTTTTTCCAAAAGTAGATCCATGCCAGCTTACAATTAGCATTTTATTTTCTCACACACATTTGAATTTCTCTGTGTTTAATGAGACACTCTTCTGTGACTGGTTAGGCCAGAGTCAGATGGCCGCATGTAACCTCCTCCTCCCCCCCCCTTTTCCATGCAAGAAACCGAGGCCAAATAATAGATTGGAAAGCTACTACTACTGTTTGCTGTCCATGGTAAGCAAGAAGAAAGGTTATTTGATCAAAAGCTGAGGACAGAAAAGAATTTGTAAACTAAAAACAACTTTAATGCTTCTACAGCAGGGGTCAGCAAACTTTTTCAGCAGGGGGCCAGTCCACTGTCCCTCAGACCTTGTGGGGGGCAGGACTATGGTTTTTTTTGGGGGGGGTGAACAAATTCCTGTGCCCCACAAATAACCCAGAGATGCATTTTAAATAAAAGCACAAATTCTACTCATGTATAAACACTCTGATTCCCGGACTGCCCGTGGGCCTTAGATTGCCTACCCATGTTCTACAGGGTTCTCCCATCTCCAAAACATGGAGAACATAGCTCTTTTAGCAGGCATAGAAATCTCGGTTTGCTTGGGACAAAGATGGATGCCATCAACATAAAGAGAGAAGAGGTTAGGGTTGGTGTGTGTGTAAAAACACTATTATTTGTGGAATCTGAACCTATCAAATTGTTTTTCAAGCCTGAATAAACCACTGGCTTAGTCCTCAACAAGGACCAGCATCTTCAGCTACACTCAAAAGTAATTTTTGGAACCAAAGAGGAAAGAGACTTTAATGTGTCTTCTACTGCAGGGCTTTGGCATGTTTAATGATATACTGCTTTCACTTATCTTATGTCATTTTTCAGCACTGCAAGAAACCAAAATTATTCTTCAAAGAAACCTCCCATGCTCTGTTTCATTAGTTTATTTTGGCTTTAGACTGCACTAATTTGCAAATAAATGGCACTTAATTTTCCTCCAAGATAGTATACCGTACTCTAAAATAGGGGCCAAACACTACCAGAAAACAATATGTAGAGCTATTAAGTGATTATTCTTGTGGTTTCAGGCACATAGCAAGCTAGGGCTGGAAGAAATAATAATTTTTAATTTATTATATTTCTTACCCACCCTTCACACCAAGGTCCCAAAGTGCATTACAACAATTTAAAATACAATATTAAAATCAGTTATAAGAAATTATAATCCAGAGAATAGGGTGGATCCTAAAATAAATATCTCAAGTATCAGAAGCCAGGTTAACTAGAAGTGTCTTCAACATATGACAAATAACCACATAATGAAGGTACTAGGCTTTCTCTGTGGGGAGGAAATGCCACAGTGGGCTGCTACAAAGAATGCACCATTCTTGGTTGTCACCTGGAAGTACCAAGAGGGTCCTCTCTACTGATCTTAATACCCAAGAGCATCTGTAGGGAAGGAGGCAGTCTTTCAGATATTTAAATCCTAAGTAGTTTTAGATCTCCTGGATTGCTTGATCTCCTGGATTGCTTGATCTCCTGGATTGCTTGAAATACTGACAATTTAGTAAGGAAGTTCTGGTTCAGTGATTTGGGTTGTCTACTGCTTCACTGGGTGTACAATAAATTTCCTATCCAGAACACAAAGTACTTGTATTATTTTCCCCATCTCTTTTCTAGTAGCTAATTTCTGAGAAACAAAACTTGTGTGAAATTTGGTCTGTGAGGGGAAGGAAATAATGATTCCAATTATCAAGAGCTTGCACTACATCTTAAACATACTTAAGTCTTTGATAACTAGTCCTATAACTCCATGATGTACCTGAAACCTCAAAGTAAATAATTTATTGTGCTTTAACAGAACTCTGAACTGATTATGTAATGCTTTATTAATACTATAATTTCCCCACTTAAAATTTCATGCCTTTAAAATTTCATCAGTTTTTGCTTATGTTTTGATTACAAAGAAATAATTCCAGGTAGTGAAAAATACCCTACCTTTGAACGCAAGAGAAACACAAAGCTACACCTGAATATTGTTCCTTTTTGTACTTCAACATAAAGGGCATTCTTACCTTTGCTGCTTCCCAGCTAGAGTTAACAAGATGCTGTCGAAAAGGACCAAAGCCTGAAAGCAAATAAGTAAAACCTTAAAATTCATAAGTTCCTGATCTTGTCACAATTTGTTCCCTTGGCTAACTTCTGCTGTGAGTTGTTTATTGAATGGTTCTTGAGATTTTTACAGTAAAAGGTTCCCTTATCTCAGCTTCTCAATGACAAACAGATGAGTCTCTATTTCCTGTTGTCCCCACAGACACCCTCACTTCAGGTTACAGGCATGTGTTCAAGTTCTGTGTCACACAAATTTAACTATTTACAATTAACACATAGCTGAATCACTAAACTCCCCCCCCCATTTTTTTCTGGTAATATTCCTGTTATATTTTTCATAGCAAATTAAAAGAATACAGTTAATAATTCTGCTCTGAACAAGACTTTGAATCTGAAAGCATGTTTTAGTTGCTGTATTTTAATAGTTGCTGTGTTTTATTGTTAGATTTTATGTTGTAAGCCACCCCAGGAACATGAATTCATGAAGAGCTGGAACGGATAGACGAATAAAGAGATACAGAGGTGTAAGTAGTATAAGGGGAAGAGATCTATCCTCTACTCCACAATCCACATAGATGTGTAAGAAATTTGAAACTTATCCTTTTAATGTAGACTCTTTGCTCATGAACTGCAAAGATCTAAAAGGTATTTCACCCATTGAGCCACATTAGGAGACCTGCCCACTTTACATTTATGCAGGATGGTACATTTAGCTATGGGCTTAATTTTGTACTGAACTAGTGGAAGGATTTTGCCCCTTCTACTCCAGGGATGCAGAACCTGTGCTCCTTCAGATGTTGAAGGACAACAACTCCCAGATTCCTGGCTGCTGACCATTCAGAGTAAGGCTGATGGGAGTTAAAAATCCAGCAATATCTGAAGGGCCACAGCTTCCCCTTCCCTTGCCCAATAAAATTAGAGTTGCAACAGAATCATAGAACCATTATCAATTATGCAGCAGCTTTTGAAATAATGCTAGTTTTAATGCAAGTCCTTATAAAAACTACAGTTCACAAGTAACATCTTAAAATGCATTCTGGCTCTATCAGGGAAGAAACCTAAGATGGTGTCTCTTCGGGTATGATACATAAATCCATCATCTAAAGACAAAGTGTGCTGCTTGCTTCAGAACTATAGGGCTCCTTAAAAACTCAAATGCAAATTTTGTCCAATTTTGTTCCAGTTCTGAGATTCTTTTTAAACTAACAAGCTGACAATTTTTCGTGCCTTCCTACATTACACACATTATCTTCTGCCCAAGAGTTCTTGCCATAGAGAGGGAATATCAGTATATCTTTCTATACATAAAAACATATTGGTGCCCCACCCCTTATATTCAGTAACACAGGATAGTATGGTTGAAGTTATCATATTCCGGTTTCTCAACAGCTCTGTGATTTAAGTTAGGCAAAAAACGAGAAAAGGGCCAAAGACGGCCTAGTGAGTTTCAGGATTGATCAGGAAGTACAATATTTTACCAGGTATAACACACAGGGAACAGATGAAACATTTGAGAGGAAAAACAGAGATATAGTTCTGTATCTGCTTCACTGCTTTTTCGGCAAAAGAAATGGGGGGCTCACCAGAGTTGTACAACATCAAGTTATGAGCTAGCTGAGTGAAATGTGCAGCCTGCAACTGTGGCTATAAGAAACCTCTGCCGAGGGTTTAGCTGTTCTATTAAAAGAAGTGACTTCATTATGAGCTCTTCAAATATTGGAGTGTCGAAACCAACACAGGGATCATATTGACTGAATAATATTGGCTACTAAAACCAGAAATGGTGCCAACAATTTTGTTTCAAGCAGGTGAAAAAGTGACTGAGGCATTTAGTGATGACACTGCAGTACCTCTAAACTGCACCTGCACATTTAACAGAAAGATATGGGACATAAAACATAAACGCTGCAGTGTGATGTTCTCTTGTTTAGGGTTTTAGCCAGCCAGCAGTGCCATTCCGTGCCCAATGAGCATACTGATTGGGCTGTTTGCCCTCCCCCCTTTTAGGTTTCCTTGGGGGGCCCTTTCCATGTGCAAACCTTGGGGCTCCCCAGACCTGCTGATACCACCCCCTTCTGAATGGGTGCTGCTGTTCTGGATTTTAATTTGTTGCTGGTTATTGTAGCTAAGGAAAAGGAGAAGAAGAAGGTGATCTCAAAGAGCAAAGGTAGTTGTCTTGGCCTATAAGAAAGATCCTAAAGTCCATATTAGACTTTTCCAGTTCATAAAATAGTGTGCAAGCTTTTGAGTTTCCCCAGAGTCTTCCATCTTAAAACTTACCAGAATCAAACATGGATGGCTTAAAAAACACCACCAACCTTTTCTTTTCATGCAAGTTAAGGCTAGCCATGATGGTGTCCTGCCTTCTACCTTCAGAGGGAGTGTGTATCTGAATACAGTGGTACCTTGGTTCTTGAACACATTAGTTGTTGAACAAATCGGCTCCCAAATGCTGCAAACCCGGAAGTAAGTGTTCCGGTTTGCGAACGTTTTTCGGAAGCCGAATGTCCGACGCGGCTTCCACTTGAGTGCAGGAAGCTCCTGCATCCAATCGGAATCTGCGCCTTGGTTTCCGAATGGTTTCGAGAGTTGACCGGACTGCCGGAACGGATTAAGTTTGAGAACCAAGGCACCACTGTACTAGTTGCTAGGAATCACAACTGGGAAGAGGGTTGTTGCATTCATGCCCTGCTTTGCATGCTTCCATAGGTATAAATCTGGCTACTGTGGTAGCAGGATGCTAGACTCAATGGGCCTTTGGCCTGATCCAGCAGCGTTCTTCTTATGTTCTTATATTCTCTTCCCTATATGTTTTTTAAACATCTAGTCTGATGTTTGCATACGATTTTATGACATTTCGGGTGGCCAAATAAATCTATTTCCCTCATATGGACATTAAAAATGGATATGTATAATTTCGTTCAGATTACGGCAACACGGTTGGACTAGATAACCCTTGGGATCCCTTCCAACTCCACAGTTCCACAATTCTACAGAAAGCTTAAGTGGCTTCGTCATTCCCACTTCCTCATCCAAGTCACCTAAAACTATGGAGCGTCTGAAATGTTTCTGCCTAGGCTGCCTGGGAGCTATTTTAACAAACACAAAAATAATCTTAAATTGTGTGCTAACTGAAAATGGCTAGATTCAGATTCTCTTTGACGCCACTTCATTCTCAGTCCTGTGTCCTCAGATGGCCTACAGTGGAAAACTATCCAGCAACTCACATGTCAAGCCTATACGTAATGATTGCCTTTAGAGCAGCTAGTGGCGTAACAGTGAGCAAGAGTGTGCAGTGGCATTCCAGGAGAGTTTCAACCTTTTAAAGCTCAGTCTCTCTCTCTTAACTGATTGCATCTTCACTGGTGATTCAGCATTAACTATAACTGAAAAGAAATTATCCAAAATTGGCTCCAGGGAATTGGATGTTCCGGAATGCTATTTCAACACACTGTTTATATATTATAGTGTTGGGGTAATAAAACAGTGTGTGTTATTTCCTCTGATTTTTATCTCCTTGTTTTGAAACTGAGAAGTTGAAATTTGACATGTGTTGGCTCTAATTTTGGACCTTGATGTGGAACTGGGAAGCAGTCTTGCTCTATAGCTCTTTTTAGGCAACACTTTTCTAGTTTTACCCTAGAGGCTAAATAGCCCGCACAGGAAAAGATATCAAGAGATATTTTCGGAAGTGACAGGAATAACGAACGGCAAGCTTTCTTGGATAAAGGATAGCATGCATTTTCTTTTACCCCACTGACATACCATCTGATCTTTTTTAGCAAGTTGCAGCAGTGAGCTATTTTCCATTTGGAAATGTTGGTATGTCCAGTTGCTAGTTGTTTGTGTGTCTGTGTGTGCCTTTGGAGTTGTTTATGACAAAGAGCAGACCAGTGTATGCACATTCCATGCATGGCTAAAAGAGGACTAAAAAAATTGAGCCTTACCCGTGACAACCACCGTGTCAGAATTGATGTCCATTTAATTTAAATCCTTTACGTTCCGGACACCAATAACCAGCTCACTCTTCACTGGTATCATGCTTGATCACAGCTGACCTTATTATATTCTTTTACCATCTGTTCCAAAATGTCCATCTTCCTATTGGTCAGTGGAAAAACACTTCACCAAACTGGGACTGTTCTGGTTTCACATGATGTGGGATAATTTTAATTACACAAGCCCTGGAATATTGATGGTTACAAAGATCCTTATGCTTTCTCCCCTTTCAACTATGCAGAATGACTTAACTACATAATCTTAGCTATTGATTTCAAATCTAACCTGATTAGAAATAATCCAATCACTTTTATTTTTGTATGTCTCTGTTGCATAGTGATGCTGAATTAATAAAATAAGTCTACCTATTACTTATAAATTTGGGCTTTTATAGTCCACTATAAAAGCCAGTGCTCTGTAGAAGCAATTTTAGTTATCTTTTATTTATTTATGTCTCTATATCTTGCTTTTCCAGGCAAATAGTCTTGACAAAGTGGCTTACAATATAAACAGCCTCTCTGAGGCTCTTTCATGCCCCTCTTCTTTGGATATCAGGGCGGCATACTGTCATCATAAAATAACACTAAAATAATTTAAATCACAGTTAAAAACCACAAAGACACATAAAAATACAGTATAAAAACCATTTTCCATTTTAAACTGAAGCATCTATAACTACTATAGGATTAGAACCAATGGTTGCGAATCCAATGAAGCTGATTTTGGCTAAACATTAGCAGAGCTTTTCCAATGGACCTAAATTCAGCCTCGTCCTTTTTAAATGGGTCTCGTTGCATCTGGCTTAATTTGAAACCATAGTATCCCACCTCCAGCCATTCCCATAATGCATCTGGTTGTATGTGGGTTATGGTATTGCTAATCACTCCTATTTGGTGTATAGGGGACTAGAAGCTATTGTACAAAGTGCATGCTATTTTTTTTTAAAGAGCATAAGAAGAGCCCTGCTGTATCAGCCCATCCAGTTCAGCATCCTTTTCTTACAGTGGCCAACCAGATGTTGATGGGATGCCCACAATCAATACCTGAGTGCAGTACCTAGCAACTCTCACTGAGAAGCCTTACTGCCTCTGACATTGGGGGTAGAGCATAAACAATGTGGTTAGTAGCTATGGATGATAGCCTCATTCTCCATGAATCTGTCTAATCCGTTTTTAAAGCCACCAAAGTTTAAAGCCATATTTTTTACCCCCAAGAAGGCTAAAATATGGACAGTTGGAGTGTATGCTAGTGCGGTTCTTACATTGCTGTGGACACTGCAGCTATTAAATCATACATTTTTATGAGCTTGGACCACTACAACGTGTTGCATGTGCAACTACCTTTGAAAACGTTCCAGAAACTGCAGTTCGTTTGGGATATGGCTTCAAGACTGCTAGATGGGACCAGGTGATAATTTTTTTTTGCCATCTTCACTAGATCCCACTTCATTTCTAAGCTCCACTCAAGGTGCTGGTTTTGATTTTTCAAAGCCCTTGGGAGCAGGGCACCAGAAATACTCTTATTCTACATGTGAACCTTGAGATCTTGGCGTCCAAATATCCTCCTCTGAGGGAACTGCAGGAGCCTTTTCAGTGGTGGCACCCTAGTTGTAGGATGTCTTCCCCAGAAAGTCTTGCCTGGGACCTACTTTGCTGTCGTTTCAGGCCAAGGCTGATTTTAAATATCTTCCCATTATTATATTTCCCCATGACTTTAAATCTGTTTTAGCTGTAAGCTTTTACTCTGTGGTTTGTGTTTCTTTGCCACAATACTGTATAAGGATACCACCACCACCCCACAAAAAAACCCCTCGTTTTGTCTCACTGGAGGCTATTTTGTGGTGAATACATGCACACCTGTATGTATTTGTCATGTGTATTTATTTTTAAGTGGTTTTTTGGGGGAGGGAGGGGGTCTTGAATTAAAAGTCAAATACGAATAGACTTCTTTGGCAGGAGGGCATTTTGTGGGGAATATACACGGCTTCCCATCCAAGAGCCGGTAGATTTGTCGCAATTGTTTTTTGAGAGGATATGTGGAGAATACCAATTGCCTCACGGGAGGCTATTTCCCCCGCTTCCCGCCGAAAACGCTAAGGCAACCTATATGCACTCCGTGAGCTGACTGAGATTTAGACGGTCGAAGTGGGAGTGAACGGCAGAAGCCACGAGGGAGAGAGACTGGCGATGGGATGGGCGGCTCTGAGGGCCGGCGGAGGAGGAGCAGCAGAAGAGGCTTTAGAGCCGCCCCGGAGGAAGTGATGATGGCGGCTGCGGTGGCCCCTCAGAAGCGGGCGGGAAGCGCCGCCTCAGGCCGTGCGGGTAAGAGGGACTGCGAAGCGCTGGCTCTCGCTTCTCTCGGGGCTTCATTCTCACACGGCTTTCAGCTTCGGGAAAGGGGTGTTTTTCTTTTCGTGTTTTGATTTTTTGAGAGTTGTGTGTGTGTGTTTCGTTGTGTGCATATTTTAATCCGATTACAGCAACAAGGGCAGCTGTAATTTCCCTCTCCTTTCGCGCTTGAGAAATCAAGACCGCAACTGCCTGCCGAACCGTAGGTTGAAAACACGCCATGCCTCCTCCGCAAAGAACCATGGGGACTGTAGTTTACCCACACCGGGAAGCTACAGTGCCTAGCCCCCTTAACAAACTACAATTCCCAGGGTTCTCTGCGTGAAGATATATGTTTTTGTTTCACGCACAGAAATCCTGCCTCCTCCCCACCCCCGCCGCCAGCTTCTCGGCTTGTAAATGCTGAAAGCCCCTAATTTCTTATCTCCCTTCACCAAAGTGTAGCATTTTATGATGTGAGAATCTTTACCTCAGGGCAGGCGGGGCAATGGGGTCCCTCCCTCATTTTTAGTCAATATATGCAATAGTTTATTACAACATTTTTTCCTCCAAGGAAACTAGGTGTGATGTACATAGTTCACCTACTCTTCATTTTATATTCACAATCCTGTGGTGCAGGTTAGACTGGGAGGCAGCGACTGGCTAAAGGCCACCTTTTCGACACCGTAGCTGAGTTAGTCTTTGAACCCTGGTCTCCCAGGCCTTAGTCCTTTTCTCTTTAAGGTTTTGTGACCCACAGAAGTATTAATGCTCTGGATGTTATCCTATTATAGTAGGAATCTTCTAGATCCTCCTTCCGGTAGTTTTTGACCCCATAGATACAAAATGTCCTTCATAGACCACTGGATCCCATTTTAAGTTTTGGCCCATTAGCATTGTGGCTACTTCCAAACTGCTATTTGTGGATGGCTTTCAGTTCTCTAACCACAAATTCAGGTTTTGCAATCAAAGTGAATTGGGTACCCTTCCAGGACTTTGTGGGGTAAGGAAGGCGATGGGGGGAAATGCACTGGAAAGAGTGAGATAACAGTTGCTTCATATAACCTCCCTGCAAACAAATTGGATTGAATGCTCAGTAAACAGCCACATTGTGTAATTTGGTTGCCAGTTCATTTCTTGGCCCAACTGAAAGTGCTCACATTGCAGCTTAACACCCAACTTAGACCCCAAATATTTGAAAGACTCTCCTACAAAGCCTCTTGGGTGCTAAGATCAGCAGGGGGTGCCCTCTTGGTAGTTACTCTGCCCTCAGAGTCTCAGTTGGTGATTGTCTGGAACAGGACATTCTCTGTGGCAGCCCCTAAGGTCTGGAACTCTCCCCACAGATGCCTGGCACCTATACCACTTTCAGTGAATGCTGATGACCTCTTTACCCTGGCTTTTGACACTTGAGGTGTATATCGTAGAATCACAGAATTGTAGTTGTAAGGGACCATGAGGGGAGGGTCATTTATCTAACCACCTGCAGTGCATGAATCTTTTGTCCAAAGTGGGGCTTAAACCTACAACCCTAAGTTTATAAGAGTCTCATGGTCTACTGACTGAGGTATCCTGCCTTATTTTTAGTGACTGTAATTTGTTTTAAACTGTTATAACCTGCCCTGAGATCTTAAGGTGAAGAGTGGGTAATTAGTAATAAGCATAATAATCTCCCTGTTAAGGAGGAGGGGGTTGCCTGGGGGGAGAGGTAGAGGAGAAGGGGGAGGGATGTTGATGGTAGAAGGAGAGAGAAACATGAAAGACACCCCCCACTTTCAGGGTTATTTTCAAGAACACGCACACATCCAGGCAGACACCCCATCAAGCTACTTTGCTGTTTTCTTGCATTTCTCTCTCTCTCTTTTTTTTTTTTTGAAATGATATTTATTCCAAGTTTAAAATTACAAAAAAAGAAAAAAAAACAATACAAAATACAAAGAAAAATTTAACCATAACAAAGCGAAAAATAACAAGCATTTCTCAAGCCCTCTCTGTAAAACTAAGGAACTGTTAATTACAGAAGCTGGGGAGGATTTTTGGTGTGGTTTTTTTGGAGGGGGCTGCAAGTTAATGAAATGATGGCACCCAGGGCTCCCCTGAATGTTCCTCTAGTCACCCCAGGGTGCCACAGCACACTGGTTGACAGCCACTGGCGTAGGGGATAAAACTGAATGCTGAGTAACCCCACATTGAAGGCTCTATGGGGCCAAAGAGCACTCCCCAAGCATCACCCTCTGGAAGCGACCATCCAAGTAGGACCAGAACCACTCCAAAGCGGTGCTACCCACACCTAACTTGGACAGCTGCTCCAGAAGGGCTCCAGAAGGATACCATGGTTGGTGGTTTGTAAAACTGCTGAGAGGTCGAGGAGAATTAACGGGGACACATTTCCACTGTTTCTCTCCCAACAAAGGTAACCATGCAGGGCGAGCAAAACAGTTTCTGTGCCAAAACTGGGCCTAATTGAAATGGATTTAGAAAATCAGTTTCCTCCAAAAGTGTCTGGATCTGGTCTGTGACTACCAGCTTAAGAACCCTGCCCAAGAAGGGGAGATTGGCAACTGGCCAGTAGAATCTACCAGTTAACTACTTTAACATGGGTCCTACTTTTAATTTCTTGGCTTCTGTTTGATTTTTCTTTTGCTTATTTCTGTCTTCTTGGGACCTTTCTGTGTGATTGCCTTTCTCTCTACCCTAACCTGTACTGCCATCTTATTTCTCATTTCCTCATCTCTCATGGGTTCACTGAATAGTCATGTACCCTTCAACCTGCCCATAAGGGTACACATGTTATTATTTATGTTAATATATTTGTCTCCTTCATGGATCACTACCTTGTTGTGGCGAAGGGGCTTGAATAACTCAGAGAAGCTATGAGCTATGCCGTGCAGGGCCACCCAAGATGGACAGGTCATAGTGGAGAGTTTTGACCAAACGTGATCCACCTGGAGCAGGAACCGGCAAGCCACTCCAGTATCCCTGCCAAGAAAGCTCCATGGACAAAGACAACAGGAATATAAAAGTTATGACGCTGGAAGATGAGCCCCTCAGGTCGGAAGGCGTCCAACATGCTACTGAGGAAGAGTGGAGGACAAGTACAAGTAGATTCAGAGCTGATGAAGCGGCTGGGCCAAAGCCGAAAGGTCGCTCAGTTGCGGATATGCCTGGAAGCGAAAGGAAAGTCCAATGCTGTAAAGAAAAATATTGCATAGGAACCTGGAGTGTAAGAACCATGAACCTTGGTAAGCTGGATGTGGTCAAAAATGAGATGGCAAGAATAAATATTGACATCCTGGGCATCAGGGAACTAAAATGGACGGGAATGGGCGAATTCAGTTTGTCAAAAGCTGTACTGGGATACAATCTCAAAAATGACAGAATGATCTTGATACGAATCCAAGGCAGACCTTTTAACATCACAGTAACCCAAGTTTATGCACCAACTACCGGTGCTGAAGAAACTGAAATTGGCCAATTCTATGAAGACTTACAACACCTTCTAGAAATGACACCAAAGAAGGAAGTTCTTCTCATTATAGGGGATTGGAATGCTAAAGTAGGGAGTCGAGAGATAAAAGGAACAACTGGCAAGTTTGGCCTTGGAGTTCAAAACGAAGCTGAGCAAAGGCTAATAGAGGTCTGTCAAGAGAACAAGCTGGTTATCACAAATACTCTTTTCCAACAACACAAGAGACAACTCTACACATGGACATCACCAGATGGGCAGCATCGAAATCAGATTGATTATATTCTCTGCAGCCAAAGATGGAGAAGCTCTATACAGTCAGCAAAAACAAGACCTGGAGCTGACTGTGGCTCAGATCACCAGCTTCTTATAGCAAAACTGAAGAAAGTAGGAAAAACCACTGGGCCAGTAAGACACAATCTAAATCAAATCCCTTATGAATACAGAGCGGAAGTGAGGAACAGGTTTAAGGATTTAGCTTTGGTGGACAGAGTGCCTGAAGAACTATGGATGGAGGCTCGTAACATTATACAGGAGGCAGCAACGAAAACCATCCCAATGAAAAGGAAATGCAAGAAAGCAAAGTGGCTGTCCAATGAGGCCTTACAAATAGCGGGGGAGAGAAGGCAAGCAAAATGCCAGGGAGATAGTGAAAGATACAGGAAATTGAATGCAGATTTCCAAAAAATAGCAAGGAGAGACAAGAGGGCCTTCTTAAACAAGCAATGCAAAGAAATAGAGGAAAACAACAGAATGGGGAAAAACCAGCGATCTGTTCAAGAAAATTGGAGATATGAAAGAAACATTTCGTACAAAGATTACCATAATAAAGGACAAGAGTGGAAAGGACCTAACAGAAGCAGAAGACATTAAGAAGAGGTGGCAAGAATACACAGAGGAATTATACTAGAAATATATGGAGGTCTCGTACACCCCAGGTAATGTGGTTGCTCACCTTGAGCCAGACATCCTGGATAATGAAGTCAAATGGACCTTAGAAAACACTGCTAATAACAAGGCCAGTGGAAGTGATGATATTCCAGCTGAACTATTTAAAATTTTAAAAGATAGTGCTGTTAAGGTGCTACACTCAATATGTCAGCAAGTTTGGAAAACTCAGCAGTGGCCAGAGGATTGGAGAAGATCAGTCTACATCCCAATCCCGAAGAAGGGCAGTGCCAAAGAATGCTCCAACTACCGCACAGTTGCGCTCATCTCACACACTAGCAAGGTTATGCTTAAAATTCTACAAGGCAGGCTTAAGCAGTATGTGGACCGAGAACTCCCAGAAGTGCAAGCTGGATTTCGATGGGGCAGAGGAACCAGAGACCAAATTGCAAACATGCACTGGATTATCGAGAAAGCTAGAGTTCCAAAAAAAATCTACTTCTCCTTCATTGACTACGCAAAAGCATTTG